ATAGCGTAAAGCTAAGTCGGTCGAGATATAGTTAACGCCGGAAGCGCGAGATACGTTCCGATCGTTAAAGAATTACTTTATAACTACGCCGATTCTTAGGTATTTTGATTCTAAGAAGTATATTTAGGTTGAAACTAATGCGTTAGGATTTGTAATTACTAGAATTATTAGTTAACTATATAAAGATATAAAAGATAAGGTATAATAGCACCCGGTCGCTTTCTTTTCCTATAAAATGGCGGATATAGAGACGTGTTATAACACGCACGACTAGGAACTACTTATAATCGTCGAGAGTTTTAAGCAATAGCAATATTATTTAGAAGGCTCCGCACATTAGATCGAATTATTATTAGATTATATAAATCTACGTTACTTTATGTCGACTAAGGTCCTTAATTACTAATAAGTATATTAGGCTAAGTAGATATTAATATTTAACTTTAAAATCTTATATAAAGCTAGAAGAGAGAATAAAGCTAATCCTCTATCGCGGCGTAAAGATTATAAGAAATCGTCATAGAATAACGTAGATAGTCGGTGTAATTCAGACTATACTATACTTTAGATACTATAAGACTAGTTATCTAATAGAATACTAGAAGCTAGGACACTTTCGGCGATTCTCCGCGGGAATTAGAGCGGGTATTAAGTAATCTAAATAAATGTCTAAGAAACTAAGAAAACCCTTAAAGACTTAATTAAATCTATCTAGAATTCCGATATATTAGTAAAGAAAGTTATAAGTATAAAAGGAAGCGCTATAGATCCGCCATAGTTATTAAGGTAGAAACGATAATTAGACGCGATCTACTTCTAAGACCGACTCTACGTGCCGGAAGGCGGCTTATAAATTAATGTTTTAAGGGAATAGTACGATTACGTGTTAGTAGAGCACTTCGGCGTTATAAGAACGGTCGATTTAATCCGAAGGACATACGACTAGCTGGGTCTTTATAAATATATAAAAGACTATATAAAAACGTATAACGTTTACCAGTATACGAAAGTATATAGACACTTACTATATAGCGAATTAAGGCTATTACCTATGCTAAAGGAGGCATAGAAGGAATTATCGATAGATTTCATTATAGATCTACCCCTAAGTAAGTATTCTAGGTATATTTATAATAGTTTACTCGTAGTTCTAGATAGATTTATAAAGATATTATACTACATCCCTATAAGGAAGACGATCTAAGTACCGGATCTTATAGATATACTACTCCGTAACGTAGTCCGGCTCTATAGTATACTAAATAGTATAGTTTTGGATAGAGGTCCGTAGATAACGTCTAAATTTTAGAAGGATTTCTACTATACGCTAGGAATCAAGCGGAAACTTAGTACTACGTTCTATCTATAAATAGATAGATAGATAGAGCGGTAGAATTAGATAGTCGAGGCGTATTTACGCGTATATTACAACTATAAGTAGGATAACTAGGTAAGGTTAGTCTATATCGCGGAATTCGCGTATAATAATAGCTGATATACGTTAACCTACGTAAGTCTGTTCGAAGTAAACTTTGGTTAGAACTATAATACGTAGTTCTTAGGGACTTAGTTTAAAGTAGAATAACCTAACGTTAAAGTAATAGAAATTACTATAGAACTATTCTAAACGTAAAGAAGCGTTATAAAGTTACTATAAGATACTACGAATTATAGTAAATCGCACTATAATAAGGGTAGAAAACCTATAATCTTTAATATTAGGGATAAAGTTTTACTAAATAGCAAGAATATTCGTAGTATTAGGCTAAAGAAGAAGCTTAACTATACGATAATAGGTCTATATAAGATTACTCGTGTAATTAATAACTAGGCGTTTGAGTTATAACTCCCTCCTACGTTAAAGATATATAATATATTCTATATTACGCTTCTCGAGCCATTTCATGCCTTATTATTACCAGATCGTTCCGAATAGATACTATATAAAGTAGTTACGTAAGAAGGTATAGATATCTACGAAGTTAAGTAGATACTTAGCTAGTAACGCGCCGAAGATGGCACGTAGCTATATAAAATTCATTAGAAAGGATATAATCCTAACGAAGATACTTGGGAACCTATAATAAACATTAGCAAAGCAGCGATATTAGTATATAAGTAGCGATTAGTAAAGGAAGCCGTAGAATCGCAGAGAATTATGCCAAAGTACGGCGATTCGACGTTTTTTAGTATAGTTTAGCGCCGAGGACGGCCGTCTAAAAGGAAGAAGGTAAAAGAGACATAGATCTTTAAAATATTCTAAGGAATTAAGGAACTTCCTTAGAAAGTTCGAACTTAGAACTTTAAAAATTTAACTAAAAAAAAGACTTAGAAAAATGATTTACTAAGAGAAATAGACATCGAAAATCGGTGCCGATCGGTATAGATCGGTATAGATTACTAAAGAGATTAAAGAAGTTATTATTAAAGAAAGATAAAATTAAGAAAGCTAAAAGAAAATATAAAGATCTATATAGATCTATATAAACTCGTACTAATCTATCTAGAAGAAGTAAGATCGCTTTAAAATTAAAACCGAAAAACTAAAAACGCTAGATAAAAGAGACATATTAGTACCGATTAGTATAGATCTAAACTAATTAAGTTAGAGTAGGAGTAGAAGTACTAATTACCGCGATAGTTACATCTAATTCCTTCCACTAGTTCTTATTTAGTATAGTATAGAGCTTTATAACATAAGTCTCTAGCCTTTTATTCCGACGCTATAAATTCTATATAGCGCGCCTTATAGCTATAAACTCCTCTATAGAAACCTACGGAGCGGTAGGACCCGGGACGGAGAGGGACGGACCGGCGCGGGCACGCTAAGAATTATATAAATTAGCGAAAAGATTTAACGATTAGTATAGAACTATATACCTTTAGTATAGAAACTTCTAGATTAGAGCTATCTTCCCTAAATTTACGGCTCTTTAGCATGCGCGAGGAAGGAACCTTAGCCTTTTTACTAGAACCTTTTCTAGGAATTCTAATATCGCCGGTATATAGAAAGAAGTCCGAAGTAGTAGAGATTTTAGTACTATTATAGAGATTAATATATATTAGTAAGAATCTATAATAATTTAAGAAAAACGATATTACCTAGTAATCACGGTAATAATAGCTATAGTAGATTCCGATAAATCCTTATAGATCTTATTAGAATCGTACTCCTAGGCGTAACCCTTACCTTAGATATATAGCTCGTAGAAAGCCTTCTCTAAGGCGTTATAATCGGTAGTACTACGCTCCTTATTAGTAGGGGTTACTAGAGGCCTAGTAGTAATCTATACTAATATAAGTAAATCTACGTAAAGTTCTTTAAACTTACTTAAATACCTATAAGTAATAACGCTTCTTAGTCATGTAAGTGCTATATATTATAGATTTAGTACTACTATGAGTAATATATAACGGAAAGCAATAACCATAATAATATATAGCTAGATTATTAGAGCCCGGCCTAGGTTAGGATAGATTAATAGCTTTTAATATATCGGTAACGTATACGAGATAGGGATTATTCGAAGGCGCCTATTTCCGTACTAATTACTTTAGAGTATTAAGATTTCGGGAAACCATATTAAGATTATTATTAATTTATACGGATTATTACGAATTATATTATTACTAGCTAAGGACGGTACGAAAATTAGTAAATTACGTAAATCGCACTAAATTATAGTAAATCTATATAAATCTATATCTATAAGGATCGGGTAATATACCTAATAATCTAAAAAACTCTATAAAGAGTTAAGAAGTTTTTTAAAGAAAGGAATATTTCTAAGAAAAGATTTTAATATAGATAGTATCTAGGCTTATCTAATTATATCACGTGATACGCTAGGCCTAATTAGGTAATCTCACCTATATAAGAAGTTAAGATAGATAAAATTTAGTTTATTAGGAAAACGCTTATATAAATCTTAGATCGGCGAATATCGGTAAGTATCTAAGATAAAGCGTAGAGAACGACTAAGGTCTTACGAGACTTAGGATAGAGATATAGGGATAGATAATAATCTAGGTCGCTAAGGGTAGCTTCCTAGAGGGAAGGGATAATTATTAGGACTTAGCCTTAGATAGGACCCGACCTATACGTACCTTAGCTAATAGGGATAGGAGGTGACGTAAAGGGCGGTAAATAGTCACGTGCTAGATAGATCGGCGTCCCTTTATATATATACTCTCGGATTCCTACCAAAAGGGTTCGGTAGTAATTTGTTCTATAATAGAATACACCCTATTGTTCTATCTAACTATACTACTATCCAATAACCCTATTCTTATAGATATACTTATAGCTAGGTATAGAACTTATCCGTTAAGAAATAACCTTCCTTTATCTAATAGTAGATAAAACCATTAGCTATAATAGCTCTATATACGCTATACGTAGATTCTCGATTAAGAGTACTAATCTTAGTTAGAGTCTATTCTTTTAGTACTCTAGCTTAACGTCTCTATCTAATTTTTTTATTAAAAATAACCTTATCTAAGAAGATATACGAGTCTACTAGTAGCTCCGCGATATCCTTAAGGTATAAAGTATATACTATCTCTAAGCGCGTACTACTAATACGTTTTAATAGCTTACGATTCTACTCTTACTTAGATAACTCTTTAGATAGAAGCTATTTAGATATAGTAAGATTAAACTCTTTATATATCTATCTAGCTATCTTATTAAGGTATAGCTAGCTCTTATAAAGTAGTCTCTTAAGTAGTTATCGTATTATATAATTACTTAGTTAATGAGGTGGACTATGATGTGTTAACTGCGGTTTATTCCTCTATCTATATATCTTAAGGTTAAACCTCGTCCTATATATTCTATTCTTACTAACTTTAGTAATAGTGATAATCTTATTAATAGGTATATTATATTATAGGAGGAAGTTGATTCGTCTATATATGGAATCGGGATAGATAACGCCCTAGGGTACTATATATATACGCGTTAGTAAGTTAAAAATACTAAATATTATATATACTAACTCTTATATACTATATTATATAGTTATAGACTCTATATACGTGTAGTATAGCGACGATGCCGTAAAATATTAATTATATATAAAAACGCGTGTTAGTGGCACAGACGTGCATCGGGCGCCAAGCTTTCCCATGTAACTATGGACAAACGGATTCCTGATTAGCGAGAGATTGCGTGTGAGTTGGCAGATCTTTGGCGGGAAGATTGGCGGGAAGATTCGCAGATTTGGGGCGTATCGGCCAAGACAAAGCCCCCCGGAAGTGGCGCCTTCAGGCCCGTGTTTTGTACAGCAAGGCAGGCTGTTCCCACCAAACAAAGAGCCTAATTCCAACGGCTGGACAAGAAGAAGAAGACGAAGAAGACTGATATACAGTAGAAAGCAAAGGGCACTCACCTCGTACTCCTTCGTCCACTTGCTCTTCACATTCTCCTCAATCACGTCGAGCTCTCCAAAGATGTCGACAGGCTCCTGGACCTTTGCGACGTACTCAGCCGGCGGGTCCTTGAGCCAACTGGTCGTGCTCTGCCAGCGAAAGTACGGCTTGACGGCCTGGATCAGGTTCAGGGCAGCCGTCTTGTTGAGTGGCACGCTGTTGATGCACTCATAAGCCAGCTCTGCGCCGACAGTAGGAGTCGCTACGCCTGGCTGAGCAGCGACAGCAGAACTCACGGCAGCACAAGGGGAGCCGTTGTTGCGAGTTGGAGTTGTGGGAGCTGCAAAGACGAGGCCTACCAACGTCGAGGCCGTGAGGAGGTTCTCGAGAAGCATCATCGCTGCATAGAACGAGCTATCACTGCGATAAGATACATGCTCGCAGACTGGCTACAACGGTCGTTTATATACAACGCCGCAGCTGAGCTTCTGCTTGCTCAATTGATCGTCTATCGCCGGCAGGGGACTCAGACGCCAATCTTGACTGCTTGTGGTAGGTATCTAAAGACTATGACCAGGTACTCTGGTAGCATCCGCAGTAGACTATCCATCATAGGGTTAGACGCCCTCGGACATCTCAGTCCCTCAATCGCCGCCGCCACGGTAGTTGGCATAGGTAGAAGAGCAATAGCAACAGTGCGCGTCACGGAAGCGGAACGGAGCCAATCGGAGACAGAAGGCTTGGATAAACACCCTGGCTAACATTCACGAAGCCACGATTAATAAATATCATTCGAAATGTACCTCTACCAGCTGGCTTGGGCGTTTGCGGTCAACAACAATAAGTGTTTCGAGTGGCCTTCCTGTTTGGTACTGGCGTTCCATTCAAACTGACTGCGGTGCTGATTATGATCCTTAAGTGGAGGCAGAGTAATATAGACGGCCAGTTTCGGTTAAGAAGGCACAGACACCGCAGAAAAGTGTGGATGATTGATGAGAACATCGTCATACTGTACCTCAAAAGGCATCATCATGTTATTTCCAAAACAATAACCACGAGAAGACGCATTGCGCAATCACGTGCCTTGATGCTATCCATCATCCGGATCCAGACTCCGAGGTCTGTATCGTAATTAATGGTATCTCTGTCTCTGCAACTATGGATGCATTATGGCCGCGACTCTTGAGAATGCTCTTACGCTCTATCTATCCCAATGCATCCTCGACTTATTTACATCTTGTCACAACTAACTAATTTCTGTTCACTGGATAGACACACGGTCAATCCTGCGTCATGTCACTTCCCGGGCGCCCGGGCAGTGCATGTATTGCTTGTAGGAAAAAGAAGGTCAAAGTAAGTGACCAGGCCAGACCTGCACCGTACGCTAATCCGTCCGATCCTGCAGTGCGACCAAGGACTCCCCGGTTGTACAAAGTGTCTTCGCAAGCATCAAAGATGTCCTGGCTATGGCAAGGAGACTACGCCCCAGTATCAGTATCAGTATCAAACGAGCGATGGCTTACAATATCCGCCTCTACACATTTTTGTACGAGGACGTCCTTTAACCTCAGACAAGCTCTCTCCACCCATCTCGATAGCACCAGAGAGCTTTGCCGTCCAGAGATTCCTCCATGACTGGCTTCATCCTACTGCATCGGCAACAGGGCATATTCCTAGACTTTCTAGACTCATTGACCAGGCAAGGTCTCTATCAAACTCCATTGTACCTCAAAGCTTTGGACTCTGTTGCTTTTGCTAGTCTAGCAAAGCAAATCAAGGACGAAAACTTACTTTACAAAGCTCGTGTTGCCCATGGCGCTACATTACGCTTCCTCAATGAAGCCCTTCAAGATCCCGTCCAGGCAACTAAAGACTCAACCTTGGCGTCCGTCATCTTGTTGAGTCTGTACGAGGTGGGTTGGATCGGTTATATGGATGCTAGAGCCACTGATCATCTACGCAGGTCATTGTGCGAGAGTCTGTTAGGCCTTCGCTCTGGGAGATACACCATGACGGCTGGATGCTAATCATTAAATTGCGGGGTCCTGAACAATTCGACACTTATGTCGGCCAAAGCATGGTCCGATACATCTTCAGTCATCTGGTCTGTCGTTCTATTCTGATCTATAGGTTTTACTCTAACGGTCTGACAGCAAGCGGCATGCTTGTCCAAGTCGCTTCGTCCATCGTTTGTTCCTGTTTTTAACCACAACCCTAAGTTCCCAATCTCTGTATTCAGCGACACAGCCATACGTGTGACAAACTACTGCGCCAAAGCACAGGAGCTCAAGATGAGCCTGCATGAACCAATTACAATAGAGCTCCTTGATCATGTCAATGCAGCGGTCGAGTTGGAAGCCGAGCTGGACAAATTTCCTTACCTCATGGTCAACAAGAGAAGCTACCGGACCGTCACAATCGCTCCCGCGCAGCAACGCACACTCCCTCTCGCCTACCCTGACTGGCTTAATTCGTACCATGTCTACTCTGATTTCCGCATGGCCGGAATCTGGAACTTCTGGAGATGTAGCCGTGTGTTTGTGAAAGACGCTATCCTCAAATGTGTCACTAGATTAAAGGCTATGGGTGGACTTGGGCAGGAAGGCATGCTAAATGAACTAATATCGTTGCCAACAGCGAACATGGAGGATTATGCTGACGGCATCCTGGCCTCCGTACCATATCTACTGGGCCAGCTGAGTCCCATTGAAGAGCGTAAACCGTGTCCGTATCCTCCACCAATTGGCTCTTACTTCATCTTGTGGCCGTTCCAGGTGCTCCTACTTCGCGCCAATCTCGATGCACACCGCATCGAGTTTATGCACAGCGTGCTCAAATACATAAGAGACGTCCCTGGGCTCGGACAAGCGGATGTAATCCTCAGTTTTACGAGCAACTATAACAAACAAAATCCAATGGCAAGTCTTCAAACAGCAGTCAACGAAGCGACACGCTCTTTGTCGGCTCTATAATCACCGTTTGGGCAATATCTATGATATGAACCAGCTCAAAACGCCCTCGCCATACAGAATAAGCTCCATCGAATATCCACAATGTCAAAATCTTATACAATCTCAAGGCATCAACATGCAAACACGGCTTGTATACACACAACCTCAAACACGACCTTCATATCTTTCGGGCGAAGGCGAGACCGGTCGAAGAGGACGTGTAACAATTGGCACGGTGTCGGAATGCGGTGGACTCGCGACTAGCCCTACATATTCTCCTGACTGCGTATGCCTGGACTTCTGCCCGTGTTCACGAAGCAGCCCCACCGGTCCACGAACAAAGGCCGAAAAGATATCTGATACGTTGGCGGCATCGATGATGGCCCGGAAACAGGCACGACTCTCCAGTTTTGTTACCTTTGCCTTGTACCGACCAGCGCCGAAAGCATAGAAGAAGAAGACGGCGAAGAATGGCATCTCGCAACTGATGAGAAGAGACGGTAGTGCTTCATTGATGTCTGCGTATGACATGTGTTCCGAAGGTTTGATTGTGTTGGTCGAGAGGAGAATGTTGATGATGAACTACAGGGTAAAGTCAGTCCTTGCTGCATCGCCGCCAGTCCCAGCAACCGACTTACACTTTGCAACACCGACAGTGCAACCAGGCCCTTGAAAGCACACAGCTGCAGCAGTGCCCTCTGCGGCTTCAACTCCACCTTCATGATGTGGTAGAACTTAATCACCGCAAGAAGTGCCGCAAACGTCGTTACGAACGTGATGACCGTGAGCCATATATGTGCAAAGTAGAGCTTGTTCGACTGCTTGCAATACGTCCCCGTCGCAAACGTAGCAGCCGTGAAGATCCACAACAACACACTGACCGGCAAGAACTGCAACACCATATACCACACTTTCTACTCCGACATCAGCATCCGCAGACCAACGGGGACAAAGAGAAAAAAAAACATCACACTCACCTTCAACCAAGGCGCCCTTCCACTCCGAACCATCCTCTTTGCCCCCTCCGTCACAAGAACAACATACTCAGCACACAACAAGAAGAAACTCGCAATCGCAACTGCCTCGCCCACACTCCTCGCCGGCTCAACATACTGCCCGTTCTCCCCAGCCAAAATGACAAGCAGCGCCACGACCGAAAAGAACGGCACGATACATATTATGCGTATGACTTGTCTCTGTTCCCTCGGCGCGGCATAGTGACGTGCGTGGTTCGAGACGAGGATGACGCTGAGGACAAGCACGAAGACTGCTGCCCCGGCGGAGATCAGAGAGGCGAGGGTGTGGAAGGTGAGGGAGCCCGTTATGGGGATTGTCGGGACGGAGAGTTCCTGCGGGCAGATATGCTTGTGCGAGTCATCGTCGCCGTGGAAGAGGTGGCGTACGGAGAGGAGGTCTGTGAGCTGGGGCTCTGCGGAGGAGGACATGTGTATAAAAATAACTAGTTAGATCCTGGGTGTGCGGTAGTCCAAGTAAAGGGGATGATGAATGAGATATACAAACAAAATATACAACCAGGCGATAGAACACCCGAATGAGCTATTATGATATAGAAAAAAAGCACATCCCAAAGATCTCAACCCTCTTTATATATATCATTCTACATATCCCATTCCACACTCCGCCCCCAACATGCTGGAATACACTGGGCCCATACCATATACACACACCACACACACTAAGCTAGCGCCGGGAAACCCTGGCTGGCAGTCCGACACTTGCACCGCCAGCCGCGCTATGGATACATCAATCGCGCCTTCAGCCTCACATCGGCCTCCTCTGAACTGAACCCGACCGAGCCGTTCTTCTATCCATCTATTACACGGACTCTGCGCAGCGTTCTTTGCTGCAGCGCTGTCTTTCCTGCCAATGGATGACTGGTGTCGTCACATGAAGTATGTGGTAGCATACACCCCATGTCGGGCGTCTTATATAGACGCGTGTGCGTGGAGGATAAGGTTTAGGAAGGGGGGTTATATGCGGTGGATTGTTCTGAGAGAGATGTTGGGAGGACTGGGTGTTGTGCTAGGGTGCTATGACCGTGTGAGAGTGCCACTACCGTATGGATGTCTAGGTAGATACTATGTCTCGCCCAGGCAAGTCGTCTACTTCATTGCTATTCGGTGGAAGTACAGGTATGCGAAACTCGGGATATATAGTACATAGAAGCATCATCCAGCCCCCCCAGCGGCACTCGTGCCAGACTCTCTGTCAGCAGCAGCGACATGCAAGATCAGCTTCTCGGTAAGCGCATCGTTCTGGCGTTGTCTCCGCTGCTCCTCCTCTTCCCCGAACATGAACGCTCTAGTCTGGCTCTCGGTATCCGTAATCCTGAAGCCGTATGCAGTGCGCATACTCACTTTTTTGAAGTCGATGTTGATGTGCTCGCGGAAAAACACACCCTTGATGCTTTGGTCCAACGTCACGGTGAAGTGGTCGCTCATGACGAGGAATGGCATGTTGTGCTGTTCGAGATATGCTCTGATGGTCGCTGTGAGCCATGCCAGATCGCGCTTGGTTGTGTATGGCATGCTTTTCATGCTGTGTGAGGCATCGTCGGGGTTTTTGCTTGGGTTGTTTGAGAATGTTCGGTTCATGCGACAGTCGCGGTACGTTCTGATGAAGGTGGCTGTCTTGCTTGCGCTGAACAGAGGGTCCCATGGGATTGGCCATTCAAGGCCGGTCATGGGACGGAGAAGGTAGTCTTGTTTGATGTTGACGTCCTTGCCGTGGCGTTTGTAGGCAGAGCCATATTCGGACAAGACTGCGTGTGTTAGCTGTGTTGAACAAGATTGCCGACGGGGATACGGGCATACCTTTCTCCATTTTCTTGTATGCGTAAGAGATGGCATGGATCTTCGCGCCTAGGGAGGCGGTCTTGAAGATAGTGGTCGGGTCCTTGTTCTGGCGCTCGAGAGACGCAAGAAGTGTTCTTACTGTTTGTATTTGCACGTCGAAAGTCTTCAATTCTCCGCAGATCTTTGCCCCTATCAAACTCTTGGTTCCTCCGGGTTGACCCGTGAAGGACATTGCCCAGGCAAAGATGCCATTCTTGGGTTCATCCAGCATTATGCAAGTGTCACCGAGCCATCTGGCTGCGGCGCATTCCGCTTCATCCAGGTCTATCGATTTCGTGTATGGCCGGTCTAGCACCATCTCGAACCATTTCTTTGCCGTCTCGAGCTCTCCTTCGTAGCTTGCGGCCACGCCCATGAGGTGCTGAAGCAAGCGCATATCCGGTTGACTTCTGCCTCCACCATCTACTTCGACCGTACCGCCAGATTGTACAGCCTGAATTATCTCCTCAATGGCTGCCATGGCGACAGGCCAGTTCCTTGTATTCCAGGCTTCAACAGCGGTCTGCGCCATGCTGAAAATCGCTGGATTGGATAAGTCTTCATAGGGGGGCGGCTCTAGAGCAGCTGTCTGCTCCGTGGGATATGTTGTAATTGGTGCTAGGGATGATCCCTGACCTGTCCAGTTAGACGGACCAGCTGCCCCGGCATCAAGTTCTGTTCTCCTCATGGCAGGTATTGTAGGCACAGAACTGGAGCCATGAATGGACAGTTGCCTAGTACTTGACTGGTCACTCGAATCATCATCAACCAGATCGCCATTCATCACTCTTTCAAGCCGCTCGACAACGACAGGTCTGTTTTCACTCGCAACTGCTTCTGTAATGCCAAGGCCCTCTAAGTCGCGGATGAGTTGTTGCCATGTAACTTCGTCTCGTCCATTCGCAGCTTCTACTGCAGCTTCAAGCATGCTTGTGGTTGTACCGCTAGTATTACTGCTCAGGTAATCCGTGATGAGTAGAGATAGAGCGTCCTGTATCTTTGCTTGAGCCGATAATATCAAGCTACAGTGAAACGAGCTCAATTCGATGGTACAGGCATTCAGCTTGAGCTGGAGACCACGCCCTCCTTGGTCGTCCCAGGACTGCTTGTCCCATTCGCGCTTGGATTTCAGCGACTTGCCGTTGTACTTTCGAATTGTGGCCTCGACATCGCTAAGAACATCCCTACACTGGAAACCACGTTCGATCAGCTCGGATTTCGCTTCCGCTGGGACTTTGTATTGCTTGATCAGGTCGCAAAGGTCAATCCAGATGCTGTGAAGTTGGCGGGCATCGTTAGCCAGATGTTTGTATTGACCAGGAGAGTCGCGACCTGGTGTTATGCTGGTCAGTGCCTGCGTGTGGAATGCTAAGTTTTGGAAACGCAGTGATGTCATCGATGCCAGTCCAACCTCCATCAAAACATGTCCTTTCATTTGGAGCAATCCACGTACATTGTCGGTAGACCTGCAATGAAATATCCCCTAGGCGCAGAATTTCGTGTATCGAGCTGCTGTACGCCATTTCAGACATGTATAGCAGAGGTCAGTTCAGTCCTTTACTGGACTTCTGAATAGTATATGCACATGGTGGACTCCTCGCCAAGAAGTTCCATCGACACCTCGCATCGTGGTACTTTGTCGTAACTGTTGCAGATCGGCATGTTCTATACCCTTCGAAGCTTAATTCAAAGTGCTGCGCCACATCTAAATCCGACATGGTCTAGGCTGTGACCTGTACAGATCTACATGTCGTCAGCGGAATTTATTGCCGTTAGATCTACGGTCGCGTGGTACTGTTACATGTCGGCAGTCGTATCATCACACTCCAAACCATTTTCGACCTTCTCCTTTTAGTCTTTGGTAGGCACTCGTGATTTGTATAACATCACCATTCGCCGTAACACGTCCTGGACAGCAACGGTTTGTGATGCCGCGCGACTCTGAACTTGACCACTGGCTCGTCGGGCTGTTACGCCTATTCCTCGACTAATCGATGCTAAGAATACCAAAATCGTGTGAGCATGGCCAGTACGTCCTGTTCTTGCTGATACCGAGGTCATTGTAGAATATTCCAGAGCACAATGCTACACTTACCAAAGTCAGGCATTGTGAATGGTAGTGCTTCGCAGGTCTGGTTGAGCGTACTCTCGATCTCATGTTCGTCAAAGACTGAAGTCACTTCTACGGCACTAACATTTAATCTGACAAGGTCTAAAGACGTTTTTGGACACTATGTCCTGAACTTAACCAGAAAACGTCCAATATACCGACGTGGGGTATGAACTGGCAAATTTCCAGACTACGCGAATGAGGATCAGACGTGCCCAGCGACGCCTCTTTGGGATATACTCCCACGAGACGCTGCTTGACAACAGTCATCCTAGGATTGCGGTACTAGGTCTGAATAGAAGTTGCTTTTGCTACCGGACGATCCTGCTTGTTTGCGGTGAGACTATAGCTAGAACTTTGTCAGTCTTGGACATCCTCGCACAGTTCTTATCTCATTCGACTTCCGAATCCGCGCAGAAATCGGGAAGCGCACACAGCTTTCAGGGCTTTTACGCGGGTAACCATCCTGATGCACTGATCCGAATGATCATGCATCTCTTGATCTCAGGAATTCAGAGTCAAACACCAAGTGTCATGGAATGGGCCAATAGAGCATTGGTGCGACCGGACTCGTGGGGTCATTGTCTTGGTTCTGATAGACTCGAAAAGATCTATGGACGGCAGTCCGGCCCTAGATCTTCTCTACAGACATGGAAGAGTTCTAGTCAAACCTTCCCTGGTCATTTTATTTCCACAGAGTAGTCCTTTCGCATATTTTGGATGTGGATGGGACACTGTTCAGGGGACTATGAAGGCGCGGGATCTGCTCTGGGCAATGACCTCGCAGACCATCTGATGGCTCTCGTTACCGGTGTGGCAACCTTGGGGATATCACGCAGCAGAGACGACTAATTCCAAGGTCGTTCGGCCGACACTGATTTAAGTGTTCAACGAATGGTGAGACGTTAGACGATTTCGACCTTGCGATTTCCTTCGCAGCAGCTCAATTTGACTTAGGAGGAATGAAAGGCTCGAGCATTTGCTACTCGTTTGTCTGACCTTTCAATGTCGTCCAGGCATCTTGGAAGCGGAAATCGCCTCCATTCCGCCAGCCCCAAGCAACGCAGTAGTGCTTTGCTAGCAACAACCATTCCTCTAGTTCGTCCATCATCTCCAAGGCGGCGACCCGCTCTTTTTCCTTCGAGGATACCCAAGCGTCATATATGAAGTCTGTACCGGCTGCGCCTTGTCCGTCTACAAAGCCAGCATCTCGAAAGCGATCTCTCTGTGCTGCTAACGAAGGATATTGTTGTAGTGTCTCTAGGACGATGCCTCTTGTGGCAAGATTTGATACCATAGTACGTCCGAAGGAGTCATTCGGCTTTATAGGCTCGTATAGCACGATTGCGACAGGCGTAGGCTCTGGTATGAGGCGCTGAGTCAATGTCGTCAAAACTCGGGATGCGGCTTCTGGCGTGAGATAGATGAGACAACACTCTGAGATGAGCAAGGTGGGAGCAGACGAAGAAATGTTCGGTAGCGAAGGAGGAGGATCGGCGGCAATGTTTCTAAGATCAATGGCATGAATATTGTAAGTAGGGGACGTCAGAACAGTCGCGTCTTCAGAAATCTCTAGTTCGTCCGGGCTTGAAAGCGCCGCCTTGATCTGAGACAACAAACCCGGTGTCCGTTGGATAGTTGCAATCTTATGTCCTGTATTGTGTGCGAAATCTAACTCGTGGTACAGCAGACTACTTCTCGGTGACTTGGAGAGGATGCGAAAGTATCGAGTATCTGTTCCCGCTCCGAGGGAGATGATCTGCTTCTGTACATCTGGATTTGAGTCCAGGAACTTATTTACAAGCTTGTCTATCGCTGACGTCCGTATATACGTTCCTACGGATTGTCAGCGCAGATCATACAGTTGGGCGCCGCGAGACCGAGCTCACCTCTGTTCATGATCGGGAAGCGTCTCGGAGTAGGTGCAGTTGCGAATAATCTCGCATATGGATCTTCTAGGTAGCCTAGCTCCACTGCGCTCATTCTGGAAGCGGCAGCATCATGATCAGTTCGTTGCACGATGGTATCCTTGACCTGGGGAGTATTTTCATGCTGAAAACGTTCTGGAGAGCCTCGTCTAGCACGGCCTCTCGCTCGGAGGCCTCCACGACCTCGTGATGACAGTAAAGAACGAAGGTCTGGGATTTGTGCGGCTTGTCGGTCTGCCATTGCAATGCAGATAACTTTGTACGCGTTTGTTGTTGATTTATATTATACCACTTGCGAACGGGCCTCAATTGCGTTACTAGTCCGTATTGCGACTAGCTTGAACGTCCTATCAAGACCATTCTGAGCCGTCGCGCTTCAACTTTAAATTATTGCGACCTCAGTCACTCTTTACGCCAAATTTACTGTCGCAACTTCCCACACGCTCGCACATAACGCTGACGATTTCTAAATTGAAATGTCGGAGGACCAGAAGAGGGCAGACCGCGAGCTCACGCGACTATGGAAGGTTCGAGGAAATGCGCAGCAAATGTGCGCTGATAGAGTACGTATGCGGTTTTGAGTGTTACAGCGCAGACTGAATATACTAACGTGAGGCTCAGGGCTACGAGATCTCTACCGATGAGATTGAGATGACGTACGACGAGTTCAAGCGGAAGTTTCAGATGCAAGATGGGATTCTTGAGTAAGATAGTCGTCCCGGCTTTGGCGAACAGTCTTTATAACACATCCAGTCGTCGCAACCTCTCCTTCCGTGCCATACCTAGCGAAGAGATGCTTGCAAAATACACCGACCCGCCAACAGCAAAGGTTCCCGACCCGAAGCCCCAGATCGGGACTATACGCATCGAGTTCGCACCCGACGGCCAGATTGGCACGAAAGAATTACGAACATACATCCATACTCTGCACGACGAGAACTTCTATACGGGTATCTTCATCACGAAAGAGCCGATCACCTCTATGGGAAACCGCTTCTTACAGGGAAATCAAGAATTCAAACCTCCAGGTGGAATCGAAACATTCAGCGACCAAGACTTACTCGTCAACATCAGCAGACACGAACTCGTACCAAAGCACATCCTACTGTCCAAAGAGGAGAAAACCGCACTGCTGGAGCGCTATCGGCTGAAAGAGACGCAATTACCAAGGATGCAGGTCACGGATCCCATGGCTCGCTACATGGGGCTGAGGAGAGGGCAGGTCGTGAAGATTATCAGGCCAAGTCAAACGGCTGGACGGTACGCGAGTTATCGCTGGGTCATATGACGGACACGATTAGCATATTCAAAGGGCGAAGTGGGCGTTTTTGCGTATAAGGAAAAATGGCGAACTGGTTGGTACTGTAACTTTATGCTACACTTACAGTCAAGCAGACTTGAAGCACGGTCTATTAATCGCGATGATGTTCGAACTCTACACTTCATTTCATGCGTTCTTCCCTTCCTTACCTCGCCTCACAGCTTCCAGTACAGCTCTCGTGATCTGGTCCCTTTCCGCCGTGTCAACCCTCCCATACGCCTGTTCCGCCTCCTGAAATACCTTCTCCTCCCACCTCTCCCCAACATTCACACTCCCAGCATCATCCCAACAACTCTGGACCGTCCCTCCAATATTTTTAAAGAACCCCTCCAATCCACCCTCTCCTCCCCCAGCATGATAGCTCTTGAACGGCCCAGCCACTGCCCACCGCGGGCCCATGCTCCCCTCAACGACCCGATCCACATCCTCCAACGACACCACGCCTTGCTCAACCAGATACACCGCCTCGCGCAACAGCGCAAACGCAAGCCGATTCGCCACAAACCCAGGCACCTCCCTGCGCACCAGCACCGGCGCCCGGCCACGCGCACGCCAGAACGCCATCGTCCGCCCAACCACATCCGCCGATGTGTCCGCGCTCGGACACACCTCCAACAGCGGCATCACCGCCGGCGGATTATACGGATGCACGACGCACAGCCGAGTGCGGTCGCGCATGTGCGCTGCCTGTGCGGACGCCGGGATCCCGCTTGTGCTGCTCCACAGCAGGGCCGAGGATGGAGCATGTTGCTCTACTTGTGCCCAGAGGGCGGTTTTGAAGGGCAGGTTTTCGGGCCCGGATTCTTGGACTATGGACGCGTTGCGGACGGCGGTGATGTCGGGGGTGAGGATGAGGGAGGGGATGAGGGCATGTTGGGCGGGGGGCAGGGTGGTCTTGAGGGTGCGTGAGACGTGCGCTGGGAGGTCCGGGCGGGTGTCGATTATGGTGAGGGATGTTGGGGGGAGCGACTGGAGGTGTAGGGCGACGAAGGAGAGGCCGATTGTGCCGGCGCCGACGAGGGCGATGTGTGTTTCAGGGGCGGTCGTTGTTGTCGAAGACATTCTTGTGTATGTGTGGCGTATCTGGCAGTTTATAACGCATGCAAGCGGTGCTCGAAGCGGGACAGGACTGCGGGGTTAAGAGGGAGTTAATGTGGTGGCGGCGGCCGGTAACTACACATTCCCGGCAAGATGCTTGCGTGGGAAAGCCACAGGAGCCTCCGAAGCCACAACGTTATGCGGAAGGTTGGCCGAGGATACCGGAGAGCAACTGAGGGGATGCTAAGGTTAGGATGTACATATAGGGTTTCTATGTTTTGGGACTCAGCTTTTGTAAGTCACTTTCTAGCATGGTATATATACATCTCGTACAGCATGGTCCTTTTCACATCAGATCTGCCTGATCTTGACAGTACGAATGATGCATCGCAAAGTGGAATGAAATGAATTGCTAATGAATTTCAGTCCCGCGAAACATCACCGACTGGGATTTCTTATTCGACTCGCCATACTCGCCAGTAACACGCTACGCCCCGAACAAACTCGCCGGCTACACCAATGCCATTACCGGCCAGCGAATCCGCTACGACGAAGCCCGTGACTACTCGACCTGGCTCTCGACTGCCCTGGTCAAGAACCACGGTCTAAAGCCCGGCGACACCGTCTCTCTGTTCAGCCAAAACTCGATATGGTACCCGATTGCTCTCTTTGGCGGCATCCGAGCCGGCGCCAAGATCTCGGGTGCATCTCCGGCATACAATGCTGAGGAAATGACATATGCCCTGAAGACGGCAGACTCAAAGTATCTCATGACCACCGCAGCATCCATGGAAGTTGCGCTCCAAGCAGCAAAGGCAGCGGGACTCCCCAAGGAGAGGATCTTCTTGCTCGAGGGCAGACTGGACGGCTTCGCCAGTGTCCAGGATCTGATAGAGCTGGGAAAGAGTCATGGCGAAGCAGGCCAGATCCCAGCGTTCAAACTGCCAGCAGGCAAGAAGAATGGCGATGTGTGCGGGTTTTTGAGCTTCAGTTCCGGTACGACCGGGTTGCCCAAAGCCGTGATGATATCGCACCAGAACATGATTGCACAGTGTATGCAGCTGCACCAAGTATGTGCACCAGACTACGACAAAATCCTAGCAGTCATCCCCCTATTCCACAGTAAGTCGATTGCACATACATAGGGTCAGCGTGGCGCGGGACCGCAAGACTGAAGCGCCACACAGTATCAGGCCTCGTACACTTCATCCACTTTCCCGTCCTCGCCAACTCCGAGATATACATGCTCCCAGGCTTCAAAATGGACACAATGCTCGGCGCGATCGAGAAGTACAAGATCCGAGACCTCTTCCTCGTGCCTCCCATCGTCATCCGCCTCGCTCGAGACCCCATCGTCGACAAGTACGACCTCAAGCACGTGCGCCGCGTCTTCTCCGGCGCCGCCCCAACACCCGCCGAGATCCTCCAGCTGATAGCCAAGAGGTTCCCCGGCTGCGGCTTCAGACAAGGGTATGGCATGACGGAGAGCTGCAGCTGCATCACCTGCCATCCGTTCGGCTGGTACGATTTCAAATACGCGCACAAGGGCGGCAAGATCGTGGCAAACACCCAGGTCAAAGTCATCAAGGACGACGGCTCCGAGGCTGGCATCGGCGAGCCAGGCGAGATACTGGCCCGTGGGCCCCAGATTGTAATGGGCTATTTGAACAACGAAAAGGTATATGAATCCACCCGTCTTCCCTAAGCCCCAACCGTCATCATTCTCCCACAAAACACAAAATAACAAGTCCAAAAGGCCACCGCCGAAACCTTCGACGCAGACTCCTTTCTCCACACGGGCGACTCAGGCTTCTTCGACGCCGACGGCATGGTCCAGATCGTGGACCGCATCAAGGAAATGATCAAAGTCAAGGGCATCGGCGTCGCGCCCGCCGAGCTCGAGGACCTGCTCCAGGGCCACGCCAGCGTCGCCGACTGCGCCGTCATGGGCATTCCAGACGACTACGCGGGCGAGCTGCCCAAGGCGTTTGTTGTTGTGGCGCCAGGCGTGTGTGCGAATGAGGACACCGCGCGGGAGATTATGGCGTTTGTCAGGGGGAGGAAGGTGCGGTATAAGCATATCCGGGAGATTGAGTTTGTGGATGAGATTCCGAAGAGTGCGTCTGGGAAGATTCTGAGGAGGGTGTTGAGGGAGAGGAAGAGAGGCGGGGAGAGGGGGGTTTGTGTGAGGGATGTGGTGGACGAAAAGGCCAGGCTGTAAATAGGGTGGTTCATCGCATAACGAAAATTATCAGGCCAAAGATGGATTGAATGGGTATCTCATCTCATTCGACGTGCTCTTGCCCTTCTTTCTCGAAACATCAGTCGACCTTGAAGCTGAAGTACCGCCGTGCCAACATGTTACGAGCGTCTCCTGTATACACTCATGCATGATCCCAAGAACAGCGCGCCCATCTTCTCTTCATTCAAAGCTTGTCCAACTGTGCCACAGCTGTCTACACATTCATAAACTCTGCATCTTTCGCCCCAAATTCTGGGCTATACCACAAAGCAGCCATGTCCGGGTCAGATAAGACTGCTATTCATTCGCTTAGGAGCTCGAGCTGTTGACATGTGTACGGGGCGCTTGGCGGGACGAGAAGAGTCCTTTTCTGACTGTCTTCCTCGAGACTCCGATTTGCTATCCTGCGTACCAGCGTTTGGTCCCTCGAGGATAATTTTGGCGTTTGCATGCTAGGAGTTCATCGTTGCAGTAGTGGCTCTGATGACAGCAGGACATCGGAGCGAAAACCACAAGCAGTCTAAAGCAACGCGACGGGGAAAGTGATCGTCAAGTATTATTTGATGAAAGGGTATACAGTTTATGGACGGCCTGAGCACGCGGCGGACAGAGCAAGATGGAATCCCGAGGAAATACGAGAATACGGGCTCGGCGAATTGTTAGCATGAGCTCAATAAAGTTCCAACAGCAACTAGGCACTCACTCCGACGGAAATTTCACACACCCATATGGCGCGTAGAAATGAAAAGAGTCCGAATAGCGCGGGCATGGGCGATGCCAGATTTCCGCTCACATATTTCCGAGCACGACTGTGCTCAGCCCACACGACACCAGCGACGGCCCGTCGTTTAGCTGCAGAAGCGCACAGGACTTGTTCTTGTCCCGAAAGTTGTGGACGCAGCTTTTCTTGCAGTCAGATTCAGCTTTGACGAAATTCGATGACGTGGTCGAAAGGTAATTAGTTGGCGCAGTTGAGCTGTCAAGCAGGTTGGGACGGATGAGATAGAATTTCTTCTCTGACCATCAGCACAAAGGCCAAAAGGCAATGAAAAAAGGTTGCGTCGGCTTGCGGTAGTGCAATGGTACAAGCGACACGGTGTCAGAAGACATGAGCAAGCCCAGCGGTCTTCCGACGAGATCCAAAAAGAGTTTAAATCGAGTAAACGTCACCGTAGTGACATTTCAGCGATTAAACTGAAAAGAACAGATACTACACTTGATCTAAGCCAACTGTGATGAGAGGTTAGCAAATGCGTTTGGGAGTTGAAACTTTGATGGAGGAACATACAAGGCAAAGAGAGCTAAAGAAAAAAGAAGGAAGAGAGAAAGAGGGAGAGCGAGTTCTTATAGAAAATTGGAATCTCGCTTAGGGCGCTCGTGCCACAGCTACTAGCGTATCCCGTGACTTGACCCAGAACTGCCATATACAGACTAGCGTTGCACAACTCCCAGACTTCACCTTCTCTCTGAGCACGCCCCTTCGTGGTGCCTGACGATGAATTTGTTGCCTGATGGGATTCTGCACTTCTGCCGAAGCAGTGCACGAGCAGGTCTATGTTTCCAGTATCCGGCTTGATCCTCTATTCCAGGATTGAGGTTGCGTCCACGGGTACAAGACTGAGCCGGCTACTAACATTCTTGACAGTGTATACAATGCCGAAGCTGAGGTCAAAGCCGCGACGGATCCGCTTGCGACGTTGTACTTGGCTACGAGAGCGAAGTTTGGTTCCCAATGACGTCCGGCCTGTATGATAAATAGCGCTCATGGGATGGGGTCTAGACTCCACTACGACGTGCAGATATAGTAACATACACAACAACGTCTAGATCAAGGAAGACCCGGTCTTCGTTATCGAAAAAAAGCATGAATGAAACAATGGTTCAAGATGCCCAGTCATCCATGAACGACTTGTTCGGTGAAACTTAGGGTGGGGCAATACGGTCCGCAAGGATTTATATCGCTCACCAAGGATGACGAAGGATTGTCTTCGAGAATGCATGAGGTTGTGGGTAACACTATTTGTCCAGGTAACAGCTGTTGATATGTTTGTATTGCTTGCATTCCTCCCGGTTCAAGAATAGAGATCATGTGTCTCATGCCTAGTGCTCGTCTACCTCTTTCTGTGCATTCTGCTGCCGGGCCGACTACCTCCCATGGGCCACGCAGGTTATGTGGCTAGAAGCCAATCTGAGCAGCTCGTAGCTCCTGTCATCGAATATGCACTTTTCGACATCTCCGCCCTGTCATACGAAGAACCGACATTTGTGCACCCATGATGGGTATCGTATGTGTCCATCCTACTTCCGTTATCAAACGCTCTTGGAATGCGTCAACTCGCTATGCGTCCCATCTGTTACTCCAATGAATGCTTGCGTCTCGAATCATGCCCATTTCATATCAAATCAACTCCGCGTCCCCACTCTCCACAGCCTGCCTCACACTCCTCCACCGTACAACCCAAACATCTCCCCTCTTCATCTCAAACTCCGTATCCGTCCCCTCCACCGTGATGAAGCCCACATCTCTCACAGCTCTTACAAACACCGCACTGTCAACATCCGGCGCATCAATCATGCTAACACCACCAGCCGTATCATCAAGCCGCTGCAGCGCAGGCGGGAACTGGCCCAGAAACGAGGACTTGTAGTGTGCAGCCAGTAGCGCCTGATGGGCTCGTAGGTACTGTGTTTCCGACGTCGACAGCTTTGCCAGGACGTCTGGCGTATTGAGGATATGATACGGATGCGCGTCGATCTATGGGTTCATTTCACCATACAGTCAGCTACCGATTCCTCTCACGCCATGCCTCGCAAGTCCAAAGACTCAACTCACCTTCTTCAACCTCGCCCTCAACAAGCCCCGGACCAAAAACTTCCACCGCTCCAACTCAGTCTGCACAACAATCAGACGAAACTTCTCCTTGTCCGCCCCTCCCGTCGCCGCGCCACCCAGCCCGTCCGCGCCGCCCGCCATGCCATCCTCCACGCTCCGCACCTGCTCCGATATTCTTGCCAGGACGCGGTCGAGCAAAGGGGTGGGATACGGGAGGAGCTCGGGCGCGACGCGTTCGGCAACCCAGGCGCGTGTCAGCGCGTGCAGGTCGCGTGTTCCTGGAGCGATGAGGGCGGCGGAGGAGACTTCGGCGAGGATGTCGTCAATGTCCATGGTGTGACTACCGAGAGCGTCATTGAGGGGTAAGGGTCAGGTCATGGAAGAAGGGCGGTTCTTGGTAGTGTTCAATGGTTCGGAGCCTGGGGTTTGGAATGGAAAGTTTCTTTCTACGGAACGGTGCGGTCGGGAGACGCGCATGGTGGGGGTGGGGCATGGCGGGGCATCGGCAAATGACCTAACCAGGCCAGGACTTGGCTGAGTCGTGTGCCGCAGTCAAGAACTCTCTAGGTTCAGATCTAATCAAAACGCAAGGCACAAGTCTTTATTCGTTCCAGATGAGCAATTTCACCACTGGCCACGTAACCGCATTCAAACAAACAGTAGTTGTGTAAGTTGTAATGTCATGTATCTTAAAGGTATTATTATGAAGTTGCCGCTACCTCCGCTGGAGATAGTAGCTCGCCTCATATGTGTATCGGAATGAACGTGAGACCCTCTTGGGTGCCACAAGAATGTTTGAATCGGTAGCAATCCATTGCTCCAAAGAATTGTCGGCGTATAGCCGGGGGAATAAAACAAAAGAGAAATAGTGCCCAATGACAGCCAAACGCCAAACGATGATGGAACGCCTGTAAAATGCAGCGCTTAATACGAGACTTGCCTACGTGCGCCTTGTCGATGCGTCTGCCACGATGTGCCTGATAGAATGGAGCTGTCTTCTAGCAGCTGTTTGGTACTGTTACTGGCTGCAAAGCAGCTGTCGTCGGTCGGATTTGAGCGACTGAAAGGCCGTCCAGGTCGAACGCGACCCTGGTTTGTTGGACTATCTTGGGAGTGGTCTTCACCAAAGGCAAAGGTTTGGGCGCGGTGGAGTTTGTTGCGATGGCGGAGCTTATTCATGCCCTTTTCACAGGCTGTTTCGTGCCCCTTGGAGTCCATCTTGGTGTAGCATTGCGGGAAACACCGTTCCCTATTCAAAGTGAAGAATGAGCTGTAACCGCCATCTAAGATATAGACCTCAGGATATGAGAGATGTGGATATCGATTTTCATTGACCATACGGTCTTTGGCTCGTATCGACTTGGCCCTGCTTCCCATTAGCATATAATAAGACGTGTGACACATGATAGAGACGTACATGAGAGGTGCACGATGCGCAGAGTATTCGCAATGAAAGATCAACAAGGATCTAGAAGAGCCATCTGAGCTGTCCGTTTCGAACAAGTTTTGTAAAAGTTGGTCTTTCTCGCAAAAGTTCACCGCACCATCGATATGACCGCCTTCGTATTCATATTCAAACCGGCAATCAATGACCATCTGTTTCTGAAAGTTTCCACTATATTTTCCATTGAGAACCTCTACCAAGGTCTCTCCGGTAATCCTAGGGAGACTGTCAGGTTCATCGGGTGGGATGAAGTGAGGTAATGCCAGGCCGGGGGAGTCGTCGACATCCATGACGGACTGGAGTGAGCTAGGTTTGTATTCCTCCTTATCTTGCTTCATGATATCAGCGGGGTTTTCAAACATGCTCAACGATCTTCGGAACTTGGTAGGCCGTCTCGAAGGGGGACCGGCTGTTGGTTTCCGAATGGCACCATCATACGGTGATGAAGAACCTCTAGCAGGCTGGAAGGGCTGCGGGAGAGGGCGCTGTCTTCTAGTGGCAAGTACGTTTGGGCTATTTTGAAACCATGATCCTCCACCTTCCCGCGGTGGTGACTCGGCAAAGAGTGAATCAGGCAGAGCAGCCCCTTGAGCACGACCTTGCATTTGCGATCCAAAGTTGAGCAGACTATCTTTGTTCGAAATCTCCTTCTCTCTCAGTGCAGTTGTAGTGGTAGATAGATTCTTTGCTCGGGCAAGCGAGGGTCGAAGCGCGAATGGTTTTCTCTTCCTTGAAACACAATTAGATACAAAGCTCCATCCATTCTAATGTTCACTCACTCCTGTGCAGACACCGGACGAGCAGGGAATTCGAATGCAGGTCTGTCCGGTGCTGTCAATGGTGATAGCATGTCCTCATCGTGGCTCGTGAGGTCCAGGGATGACGACTGGGGCGGAAGTTGAGTGATGATGGAGAAGGGAGCTTTGTGTGGTAGCGGCGAGATGTCCATGAGATCTGCGGATGGGGAAGAAAGGATCGGGGGAGTGACTCCGCCTTCCCATTGAACGGGGGGTGTTATCGTTCCTGCCACTGAAGCCATATTGTAAGCCTTAGACTCCCAACAGTTCAGAGTAGCAAGTATCCTACCAGGAGTTACATGGTTTGTTATCAGATTCGAGGTGAAAAGCGACCGTCGAGGTGTAGCGAATTGAGGACTATAGAAATTATTAATCTTGGCTGCGCGGCTCGGAGAATAATTATAAATAGTCACCTTTGGTCAATATGGAAGTTTGACGACAGATCTGCAGCTAAGCTTGCTGCTGGAGATGAACCTCGGACAGGCGTTACGGTAAAGTAGTCGAAGCTGGTCTTTGGCGGACATTTGAACTGTAGATTTGTAGCGAAGCTCGTGGGGAGGTCTCGTCGAGAGGGCCAATTCGAAGGATGCTGGGGCGGCCGCATGGCAGCCAACGGCGATGAAAACTCCATGATTGCTCAAGACCCTTCCTTCCAGTACGTCGTAACGTACCGATGGTCCAGTCAAGTCTCGACGGTAACGAAAGTGCTCGTACGTGGAAGCTTTAGTTGTGGGGAGGCGTGCTGTCGAGCTCTGGTAATACTGCAGCTAATCAGGATGGCGGAATCGAGGAACGGAGGTCCAATAGGGCGTAAGACTGAGGAGTAAGATGCTGGAGGAAAGCTGGAATACGTTTGAGAGTCGGCGAGGTCGTCAGTCGAGCATCTGGTGTGACAGAGCTGGTGGAGTCGTGGTATATGACGAGAGGGGGGGTGTGGTTCTGGTCCAGGTCCTTCCTTCTTCCTTGCTTGCAATTGCCAATGGCTGATGTTCCAAGCCAGACAGACAAGCGAACCCAAGAGACCAGGCGAGAAGGTGGACGAGGACGACGACGAAGCAATAAGCTTATAGAGGAGGAAAACGAGGTTAGAAAGGGTTTTTGGAGGACCCAAAGAGGTCTCCAGGACAACATCAGGAAGCCAAACGCGGGCACAGCACGGCGACGAGAAGAAGCTCGGAGCCAGACAGGGCAGAGGGCAGGTTTGCGAGCTTGACTTGAGTGCTAGTCTATATTGGGACTAGTGGTAGGCAGTTAAAGAGGTAGTGGGATGGTTAGCAAACTTGAAAGTCTGGTAAATGGTAGCTTGGCTCAATCGTGCTGCAGCGACTAATGCTCGCTTGTCCCCAGTCAACACCCATATCCCCCCCCCTTACCCCTACACCCCCCCCCCTCTCACACCTCCGAAAGCAGGCAGTCAGGTCAGTTTAGTCAGTCAGTCAAGTGAGTGAGTGAGTGAGCAATGAGCACACTGCCCTGGCTGGTTGCAATGGCGCGCATGGGGCCGGGCTGAGGAAGCGTGCATGACGCTTCCGTCGCTATGCCCTCTTACTGGCTATATTCCCCTGGCCGACCGGCTGCATTACGCCCTCTCGATTCCTCTTCATCAATCGATCGATCAAGGCGTCTTGTAGCACTTATATTTCTTTGCGGGATACTCTACCTAATTTTGATTCCGATATCGGGGCTCTTCGTTACTGCCCTGAAACTTCTATTTACATAGCTAATCTTACAAACTATAGTTATTCTCGGTTGAAAATCTAGGAAGATTCGGTAAGACAGTATGGAGGTATAGAGATGGAGAGGACAGCCGTGCACATACAGGGGACTAAACGAGGGAGGCCATTCGTGTAGATGACGACGAATCCGATGAACACGACGGCGACGACGACCATGCTGATCAACGACATGACATTGACGTGATTAGCGACAGATGCAAATGCAGGAGTTACGGCCGGTGCCCGGCAAGGCTTCTACGCTTGCGACCTTTGTCCATCCTCACCGCCCTTACAACCCTTATCTACCGAGTCATCCATCGTATCTTTCTCATCTACAGTTCTCCCCATCATTCATCCCACTACTCCCCATACCCGCCGTCGCAGTAGGATCATCCGGACCACCCGGATCTACAAGATCGACGCGATCGCCAGTGTCAAACTGTTAGGTGCAGGTGCCAAGTGCCAACGCAGCATGGTACAGCGCTGCAGAGTACCAGTACCACTAGGCCTGCAGGATGATCCGTAGTAAAGTGTAGCACAGGACTAGTATAGTGGTGGCCGTGATGCATATATAGCTGCAGTACGGGACGTAGCCGGACAGGACGGCACTATATATGTCTGCAGTGCAACATCGGGGGTTAATACGCGAGGACGGTGCATGGATACGGGAATGTAGGTGCTGCGGTTACGGAGGTGCAGCGGTTACGGAGGTGCAGCTGGGGTCAGGAGATCAGATGGAGACGGAGTACCACTCCGATGCACCTACATGAGTGACAATGCCGCTAAAGAAGGGGAATGAGGACGCTCGAAACGTCATATCATGACACGTCGCGGCATCTGGAGAGGAAATGTAGAGGACGGACACGCTAGGGAGGGCGGATAAGCACGAGGACGAGGCTCGGGACGTCATACATAACTAGCTACAGATAACTATAGATATAGCTGCACATAACTACTGCGACGTATTCCAGAGGAAGAGAGCTGGGAAAGATGTGAACAGACACACAGACAGACGTATGCACACCCGCACGCATGTGTGACACATAGGCTGGTAGACGGGTATTATCAGGATCAAGACTGGATGCAGATACAGACGACTACCGCAAAGTGCTGGCAGGGTGGCGTACAACCAGACAGATAGGCAGTGCATAGTAGACAGATTGACGCATGTACGAATCGGATACAGATGTGTGCGCAGGCTACGCATTAGTGGTGGCTTTTGTTACTAGCTGCACTAAGACTGGTTTGTATAGGGCATCATGTCCTCGTCTCAGTGGAGGGAGGTGAAGGTGTGTAGTGTATGGTTGTTAGATGGATGACAGGGGCTTAACGTTGGTGTGTGCGGACAGGACAGGACAGGACAGGACAGGATAGGGTCTTGTTGCTATAGACTGACGCAGCATGTGCCTTTCGATGCTGAGAATACATTGCTAGTGAATCGGTGTTGCGATATATCGCTGTACCTTATCTACCGTGGTGGTAGTTGCGGCTAGGATGTCTTTGCCAACAATTGCTATTTGTTCATGAGACTCTAGGCTAGGATGGTGTATGTATGGCCAATGGTGCGACAGCGATGTAGGGAGGAGCATGTCACGGTTTTCATGCACATTGATCTTTGGTATGAGCATATATGCAAGTCGAAAGGTAGGAGAAAACCTATCAGATTCGCATTCTCACGTTCTCAAACTTCGTCTGCCCACACATCATACCCAAACGTACCCCTCATGTTGACGAACCGCGTATGCCTCCCTTTTGCTACCCCCTCCACCGCCTCAAAATCTTCCGCGCTTAGTTCCGGAATCTCCCAATTACTCCGTATCCGTGCCGGTGTCGAGCTTTTCGGGAGCACCACATATCCCCTCTTCAGACCCCACGCCAGCAGAATCTGCGCAAGTGAGTTCCCACTGCGCTCGGCTACTGCATTCAGTGTTGGGTCAGTCCGCACCTTCTCACCGGTACTTGGAACCTGATTTTGAGATCCCAAAGGAGAGTATGCAGCTGGAAGGATGTCATTCTGCAAACAGAATGTGACGAGCGCGTCATTTGGAAGAAAAGGGTGTATTTCGATCTGATTGACAGCAGGTTTAATGGCTGCGAATGAGAGCAGTTGTTTCAGGCCTTCGATGGTCCAATTAGATACGCCAATGGCGCGTGTTCTGCCAGATTTCGCCAATTCTTCCATGGCGCGCCATGTTGGCTTTGGGTTCTCAGTCAGAGTCTTTTTGATGATATACTTGCCATCGGTGCCTAGTTTGGGCATATGACTTCCGTCGGATTCAGCGGCGATGGGCCAGTGGACAAGAAAAAGGTCGATGTAGTCGGTTTTCAATTTCTTGAGAGAGTCTTCAAAGGACCATTTGACTTCGTCAGGCTCGTGGAGATGATTCCATACTTTTGTGCAGATAAAGATATCAGATCGTTTGACGTCAGAGTTCGTTTGTAGAAAGTCTCGCACGGCGTCACCGACTTCATGTTCGTTTTGATAGAACCATGCACAGTCTAGATGTCGATATCCGGTCTTCAAAGCCTCAGTAACCGCTGTGTAGGTTTCACCTTTGGCTCCCTCATTCGCAAATGTACCGAATCCAACTGCTGGTAGCTCGACGCCATTATTCAAGGTATACACCTTGCTGTTTGCGGCTGCGCTTCTTCCTCCCATGGTGTTAATTCGTGAGATTCGTGCTAGATAGTGTTAAGCCTTCAAGGACCCGGAAAATTGAAGGGCTGTCAGGGTCCGCTCTTTCGACGCATATACTGTTGTTTAATAGAGGGAATCCTTCGTTAGGCTGTTCTGAGATTGCATCATTGTGCACCCTGTCCGTTCCGACTCACGCCATCTCAACAAAAGCACAACCACCAAATGCCGAATTAGCAGGATCAACGGCGCATAAGAATTCGCAAATCATACCCACAGCTGTGGACACACGCGTTTGGTAGTGGCGGTGATCGTCATGTTATGTGGGTCGTACTCGAGTCGGGGGCACAGCCAACGAAAGATACGAAACATCAACCCACTTTCGATGTCATTACTAGTCGCTGTGTCTGTAGCTGCGGCCGAGATCTTGTAGCATCGTGTGTCCTACTCGCACTACTCGCACTGCTGATCCTGCGGGTGTGTGGCTACCAGTAAGTGCATCAAGGACATGCTTTGATAGTAAGCACCGAAAGGACTGGACCCTGATAATGGAGCGAGCCAGTGACAGGCGCAGAAAGACGAGCCCACAACACCAGGTGGACATGCCCCTGACATACATCCGAGACGAGAGCTTGTGTTATGTGATGTAATGTTGATGATGTCGCCGTGCATGCTGATAGCTTGTGGATTCTGCGTGTTTCGTCATCCGGAAACGTCCGGCAAGAGGTTGGTGTGGATGTGGATGCTGAACGAGGACATCAAAGATGATCAGATCTTGTCCGTAGATGTCGGTGTCGAGAGAGTATATAGAGAGATAATCCTGGCCATGAACACTCCTCATTTACACCCTACTCCACTCTGCTGTGTAATCTGCAGATTTCTGATCTTCCTGACTTAACACAGTCTTTGATTTGCAACACCCCTTTCACCCCAGATGATCGCGATGCCTGCCTTCCACGATACTACTTTCGCGGTGCAGGCTCCGCTGTCCGCACTCAAGTCTTGCGACAATCGTCATGGAAACTCGCTTAACATTTCCAGTGACGGCGGCGATCATGAGCACTCGGTCGAAATTCCGGCCACGCGGAGTTCTATTTCTGATGCATCACAGTACATGCACAATCTGAGCGTATCTCCATCAACGAAAGATCGTCGTGGTTCCCGGAACTCCCTTGGCACTTCACTGCCCATTCCCCGTTCGAAACGCCAGTCGAGATTGTCGTCCGTTCATTACCCTGATGGCCACATCCTCACGAAGGCTGGAACCAAGATTGTCCAGCCATGTCGCGACATCATCGCAGCACAACTTCAGGATCTATCTGGTGATAAAGTCAAGGCTGCCAAAAATATGGCGTTTGTCTTCGATATCGATGGTGTGTTGGTCCATGGTGACCGTCTCATTCCAGAAGGGAAGCGTGCTCTCGAGATATTGAACGGTGATAACGAACTTGGTATAAAGATACCTCACATCTTCCTTACTAACGGCTCGGGGAAGCCCGAAAAGCCCCGCGTCGACCAGCTGTCGAAAATTCTGAATTCACCCATCTCCACAGACCAGTTTATCCAGTCTCACACACCCATGCGTGCTCTTGCAGAGTACTACAATACCGTTCTCGTCGTGGGAGGTGAAGGGTACAAATGTCGGGAAGTGGCCGAGCAATACGGCTTCAATGACATCGTGGTCCCAAACGATATCATTGCGTGGGATCCTACAATTGCACCATACCGTGTCTTTACTGACGCAGAGCGTGCGACGTCGCGGCCTCGTGACTTCTCACAGGTCAATATCGAAGCCATCATGGTATTCTCCGACAGTCGTGATTACGCCACGGACATGCAGATCATTATGGACCTGTTGCGGTCGGAGAAGGGCCGATTCGGAACTGTGGCAAAGGATCCTGACTCTCAACGGATCCCAATATACTTCTCGCAGGGCGATATGTTGTGTCCCACCGAGCATCCCATACCCCGCATGTCACAAGGCACATTTCGCATTGGCCTTGAAGCCATGTACAAAGCCTTGACCGGCGTCGACCTTGAGCGTACTGTGTATGGTAAGCCTGAGCTTGCGACATACAAATATGCCGACGAGGTCATGGCAAGTTGGATGGAGCAAATCCACGGCGACGAGTGCTTGCCATCTAATATTTACATGGTTGGCGATAACCCGGCATCCGATATCGTTGGCGGAAACATGTATGGTTGGAACACCTGTCTGGTGCGAACTGGTGTGTTCCAGGGCGGTGACAATGATGAAGTAAACCCAGCCAACTTTGGTGTATTCGAAAATGTGCTAGAGGTGGTGACCACTGCCATCAAGAAGGAGCTGGGTTCTGATTTCAAGTGCAAATTCGACGAGTCGATCAATCCAGTCTTGCATGGAACAGGTGTTTCGGCCATTGTCTAGTCGTCTTTTTACGGGCTGGAGTGCGCGGCGTTTTTGAATATATCTGTTTAACAACGACTGCATTTGTCTTCTTTATTTCCGAAATGTGTCGAAATCGATACTTATCCATGATTAATAGCATAGTAATCATGAGTATTTGTTCAATGATTTAAGAGTCGAGAATGACTTTAGTATCAAATCTTGACACTAGTACATATGGTTCGTGTTTCATAAGACACAATGGCTTGCCCGCAGTCGACAAACCGAAGCTGAAGGATTTGGCGATATTGTCAAGTCAGTATCCCATGCGGACTAGAAGGATGCTAGTTGATCTCAGATGTCAGAATCCAGCTCTAGGCGATAATTCCGTGATAGTGAGCCATTGCATCGGACTACGATGATCGCCTGATCGAGTTGGTGTTTGAGGACGAGCGCAGGCGACAAGTGAAATGACAGAGAAGTAGCTACGGTAAAATACTGCACTACTGTGATAAAGACGGAATGGGAAGACTTTCTCGGGAGGTAGCTTGACTGTACATAAATCAGAGCACGAGTGTAGTTCTAGTAGGGTGTTTTATACGAAAACACTACACGAGCTGGGCAAGAGGAGATGGGTGACTTTGTAAATGAGGGAGAGATGGAAATGAGCGGAGTGAATATAAGGATAGTCCATGAACTTTCGTGTTGTGTCGTAGTGGAGAGAAACCTACGTGTTGATGAAGAATGCAAAGTGAAAGTGACGTTCCAACCCCGGCCTTAATAAGGACCGAATCACCGAGACGCGTCCAAGTTCGGGGGTATGGATGAGTCGTGCTCAGATAAATCCGTTTGTCCATAGTTACATGAGAAAGCTTGGCAGTTGGTTTACCTATTACCGCCGAATTATCCCTCTATAATTATAAATACTACTATATACTAATTTTATATAACCCTAAGGATATATCTATACTCTTTTTATTACTTTATACTATCTATAATATCTCTAAAACTATAGAAAAAGAGTAAAGAGAGTAGATTCTATAGAGAGATACTTAGGTCTAGCTAGCTATATACTCCTATATTTTAAAAGCGCTCTAGAAGGATAGAGAGAGAATATTAAAGATCTTTAGTATTATATATTAGTTATACTAGCTTTCTTCTATTATATATTATAGTTTTATATATTATAAAGGGATAATATGGTAGTAAGAGGTAAAAATATCGTTTATACTATGGTTCGTGTGCGCGCGAGACATGCGTGCACCGGCTGCCAAGCTTTCTCATGTAACTATGGATAAACGGATCTAGCGTGTTCTGATATCCGTCACATGGCCCCGCAAAAAAAGTCATGGACAATTCAGCAGCCTCTGCATCAACGTCGGTTTATCAATGAGGTTCAGCCTCAAACAATGTTGAAACGCAAACGCTCTGATTCGCTCAGCGGTGACGACGATGCCGTCAGCTTCTCCGAAGAAAGCTCTAGCTCACCGCCACCAAGGCAAAGCCTACGAACAGTACGGGCGGAGAGCAAACTCCAAACCGGTATTGCCAACGTGCACAAAGCCTTGAAGCTCGCTGCAGGGCTCGAGAGACAGAAACTGGGGCGGCGACGAAAGGAAGCGACCGAAAAGGGAGATGCGAAATTGAAGGAGCGCTTAGATGCTGAGTACATCGCGTGCAAAGTAAGGCTGTCCACAATATGCCATCTCCTTGGCTAATGCACCAGACTCTGAGCCTGCGAGATGTGGCTCAAATACATCTATGTAAAGTTCTGAACAAGATCAAGTCTATTTCGGCCAATCCTGCTCGACCACCTCTCCTCGATGCACCTTCGAAGACCTTCGGGTCAGAAACTGCGACCTTGAACGTAGCGGCACGGCTCTATAAAGCCGATCCTGTTAAGAAGGCGGTATCGCATGCAATTGAAGATCTGGTGAAGTCCCTCGGTCCGGTGGAGGATATTTCCAAAAAGGATGACCGTCGATACACCTCCGACACAGGGAATGGCGACGAGGAATGGTCTGGGATCTCGAGCAGCGAGAATGGTTCCGACATGCAGATAAATCGGCATAAGGATCTGGTGGCATCTGATGATGGTGAACGCGATGAATGTTTTCGAGGCATCCGAGACAAAGCAACAAGACCCGGTATAACGAAATCAGCTTTCATGCCAACATTGACAATGGGAGGCTATTGGTCGGGATCAGAATCAGAAGCTGAGGATCTAGAGGAAGATCTCGCTCCGAAGAAAAATCGACGTGGTCAGCGAGCAAGACAACAACTAGCTGAAAAGAAATTTGGACAGCAAGCGAAGCATCTTCAAAAGAAATCAAAAGACGAAAGAAATGCGGGCTGGGACCCAAAGAAGGGTGCCCAGTTAACAGGTGATGACCGGTCGCGGAGCCGAGGGGCCAGAATTTCAAACAAGAGCAAAGAAAGATTTCGTCCAGCGGTCTCGACGGGCGCAAATTCGGCACCATTAAAAGCTACGAAACTGAAAACGAGGGATGACACAGGCCCTGTGCATCCGTCTTGGGAGGCTGCTAAGAAGGCAAAAGAGCAGGCACAGACTGCACAGTTCTCTGGGAAGAAAATCACGTTTGATTGAAGTATGTCCTTTCCCGGGAGATCCTGAGATGCCGTGGACCATTTCCGCGGTCTCTTTGATAGAAAGACAACGATGAAGAATACTTGTGCGTCCTTTAGACCACATCTAAAGGTACTGATAAGTGAACCTCCCAGATGACGTCCGTTAATGTGTAGCTATCATTAGTACTTGACTGAGAGAGAGAAAATGGCACCCTCGGCATTGCCCATTCCTCCACAGCTCTAGCCAAACTTGCCCTATAAACAGCTGCAAGAGCGATCTCTCCAAATCGTCACACAACGTGCGATCGTCGCGTAAATCGCGGTCTACGGTTCATACACACTCCTATGAGGCTCCGACGTCGGGCCACAACCTGTTCAATAATCGGGAGCTTCCTGTCCTTCTATGAATATTCCAAAGGATCCCGCAGTACCATGAGATGCTTAAAAGATCATGAAAGCTTTGCTTCAATCAAACTTACTGGTGCGAATGCAACGTAAAAGGAGTGCACAGGCAGATCTGCAGAGCTTAAGCTACTCTCTTCCAATTCTCCTCGGCAAGTATGTGGGTGAGCTGAGCAATGGCAAATCCAGACAACGTGGGGATCTTCGTGTAGGACCTTTGAGTACCTAGCTCCAGTAAGGAAGTAATTCTTTCTAGTCTCCAGCATTCTCCGCAAATTTACAATTGATATCGCCTTAATACTCCCGAGCGTCTCTTCAAGAACCTACTACATAGCCAGCGACACGCAAATCACGCCTTCCTCGACCACTTCACACCCCAGCGAAAGTGTCTTCAATATGACCACCTCACCACCAACAACTCATCACGCTCACGTATCTCTCCTAAATCCACTCCACAAACTGCTGCTATATGTCACCTAGCGCAATCTCCTCAATACGTCACACAGCACTAAAAACGCCAATACCCATGTCTCTTCTCCATTCCTAGGCACATTTATCACCATGTCGAGCACATTATCTTGCTCTCATTCGAGAGGAGCCGTGAGGTTTCTCAGGACTTCCATTCCGACCTATTGTACAGACACGAATCTAGGATCTTCAAAGTAGTCCAGCGGTACTAGGGCAAGATAACAAACATCCCTTCGTAAGTGTACTTTCTCGCTCCTCCGCAGAATATGGTGAACCTTGACATCAAGCATGGTCACGTTAATTGCCCTAAAGACAAGACATGGTTCATGACCAGACAACATTACTTAGTTTCACTTGTTCAATCATCAATTTGTCAAAACAAAGTATCCAATTCTTCGACACCAACAATATATTCCCTAACACAAATTTCGTCATCTGGAGCGGCATAATACTCCACTGATCATTGTCTGACCTCGTGTCGGGAAAAGAACAGCTGTGATGCTCGCAAAAACTTCATTGAAGGCGTGAAACATGTTTTGGTTGAGGCTGGCAATATCGATGTCTTCATCAATTGTCGACTAGCATGATAGTTCCTGTGAGCGGAGGCTGTAAAGCATTTTCTGCGCTCAACTACCTGTGAAGGTTCTTGAAAAGCTTTTCATTGGTATACGCGCAATTAGGCTTCGTGACTCAATGTTATGTTCTTACTGACGAACACGTAATTTGAATGAGTATAATCGTACCAGAAATCAAACATCTCGTCTCTGACGTTCTACTTTTAACTGCCGTCGCTTTTCAGATATTAAACCTCTTCGACAATGGTATTCCTTTCGAGGCCGTAATGTTGACAATACCAGGTGAGGGATAAAAGCTTTCATGCCGAAATTGTCTCATGTCTCAGGTCAAACGCTACGTGTCGCCAAGAGCTATGGATTGCTAGGAAGCAGGGACTGGCTTCACAATCTTGTCATCTCGATATATTTTTTAAGACTTGAAATATATTTCTTAGATGTTTAATAGTTGTAGGAAGTGGAAAATTTATCCCTGTTTTGATATAATAGCTCCACAGAACCGTATTTAATTCCTGAGTAGCGTTTAATCATAATTAATACCAGCGCGTCGGAGCTCGGCGATCCGTCTGTATTCTAATGGATCTACGATTTTCCGTGACTAATGGATTACTGTCCAGGTCTTCCTCTGTTGGTCACTTTTCGGCAAGTCGTTTTCACTGGCCTCAACTACTGTCTGTGCTCATGTCTCGACGCGTTTTCTATCACGCGCAAGCAACCTTGCGACGCTATTCAATGTTTCCGGCTTCTCTATTGCGGATCAACTCCGGATCATTCTACAAGCAGTTCGACTTTGAACGGTGCGATCATCGCTGTAATGAACTTGAATCGAAAGCTGCGAGTCCGGTGACCTGGGCGCGGCTCCCATGTATGTTGCAAGGGATTGTTATCTGGTATGTCTGCTGATTGGAAAGTGTCCGATGGAATCGTGTTGCTTCCCAATACATTCACAATGCAGGAAATCATTAGAACCGCTATGGATAACTATGATCTTGATATTGAAGAAGGATCTGATGTCGATCGTCCATACATTTTTACCGTGCCAAAGGGCAAGTCTCTCCTCGAGTTCTCGTTTGGTCAGTATGCTAATATCCTTGCCAGGAACCCTGGTTCCAGACACACTTGCATTATACAGGAATAATATTGCGCACTTTTCTCTCAAGCCAGCACGACCTATGCCAAATGACGGTTTGTCATACCCCTCAGCGGTACTCTTTCTTACTAACTGAACGACAGCCTATGTGGAGATACTATCGAAATTTTACACAGAGCATGCTCTGAAGGAAGACGCCGACGAATGGCTTAGTAGCCACAGCTTTCAAAATGCAGTTTCGGACGAAAACGAATCTAAGTGGATGATGGACTGAACACCATTGGACTTGATGTGAATCGATTCTGGAATTGCACGAGGCTGGGATGGACGATCGACTAATAGGAATAATTATGCTCGAAATGATTGTACCGCCAGTCCTCTCTCTAGACCGACTTGTTCAGACGCGTGATAAGACGCTTCTGCAGGATCGGAACCCGCGCTAGCAAGGGCGAAGTATAATGGCTCTCCTCTGCAATTTGTCTACGAGATTCACCCGCTCTGGTCGGCATTCTGTAAGCAGAATGATTCCACCGATCTATACGAGTAGCTCATGGCTAGCCGCGCCGCTCTGCATACCTGTGCATCTAGGATGTGATAGCTACAAGGTTTGTATGGGAGCGAGCGGAAGGTCCGCAATGTCCCTGTAAATACTGCTGCTGCGACCAGCTGAAGGAGAATAGCGTCTAGTCGCGAGGGAGCAAGGATGGGGTGTATTGAACAGTCAGAAGTCGGGCCTCACGCGGTCTGGTCTCTATGGATGAATTTTTAAATCTGGGTACCGCCCTACCTGAACGATTACTTTCTTGAGATACAGATTTCAGAGAGGTAGCCCGTGCGAAAAGTACATAAGTATCTTTCCTTTCTCTTCTTTCTTAAGATTTCAATTCACTTATTATTAGCTAGACTTAAGTATCCAAAAGTTATATCCATGGAAAAATTATCCTATCTTACTCTATTAACTCATATATCTATATACATATTATGACATATAGGCTATTATAAAAAGGTATAGAAATCTAATAAATCTCGGGGGGTTCAGGGGAATATACGCATTTACGCGCGCCAAGAGTGTCAGCTTTTAGGGCAATGAATTAATTTGAAAATTTCAACCCGGGATCAAGCGTGTTCAACGCGACTCAAGATCCTGCATTCGTGAAAACAACACCACGCCGTGTCCGTTCTAGCTGGGCTTGCGCATGCATAGTATCAATGTGACACACATAGAGAGTGAGCCTGCAGCCGTGACCTAACGGTTCATCAGCTGACATTTTACGTATCTTGCGAGGCTCTACTTAGACTTTAGTTAGGAGCTAATAGGGTTGTGCCCCGAGTCAATGATTGCGAGAGAGACAGAGACAGAAAGAGAGAGAGAAAGAGAGAGCGAGAAAATTAGATGTGATACTCTTGTTAGCTGGACATATTCGTTCCGATTAAGCTCTTTCCCCAAGCATTGAGGTCATAGTTCTTAGTTGAGGACGCATCTTGGGTTTGAGGTCAGTGCTTCAAGATAAGGAATCCTCCGATCTATCATGCAGGTAGTGTTGCGCGACGGACAAGGATAGTAATAAATTACTCCGGAGCATTATTATATACTCCGGAGTGCAGTAAAAAGGACTAATACTCTACTTCTCCTACCGATTCTGCAATACAGTAGAGTGTTAGAATTCGCTAGAGCGCCTAATTGAGGTTTTTCAGTAAATACATAACAGAAAAATATTAGAGGTTTTTCAAAGCTAATGTTTAGTTTAGAGTTGGGTTTGACCTCGACTCCGTCTAAGAAGCCCTCGCTGTGTATTAAGTCTAAACTGCGAATTTCGAAAATAAGACCCATGAATAATGCAGGTATCTTGTTTAACGTTAGTATACAATCAGCTATGGTCTGATGAGATCATGCTCGAACGCACTCATGGAACTTATCGTTGATCGCTGATCGCGCGGAAGTATTGCTAAACTGATATATGCACTACTCACTAGCTGCTTCCCTGGCCATGTCTAAATCTCCTAATTCGGTTAGACATTTATCAGCCCCCATGCTAATAGAGCTTTAGTCTCGTATCATAGATTCCAATGCATATGCAGTGTCTATCTCCGGCTGGAGCCTGGTTCTTTGTGTATGTTAGAGTTTTGGATGACTAATATGGTACATACTATGTATATCGTGACCAGGCCAGGCAGTGTAGAAACTACGTTATTGATTCACTGTCATAGTCTACCCAATCGGACATATCAGGCAAGATGAGAACACAAGTCTCTATTCCGCTCATATCGTTTTTGACTGCAGCATTTGTAAATGCAAACTTGTCTGGGCCAGTGGTCGATCTCGGCTACGCACAATATCAAGGCAAGTACTTGGAAGACAACGAGTACGTGATGCCCCTATTCTTCACCTCAATACAATACTTGGCCTAACACCATGTAGCCTCAACAACTACTATGGCATTCGCTATGCCCAAGCTCCTGTCCACCACCTGCGCTGGAGACCCCCCATGCCAATCGAACTCCATAACAACTACTCCCGCAGCACTCCAATTGACGCAACAACTCCTGGCCCAGCATGCGTCCAAGGAAAGCCAACCTGGTTCGTAGATGAAGAATTCCCGCTTCCGCGCCCACCGGGTATTGAAGACTGTCTCCTCCTCGACATCAAGGTCCCAGCAAACCCATCCTCATCCAGTCTCCCCGTCATGCTCGAGATCCACGGCGGTGGCTACGTGCTAGGCAGCACTTCTGCATATCCCGGCTACGCACTCATGCAGCATGCTCGCGGCGACATGATCTTCGTCAGTATCCAATACCGCCTGGGCGCATATGGCTTCCTGTCCTCTGCGGACATCCTCGCACACGGCACTGCAAACGTAGGGCTGCTCGACCAGCGTGCGGCACTGGAGTGGGTGCAACGCAATATTAGAGCCTTTGGCGGAGATCCAAATCGTGTGACGGTCCATGGGGGGAGTGCAGGTGGTGGGGCCTTGAACCACCTCATGATCATGTATGGAGGCGTCCAGGCGCCGCCATTCCAGGCAGCGATTGTAGAGTATCCATGGTGGCAGCCGATGAAGAATGCGTCGGTGGTGGAGAAGCAATATCGCGATTTGCTACTGAAGACGGAGTGTGATGATATTGCATGCCTGAGGGGCTTGGATGAGGACACGCTTGCGGTGGCGATACAGAGCTTGTATGATCTTGGGTATAATGCTACGGCGGTGCAGTATTACGGGTATGGGGATTTCTACTTTGGACCCACGGTCGATGGGACGATAATCCGGGATCTGCCGTCGAATGAGTTTAAGCGAGGGAATTTCGCGAAAGTTCCTATAATGACGAACAAGGAGACGTATGAGGGGCTTCGCTTTACTGACACTGCCTTGAGTACTCCTGAGGATGTGAAGCAAGACTTGGAGCAGCTGTTCCCATTCGCACAAGGAAAAGCAGCATTTTGGAACCGACTGTTTCAAATGTATCCTGCTGAGAACTTCAACTCCAGTCTGTTTCAACGCGAGAAGATATTTGGCAACTCCATCGTTGATTGTCCAACGTATTACATTTCGACTGCAGCTTCAGACTGGGGAGTCCCGGTATATAAGATGGCATTTAATGCGGGGACACAACTCCATGCGTCGACGTATCCCTATTTGTTCAACAACAATACGTTGAATTGTAAGTGTGGTGTTTGTTTTTCATCTCAGACTGTTGCTGATCAATGGTAGACACTACACCTGGTTCGGTCGATAACACTACAATGTCTTCTATCATGCTAGATTGGTTCGTCTCATTTGTAATGGTGCATGACCCAAACGCAATCTCTTACTCAGGTATGCCGAAGCCACATTGGCCGACATATCTTGAAGCTTCAGCTCCTGGAACTTCGAATGGTTATAGAGTGATTGAGGTCAACTATACGAATATAGCCGTAGTGGCTGACCAGGACGCAAGTCCGCAATGTGACTTCTGGCATGCACAGAGCTATGTGATAAGAAGTTGACGGTAGGCGGCCAGCAACATACTAAGTGCCATTTGCCCTGTACTTGTCGAGTATATGTTGGAATGTATTTAATCATAGTCGGACTTGAAGCAGAGACACTGATGGTGATTGTTATTTATGACCTTAATAACAAACACTTGAAGCTCATGAAGCCGATCATGTTGGTTAAGTGCCAGATGGAACTACCGGTTTCACACACCTTATGATGATAATAGCGATCAGACATGGAGAATAGAGATGAGCTGTGTTCTCAATGTTCACTCTATACTGGGGACAGGAGGGTATTTGTGACAGACCTTACGTGTGGGAGGGTTGTGTCCTGACAGGAGCAACTAAAAAACGCTGTCCAACGACTTTGAGCGGGCCTCTCTACGCGACACTCAGATAAAGATGCCGGCGACCCTAGCCAATGATAGCTCCATGCCAAGGGTTGGTGTGGCTGGAGCGGCACAGCAGCCTGGAGTGGAGCGGTGGTGGATCGGATAGCAAAGAGGGTTTAGCGCACGCATTCGTTGACGTCGGGTCGACGTCCCCTGAAAACATTATCGTCATGCGTGAGGTGTCTCCTGGTGCGACTTTAGAACAACATAACACAATCTCACTCCTTACCACACTAATTCGCGCTTACTTTCAGAACAAACCTGTCTAAAGCCTACGCTCCTTATTACACTCTAATCTATGATACTTTTAGTCTAGGATCCTGAGATTGGCGCATATTCCGCAGTCTGTCCAAGCGCTCTATATCCTCGGCATCAGATCACGAGACTAGTCACAAACGGCGATATCAAACAGACAACGAAAATATCAATCGACTGTACCAGGACCAACAGGAACATTAGGACCATCCCTCACTATCGGCCTTATCTGAGCGTCAAACGCGGTCGCAGTCATGCAGCCTCGCACAGCCCTCTCCCTCCTCCTCTCCATTACCCTCATCTTCACAATCTACACCCTCTACTCCCACTCAGACGCCTACTCCGCCCTCCCAGCCGAATCCCCGCGCTCATTTGAATCTCTTTCCTCCCTCTCTTTCACGCTCGAGCAAGTCACAACAGCCAAAGTCCCCACCATGCGCGTGCACCTGCGCAACTCCTCTCCACACGCCTTCACAATCCTGACCTGGGGCACCCCCTTGGACGCCACCGCGCTATCCCAGCAGATCTTCACTTTCACGCCGCTCGACCTGGCCGCGCCCAAAGTCTCCGTGCCCAACGTCCAAATCTCGCGCGTACAACCGCCTCCACGCGCTGACTTTCTCGAGATCCCGCCCCATAAGGAAGTCGTCAAGGATATCCCCCTGACAGAGAAATGGATCCCACGAACCAAGTTGCGCATCGGTGCGACGGGGCGCTGGCACGCAGTGTGGGAAAAGGCGCTGAAGGATATGCCCCGCGGCGATCTGGACAAGCTGACGAACTCTATGCGGGATGAATTTCATGTGCGAGAGGCAGAGTTTGATCTGAGTGTGCAAAGGCCCGGGACGCCGGCGGAGGCGGCGAAGGGACCGGGTGGGGAGGGGAAGATTGTTGACCCTGAGGCGAAGAAGGTCGAAGATGAGGAAGGGAAGTATGGAAAGGGTGAAGGGCTGTTGATATGACGCGGTGCGATAGCATTATTTGTATATATTGACGTGACAAGGTCGGCGGCATGGTAAATATGGACAGAATCCTTATAGTTAAGTCATTCGCACGTCGTTTCTCGATTTTGTCAGGATATATATCCTTTGGTATAGGTTACGGTCATGCACACTAGTCAAGACCACAGCACTATATGTATTAGTTACAAGATGATGACCCTTTCCTAGATCATGGCTTCAGCAGGTCATTCATCTGTTCCCTTCTCTTTCCACTTGGTCAGCCCAACTCCGCTTCGATCCGTCTACTGGTGTATCTGGACTCCACGGCACAGCTGTCTCGGAGACCTTCTTTGCTTCGGTGTCCACTGTTTTCTCGAGCTGCGCCTTTTTAGGGAATGTCATTGGATTCGGTGCCCCCGAGTCGGTTTGTGCAGGCTTCGTCGACGGCGGCAAATCAGGGAAGTCATTCGCTGACGGTGGCGGTACCTGGTTTTGATCTTTGCGGGGTGCACTTCCATTCGTGTCTCCTCTTCCTCCTCGGACCCCACGACCACCTCGATCACCGCGTCCCCGTCCCTTTCCACGGCCACGGGAAGCGGGTCCAGAAGCCGAGTGCGAATTCACATCTTCAACACCTCCCTCAGAAGTTTCTGTGGCTTGAGGTCGTCGGTCCTGCACGACGCCTCCGTACGCCCCCCTCCTATTGCCTCTTCTTGCTTCATCACCAGTGCCACCAAAGCCCTCTTCTTTCTCAGCATCCCACTCTCTTCCAGTCAGTGCGTTCATCTTGCGCTGTCTGTTCTTCTCTCGTTCCCCAAGCATTTCAGTCCGTGTGGCTCGCTCTACCTTCTGCTTAGCCGCGGTTGCTGCGCGACGCTTCTGGCTCTCCTCTGCAGCACGCGCCTCGCGTTCGTCGGATTCTCTTCGGTCAGCTTCGGCACGGGTATGAGCGGCAAGTTTAGTAGCGTTTAGAAGCGACATAGATGCCATCTTAGCGGAGAGTTCGGCCTCTGTGAGTTTGGCCTGAGAAGTAGGTCAGTAGCTGATGTGCGAATATTGGTGCTATGGTTCACAGGTTTGCATATGATCTTACCTTCTTCACACCACCTGTCTTGCTCCTATCTCCTCTTACAGCTCCCTCCTTTCGTGGAGGCTGCACTGGGGTCTCTTTCGCATCGTCTGTAGGTGATGACATCGTAGCCGTGGCATTGGCAGTCGTTGTCGCAACGCCTGCGCCATTCTCTTTTTCGACAGTGTTGCCTTCCGCGATGTCTTTCTTTTCATTGTGATGTATGTGATTACTGCCTCTACCTCTGCCTCTTCCTCGCCCGCCTCGTCCTCTTGAGTGCGCCGCTGGGCCTGTCGGTATGCTTTTAATGTCTGGAACCACAGCCTCAGAAGGTGCTTCTATGACGACCGTCGAGGCATCTACCACAGGAACGACATCGTCGGCGAACAAATCGTCATCTTCGCGTGTTTGAGAGAACTCATCCATCATAGGATCATATGCGTCAAAGGTTTGCTTATTCGTTGTTAGGCCAAATGCAACGTAGGGATGGAAGTTACATACGGATTGTATCTCCTGAGGCAGAGGCTCTGCTATTGTTTCTGTCCCTAGAGGTGCTGGCTCTTGCATTGCGGGCGCAAGTTGAAGTGCAGGCGCGGGTGCGGGTTGCTCCTGGCTTTTCACTTCTGGCGCGATTTTGTTTTCATTTTCTGCCCCTGGCACAGGTTTCGGTGCCCATCTAGAGGATCTCATGTTTATCTTTTAACGTTAATTATGTTTGTTGTTCCAACGTTGTGCAGCTCCAGAAGTGAATCACGGATCAGTGTATGGATGCGGTCAATTACTAGCGCACCGCACTATACTGGTGATACTTGCGCTAACCAGAATTGGCGGGACTATCAATAAATGATCTGAGATCGCATTCAGGGTGTTATTGCAGCAAGTCGTGATACTCAATCAGCACCTGTAGATGGCCTTGAATATGCCATATTAATACGAGAATACTGCAGTGCCTTTAGCAATAAAGCTATGTTCGCATGACAGACTATGCTATTGGCTATGTTTCTTCAACTCCACGGCCTCCTGCGGCTTGGATGTCTTCATCCGCATCCTGAAAGTGTCCCTTGAGACCGGTTTTAGTAACTTGATTTGCTCTGGCAAGCTCACGCTCCTCTTCGCGCATTCGTCCTCGACCATAACTTAACTCTTTTTGCTGCCGCCGCTTCTGCTCTTCGACGAGCTTCTCTCGAGCTGCAAGTGCCTTTTCTCGGCGCTCCCGGTCTGCTCGCCTTTTCGAAGCTTCTTCACTTTCTTCCGCATTCAACTCTGAAGTCTCAGGGGCTGGTGGCAAAGTTGATATCCATGTTTGGACTAGAGAATCTCGTGTCAATGCCGGAAGAGAAATATACCGTATATCGCTCAAAATAGAAGATGGCAGAGCGCCTAGCTGCGTTGACCGATTAAGTGCAGATAAGGGCGCCGCTTTCAGGAGCGCAGTTAAATCTGATTTGAGTGTACTAGAAGACAGTTTAAGTCTGCTAATGTGCTCACGATACCATTTCTCGCGATCTTTGTCCGACAACTTCGAGTCGCGCATTTCAGGCTCCTTCCGATACTTTCGCTTGAACTCTGCCCAGAACAACTTCGGCGACGCATGGTTTTGCAAAAATTCCAAATACGGAATTCGAGGATCCTGCTTTGCTTGCTTCTCTCGCTGTTGTTTCAGGATCTGCATCTTGTCTTTACTCCAGTCGCTCCAAGCATCTTTACGAGCTTTCATATTAGTGTAAACTGTGTAGCGATCATCCTGTAGTATCCGACCTTCTTCGATCAAAGTCTCCCATGGGGTATAGGGGTTTATGCCGTAGTCATCAAGCATGTCCCTGAACAACGCCTTCGTATCATCTTCGGTCAATGGTATACCCTCCGCGCCCTCTTCTAGTTCCTCCTCATATGGATTACCGTACTCTGCAGGATCTAGTCCATAGTCTTGACCCATCATCTTCAGCTGGTATGCAATATCATCTTCATCAAACTCGACTGGCTGATCTTCCATATCTCCGATCGTCCTCTGCTTCTTGGATGTACGATCATCTTCACTGTCTTCCTCTTCAGTAATTTCAACCTCCTCGTACTCTTCACTATCTTCATGGCGTGAATTCTTGTTATCGAAAGTCAAAACTTTCTCTCCCTCGTCATCACTTGGTTCTCCACGCTGTCGACGTTCCTTCCTTTCCCGTTCTATCCTCTCAAGCTCCACTACGCCTTTCATGAGGTCCTCAGGAATCCTCCAGAAGCTCTCGTTGGTATCCGGATTATATACAAAACGCCTCTTCATCTTGGTTTTAACCAGAACCCATGGTGTGTAACCTGGAATCGCAGATTTATGTTTTGGGCGATCGTCAGCTTGCTGTCGTCGTCTATCTTGGAAGTCGCGTCCGCCTCTGTAGTTCCCTCTCCCGCTGATGCCGCCCCTAAAACTTGTCTGGCTAAATCGATCAACATGTTGAAGATTCTGTTGAGAGTCAAAGCCAAGGGGAATGTAGTTGTGCTCGGTCGAATGAGTAGCTGCGCCTGGTTGTACTGGTTCTGGAGCAGACACAGGACGTTGGTATGTCGACTGACCAGTAGAGGCATTGTAGTAGTATGTATGACCTTCAGTCAAGAATGTCAGTATGAGAAATCTCCAGTTGTCCTCTCTTGAGGCTGCACAACCTACCTGTCGGAGCTTTGTGCTCTGTCCACCCGTCTGGTAGCGCGTCCTGCGCAGGAGCAAACTGCACTTGTTTGTGGGTGGACTTCAACATATTCTCGAGCTTCACGACCGCATCAAGTCTATGGCTTTAACTTAGCGAGAATCAACGGATGTCGCGACGAGGGACTTGCAGCACCTTGAATCTAGCTGGCGATTCGGATTAACTTAGGGCCTTGGCATCGAAGCTCCGACCGCCAACGCGTTCGAGCTGCCTTGATCCAGCGTCAAGTCAACCGAGCTGTCAATAACTGCTAACCGTTCACTTCTTTAACTACTCTGCACCGTATTCCTGCACCCAAGTACCACCAACTACCGCTCGCCATGTCTCGGAGATACGATTCGAGGGTATGTGTTGCTCGTTGGCTGCCCTAGTCTGAGTTGCTCACGCTTTCATGTAGACTACAATCTTCTCTCCAGAAGGCCGTCTGTACCAGGTAGAATATGCTCTAGAGGCCATTTCTCACGCCGGTACAGCTCTGGGAATCTTAGCGCAGGATGGAATCGTACTCGCCGCCGAGCGGAAAGTCACCAGCAAGCTGCTCGAACAAGACACCTCAGCAGAGAAGTTGTACATTCTAAACGAGTATGCTACTACGCTTTCTATCGTAAAGCCTTGTCAGAATATTTCTGACACTGGGCTACAGTAATATGATCTGCGCTGTCGCCGGAATGACCGCCGATGCCAACATCCTCATCAACTACGCCCGTCAAGCTGCCCAGCGATACCTCCTTACCTATAACGAAGACATTCCTTGCGAACAGCTCGTACGAAGATTATGTGATCTCAAGCAAGGCTATACTCAGCATGGTGGTCTGCGTCCCTTTGGTGTCTCCTTCATCTATGCCGGCTGGGACCCTCAACGACAATTTCAGTTGTATCAGAGCAACCCCAGCGGGAATTACGGTGGCTGGAAGGCAACAAGCGTGGGTGCCAACAATGCGAGCGCGCAGAGTCTGTTGAAACAAGATTACAAAGAGGAGTGTGACCTGAAAGAAGCATGTGGCTTGGCCGTCAAGGTGTTGAGCAAGACGATGGATTCAACGACACTGAGTAGCGAGAAGAGTACGTTATGATGTTGACCAAGCTGTTGTACAATACTAACTTGTCCACCAGTCGAGTTTGCGACCGTAGGCAGGACAAAGGAGGGCAAGATCTATCATCACCTGTGGGGCGCGGAAGAGATCGATACTCTTCTCAAGGAGCACGGACTAGGCAAGAAGGCAGACCCGAATTTTGATGAGTAAAGAACAACCATACAGCATCCTGAAAATGCAACATAGATCGTTGTAATATACTTTATATTGCATTATGGAAACACGTGACTTCCGAGTATGTCGACCTTGACTCATTTATCACCATGGCTAAGTGTACGTCGACCTAGGCTCTCGCCTCATGCTATTTTGGCCGATAAGAAGTTTCTATCTACTCCTGTTCTACAACGCCTCCGGCCCGACAAGGTTAGGAAACGTAGTGAGATGAGACTGCATCTTTCGGCAGGGGGCAGCCATTAGAACGAGCAAAACTAAGACCTAGCGATAGGGTTAGCACTTGGTGAAGTCATAGGCTGTGAGTTGAACACTTGTACGATACATTAGGAGAGCATGCTAAGGCAACCGCAGGCATCAAGCCTTGAGGTGCATCTCGGCCTGGAAGTATATTCGAGCCAAAGTAAAAGAAGGGGTATTGAAAAGACTCTGAACCATGAACTGAATGCGATAACCGTTCGATCCATACTACGGTGTCCAGCAGTGCGAGTATGCTCAACCCAGGTGTACATTCATGCCCGCTCTCAAGAAGTCTCCGCAGGCCATCTCCCACTCATCCCATTCAGCGATCTGAAGCCATCCTCCTCATCACCGGCGGACTCATCGACGTACTCGGTTCACTCGCACTCTGACTCCCCGGCACCACATTAACCCCAATCTGATCCAACGGCCACTTCATCAAACCCCTATACTCCGCCTCAATGCACCGTGCAATATACAGCACCATCTTGCGACTCCATCCGCCCAGAAACCACTGCTCGGGTGCGCTACATGCATGGTGAATCGGCACGCACCAATACGCCAGATGCACGAGCGCCAGCGGACGCTTCAGCCGCAAAAGCTCCATTATACGCCCTGGGGCGCGGATCGGCCACGACAGAATAAGGGACCAAGACACTGGGACGAAGGGAATCGCGAAGAGGCGCCTGAGTTCGAGGGTGGAAGCCTGGTAGGCGGTTTTGTCGGCCAGGGGGTCGGAAGAGAGGTTGTTTGCAGTCTCGATGGCTTCGAACAGGTGCGAGTATGTCTCGCCGGGGGTGTAGGCGGGCACGAAGTCTGCTTGGGACACCAGGCGTGTGACAGAGGTGGAGGCGATGAGTGGTCGAGCCTCGGGGAGGAGGCGCCAGAAGAGGGAGAGCACGACTATGACTTGGTTGAAGGCGTCGACGACGTCAAGGGGACTTGGAAGACCGGGGACGAAGGGACTGCCGAAGCGATAGATGACTTGAAAGAAGGCGAAGCCGAGGACGGCGGTGGCGTTTTCTGCAGTGATGGTTGTGCCGACAGAGTAGAAGAGCTGCATTGCATGTTCGTGGTGGCTTCGAGCTAGGAACGCATAATGCGCTGCTTCTATAGGGTTCGAGTGGGCCGAGTGGAGGGCTGCTATCGAGAGAACGGCGTGCTTAAGGAAGTTGTGATGTTGGGCTTGGTTTGGTACTACCTGTTCCCAGACGTGCTGGAAATTCTGATAGTCGAGTGTGGCAAAAGTTCGGAACGTATATTGTTGATAGTATGCCATGAGCTGGGTCTCCTGGTGCTGCGTCGGACACTGAGGAGGCATGAATGAACTGAGCCAGTCATTCGACATCATCGATGATTCTCTAGCTTCTGGCGGTGCAGGTCTGACATCGATTGTTCAGCTCTCCATTTCATATACACGACGTAGACGACTCACGTTGCTCCAGGAAAAGATGCTGGACTTCTTACAGGTGGTGTGATTGACGGAGTCGAGCGAGAGCCAACAGATCTCGGTCGTGGCCCCTCGATTCTCATGGATTCATATTCACATGTCACCTTTCTTCTCACACAATTACTACAACGAGGTGGTCTCTCATCGCACTGATTCGCGCTTCAGCATATATTTCAAATAAGAGAGCTTTGCCCCGGGAACTCTCGATGGGGGCAAAATACCTTTTTTCTGATACTCTTACATTGCGCGCATCCATTACGACTTTTTTTGTGATATGATCTTGATCCTTGACCCTTCTTTTCTGGCATCTCCAATTTTTTCCTGGACGAGATGGAATTCGAGTCGCCCAAGGTGACTGCTATGAGAACGGTCAAAAGACAATGAGAGATATTGGTGACGTTTGACGAGGGTTGTGCCTAGATCAGGAACTACCAGGTTGTATCCACAAACATATGTTGGAATGTGTTCAAGTACACCCACTGATTAACATCAGTGTATGAATCAGTGTACGCGAGACGTATATGCCAGCTGAGTATGCCTAAATCTTGCTCTATGTCAATTAGGGTACGCCAGTCGACAATGCAGAGGTCTCCAATCCTCAATGTTATTTGATGACAATTGAAGAATACAGAAGTCCTGAAAGATAGCGGAACATAGAATAGACTCTAATAGTTAGAAGAAGTGAAAGGAAAGGTATGGTTATTCTTATGACGGGCTTGAGTCGGAGGTTGCTCGCGAAGTTCTCCACAATGATTTTCCAACGATTTGCGTGAGGCTGAGGCATGTACTACAAACACATCAGGAACCAAGCAGAGTAAGCCATGCCTGAAGAAGTACTGTGGCAAGTCAATACACGTTTAGCGGGCCGAGAAACATGGGCCAGGGGACCTGAGGCCCCTGTGACTCCAGGCTGTGATGCACCCATTGCTTCTGATAAGGCTGACACACCGCTCGACGGTAGCGAATCTGGGGATTGGTACTAAACATAACGCAATGAAGGAACGGTGGGATGGCCCATGAAGCCCCTTGTACGTAGCGAAACCAAGCGGCTGGAAATGTTCGACCCAAGCATGCAGGATGCAATTGAGAAACTCTCACGCTTCCTATTTTAGTCTCAATATGAGACTATGTAATCAAGCCCAACGACCCGTCGTCGTCTGTAGCCAGTCATCGCATCGGATTGCGCGAAATGTGCGATGCAACAGACGTTGGCGTCATGCAAAGGATGGACGTCAAACCGCGTACACTTTGCCGGAAGAGGGATCGCGGACGTATCACGTGGTGTGGCTTGGTTGACCCAGGTGAATGTGGCGAGGGCGCTCCTTTCAAGCGGCCAATCACAATGTATATACCTATGAACAACTTTATCTCTACACTCTTCAAACGCTCATATCTCGTTTTTAGGCTCGAACGCTCATCTTTGAGTACACCGATGTTCTGGATACTCATTATACTATCAGACACCTTATATCTATTTGACGGTGAGTTTCAGACTCAATTTTGCGGACACTCTCTAGGATTGGTTAGGCCCGGGACAAAGTCATATACCATGGTCGTATATTGGTCGACAAGCTGCATTCCTTCCGAAGCAGTTCGGGCGCAATGGCTAAAATGAGAATAAGATATATAACGAGATTCACATTCAGTGGGCTGCCATGAGATCTCGAACACGCAAACGGGAGTCGCATACTCGAGAACAGGAAATGCAATTGTGCTATTTCACCGCGTCTTTTCAGTACGAAATACAGTCTTTCCATGGTGGAGTGCCGATCATTAACGGTGAGCAGTGAGCAAAGCTACGGGGGCGCCGTGTGTCGATTCGTGGCTTCATGATCGGCATTCCGCAGAACGATTCCCGCATGCCGAGCTCTTTCAACGGATGACCTTCTAGAAGTCTTGTAGGATTATTCGCCACCACCGCTTTCCGTCCACCAAATTAAACCACTTTCGGGATTTCTTGTTGGTGGAATTGGACGCTTTTACTGCTCCAGTACAGTGCGATGGTGCCAACCCTGGTTCGCAGGGCGCAACCCTATCCTTGTGCGTGATGAGCCTCTACTCAAAATGTGAGTGAGATTTTGCCGTGGCAGAAGCATTCTTTTTATGGCTAACTCCCCTTAGTACGGCCGTGCAATCCTTTACTAACAGGCCTCCGTCGTTGGTGATACTACTTTTATTACATCGGCACACATGGTCCATGTGAATACCATGCTTAACAGTGACACAGATCTATATCGTAGTCAATGATCTGTGTTCATGTGGGGAAACACATCGCGTTCAGTCAAACAATGGATTCCCAAGGTCCTAAAGAAATGAATACTTCTGTAGGATAATGACGGCCAAGTCCTCCCGAAAAACCCTCGTACAGCTTTGTGACCCTGGATACGCGTAAAGGAGCTGTCCCTACCACGTGCAAGGCGATTATATTGCGAGATAACTTCAATCCTCCAGTGCGACACCGATGGTCCTGTTTTCGAAGCGTACAGGGACAACCAATGCTCCGACATGTCCAGGAGCAATAGGGAGACTACAAAATTGGCGTGTTGATGTGAGGGAATACACGGTCTGATCGCTCTTCGTAACTCGTATATAATGAAGATCATCTCCACAGCCAACCCAATGTCATTGTTATAGAATAAACATAAAAACACAATAATCACGAGGCGCAGTACCTTTTTGTGGCTGGGCACTGGAATAACCTCTCGATAGCATGTGGCGAAAATCATATGAGTCCATTGTGCGGCATGCAGGGCGTTAGGGCTGTCGATTCGGAGGGGTTGGATGTGTCAAATCACGATCAGATAAATAGCAAAGGAATTGATGATATCGGATCAATGAGCCGTGCTGCGCCTTGCACAGCCTTTGTACGAGCCACGATGTAGATCGCCGAACGATGATGTTGAAGTTGGGATTCTTAGAAGCTGCACTATCCTGTTATGGACTAGTGCGATACAAAGACTTAGGTACAAGTCTCTAGTAACACCATCTTATCAAAGACGCCGTAATGCAAAAAGCTCCATGCATCTGGCTCAAACGCGTGGATTCCTTCTCATGATGTGGGAAAGACAAATTGTTGGGGTGCGACTCAGTCAGAAGTCTGAAACACAGCTGCATGTCAGGCTGACGGCGTGCACAATGCATAGATGTGTGCAGGTAGCCTCGTTGTCTATACTGGATGACCTGGCCTATCCGGGGAACCAACCGAGAACTACGCATAACGAGGCACACTCCAGTCAGACTGTGGGTTTTTAAGTACGAAATGCGACACCTCAGTCCCACAAGCTCACGACTGTCTTATTGTACCTCACCAAATTGTGTGTCGCCATAAAGTTTGCGGCTGACAGTCGGTGCTCCTTTGCTGGGGGAGATGATGGATTCAAATTTGTAAGTTGATACCGCTTCTCGTGCATCGTCTTCCTAGAATGACATATCTGACATTACCTGTGTCTATTGAACTTATGGCTTCATGGATTCTTTGCTCAACTCAGAACTTCGAAGAGTAGTGATTTCAATTTGGTAATTGAATGTCTCCACATTTATGGTCTGTCTAGAGTCGTGAAAGGAAAGGCGCGTCGTCGCGATGACGTCGCCATTTTACCGAGGATCGTGGATCGTCATTGAAAGCTCCCACCTAGCTTCAAAACCACAAGTACCTGCATATTAAACACCATCTTCGCTCCAACCCCGTGTACTCGTTTCAAGCCATCCAAAAAGTCTTCGGCTATACACAAGCTTCGAGTAACTTCCCCAGCCTATTCTCCGAACACACACTTCACAACCTCACGATGTTTACTCACACCCTTCGCCCGGCGCGCCGCTTCGCCAACAGCGCCTCAACTCTGCCAAAATTACCCAAGCGTGCAATCTCCTACACGCCTCAATTCCGCCTTAAAGAAGACGGCAACCGCTCACCAGAGGAAATCGAATCAGAAAAGCAAAGCCAGCTGCGCAAACAGAAGGAAGGAAAGGGCGAATGGCATGAGTCGCTCGCTAGCAGTAGCGAGGCTGGTGTTAAGGCCGATCAAGAGAAAGTACAGGATCATGGCAAGCATATGAAGAAGCTGCAGGAGGAGACAGCGGCTAAGAGTCAGGGAAAGTCATAATCCTGGACATTGGGGAAAAGTGAATCTGTTAGAACTGATTATATGATTCATGCTGCATAGCATGCGCAGATTCCATCTATAGAAGGCGCAAGCAAATCCATTACCATCCCGACGCTAGCGCTGTACTGATGACAACCATCTTCCCGTTCTGTGGACAGAATAAAGTGCCATCTGTTGCCAAATGCGCAAATAATAGTGACTCAGAACTGATCCAGTCGCGCGGGAGAAAGAAATGGCGTCTCAGGTTTCTCATTAAGTTTATCCCGGTAGTAGATGAATTGAGTCTCCACGTGCGGATCCAGTAGTCTTTGTCCAGGAACACGAGTAAGTCCTTTTGTAGTATGCCAAGCGGAAGCTCGATGATCTGCGTGACTTCCTTCGGGATACATATGGTTCGTATGCTAGGTTTTTTGGCTGATGTTGGTGTTGATATATCATCAATAGTGTCTGTAAGGGGAATTGAGGTCTCATCGAAGATTATCGGCGCTCGAAGATATTTGCTTGCAGTGCTTTCGAAAGCATCGACTATGACATAGTTGTGTTGTTGTGATTTGTGGACAGCTTGAACAATAGTGCTGTCCTTAGGAGACGTAACATTAGTTTGAGGATAGTGGTCATCCGGAGTCGCTATGCCACGTTCAAAGGGCATACGGATACCCCGACATCTATTATCCCATGAAAACGAGGTGAGGCCGCTATAGTCGTAGCCTATGAGACGTGAGGTATCTCTAGTTATGTTTGACCATCTCATATCAATTGAATAATCCACATCAAGGGTGAAAAGAAGTGAGCCTTGGCTAACATTCCAAATCTGCGTTGCCTCAGCATGTGCCACTAAAAGAGATAAGCCGTTCAAGTTGAACAGTAGTTGTTTAATTCCGCCCAGATTAGACTGAGGCTTGATCTCTGGGTGCGACGTGATAGTGCAGTCTCGTTCCTACCCATTATAGCAGATGGGTCGAACGTGTTGATGGCGACATTGCCACTCAGTTCAGCGATGGCCAACTTCGAGTTGTCATCATCCCACGCCAGTCGATCTATCATCATGCATCGGGGAGACTTGAATACTTCGCAGATCACGTCGCCCTTACGATCATAAAAGGTAACAACACCAGCTTCGTTACCAGTGCAGAAGAAGTTGCCGTTGGGTGCGACAGCTACGGCTGTGATAGGCTCCGAATAGTCGGACTGTTTCATACAAGTAGGAGCAAATATGGTACTACTTCCAACATCGCTCATAGGACCTTCATTATGATGTTCTGTTTCGTAGAACTTGGTTAGGGCATCCGGCTGCCAGACGGTACAGGAACTTTCTCGGAGATCATATATACGACGGCAATCTGAGCTGATCGCTAGTCCTATACAGGGCGTTTCGGACGAGAGACTGTAGAGCAATGTGAAGTTGTCAAAATTGAAAAGCCCAATTGTTCCAGAGTTATCGCAGGTTGCAAAATACATACCGTCAGGGCTGCAAGTAATCTCAGTTGCTGACCTTCGAAGCTCATGACTTTGGTCCTCGAAAGGGTTCCACTTGAAAACGCATCCATCGTTGTACAGACCGAGAATATAACCAGTCAAGGAATTCCATGAAAGGCGGTCCACTCCAGACCACCCACTGTTCGAACCTGTTGGGCTACTGTAGTGGCGCCGGCATCTGCCAACCAACTCGTGATCTTCTGTGCCATATACAGAGAGTGGAAAGCCTCTGTATGCTACTGCAATCTGCGAAGCACTTTGATTGAATGCCATAAAGCATGGTGCGTTTGCGAATGCGCCTTGAATTTGGAAATCGTCCTTTACGGTTTGGACTTTGAACCATTGAGGGTCAACGTCAGTGGTCACAAGCCTTCGGATCCATTTATCATCCGATGCGGTTAATATGGTATTGCCGTCGATGAAGACAACATCCATTACTCTAGTATCCTTGGGACTAGGAACACTGGTGTGGACGTGTCCAGATGGGACGTGCCAGAGCTTGGTGGTATGATACCCGCAGGATACAAGTAGTTCTCCTGTAACGTTGAATGCAATATGGGATATGAACTCTCCATGTTGCAGTTTACTTAATTCAGTATAGTTCAAAGAATCCGCAATCTGTATGGTTCCGAGTTCTGTAGTGCCAGACGTCAAAACCGCGAAGTGTCGACCAGTCGAGACAACCTTTGAGGCTTGAGAGCCACGAGAGAAATTGATCTTAGCTAATGAATCATCCCAGTCATCATAAGATAATCCAGCAATATTGAATGGAGTGGCCAAATTATCCTCTGCGAATTGGCGGAAGAGCATAGAGTTGCGTGGGCAAAATTGAGGAATTAAACGGTTAATTCCTGACGGTTCTTGCAACAAGTTGAGTCCGAATTTACCCATGACCTTACGTAGATCCACGGACCATGCATCGAGAAGTTCGATGTCTTGTAGGTCTTCTAGCGCGCTCTTTGTTTCATTTTTCCGCTTGTGAGAAACGGTATGGCTGAGAGCCTGCGATGAGTATACAAGTACTCCAAGTTGATCTACTGAAGCAAGTACTTGAATCCAAGACAATACATGCCGGCTCCGAAAAAACCTTTTTAAGAGTGATATGGCCTCGCTTGATATGCTGGAGGTACAACTCAGATGAAAAGACCATGAAGTTGCAGCATAGAGTAAGAATCCTTGACTCAATGGTATAGAGCTCTGGTTGATTTTGCTTCGCAGTCTTGTATCCATTAAGTAGTTCAGGCATCGTGTGAAGAGGACTTCGTGACCGACGCGGGTGTCAATGTAGAAGCTAATATCCGAAGTATTGGTGAGGAAGTCTCGGGCTGTTTCATGGATCATTACGACGTTGTGGTTGGTATCTACAACAACAAATTGACCACAGATTTCAGGAACAGTATGGCGAAGGTCAGGGACTGTGGGAAATTCGTTTCGTAAAGCATCGGACAATTCCCTCAAGTTCATAATCCTTCGCGAGCAGATTGCCCAGGTAAGCAGTGTCCGTGCCAACTTTTCGTCATTGGTACCGGAATCCTTCGCAATGGATGCATCCATACGTCTATACATCTCCTGCATACCATTCGGCATCTCCTCGATAGCCCGATCTATATCTTCGAATGTATGTCTTTTCAGGACTTCTTCGACAGCAAGCGTAACCCATAGAAAATTGCTCGCAGCTCTTTGTAGTATCTTTTCGGTTATCTGATGTCGAAAGTCCTGGTCCCAGCGTTGGTATCGTAGTCGATATTCCACGAATAGCCGGATATCATATTCCTTCCCTGTTACTGATATCTGCCTCACAGGTAACGATTCATTAAGTCTATCAAATGCTGAAGCTAACGGCTGGGCATGGCGACTAACAACGAGTATACGGACTGGTATCCTCCAGGAGGACAAGCTCGCAAACAATAGCAATAGCACTTGAGGCGAGTCGCACTCGTCTAGAGCATCAATAACCCAGTATATAGGGTCGGAAGGTACTTTACACATCGTTGATGTGAAAACCTTCTGCCAAATGGTACGTGCATCCGCTTTCTCAAGCCTTTGTCCATGTAAAGCCATAGCCTTCAGTGTGCTGCGAATCTGGGGTATATCCCGAGCGATTTGCAAGGCAAGTGATCGCAAGCAAGCATTTGGAGACTGCTTTGCTTGGTCTGCGAATCTGAAAAAGAAGAAATGACACGAGAGCCCAAGTTGTCGTAGGTGACTGATGATGAAAGTTGAAAGAATCGATTTACCACTAGCCGGAAGAGCGTGTGTCCATAGGACTTTGCTCGTAGTTGGAGGGTGTACCCAATCGACGAATGTCCTATGCTCCAATATCCATCCGCATGTGCCTGGAAGTAATTGTAGTCATCGTCTGGTGGTTCTTTCACGGCTAGTAGAGTTTCGATATATGCACTGTCCTCAGGCGAACATAAACTCCTTGTGGAAGAAAGTCCTGTTTATGTACGTAAGCTAATGATAAATTACAGTTCTACGAAAAGAGACTTGCCCGTGGTCCGAAGCCTGTCGATTAGCGTTTTGAGCAGGTCTCGCGCACTAATATAATTTGGATCAGTTTTACTAGTATACTTGCAGATATTGTGGTGATCTGCGTTCAAAGATCTTGAAATTTCGCCTGGGTAGCCAAGAACCGCCGAACCTTTCTCTACTACCATCTGTAGGCAAGATCAGTCACGCGGGGAGAGAGCTAGATAGCTTGGACCACGCACCACTCTCTTAGGACCGATCACAGTCTCTAACGTTTCATAGAAAGAGACAATCTGTATTGTTGGCGCTATCCTTCGAAATTGTTCATTGATCTGCTCTAACGATAGCGAATTCTTGTTGATCTCTGCTATATACCGTTTTGGCGTGAACTTTAGAAAAGAGGCAGATAAGATGCGGTTGAGAAGTTCGGCAAGATTTGAACCTCTGTGCGGTGTGGAGAGAAATACAATAGCACTAATTGCTTTCACCAAGTCAATATAATCAGGGTCATGCTGACCTAGTATATAGGCCTATCCGGTCAGATATGCCTAGTATTTCCATTGGTGATAGTGTGCCTACCTGCTTGACAACAATCCCACCCATGGAATGTACTATGAATATGATGGGAGCCTGTTTTGAGTCAATTTCTGTCCGATCACTTTGAGCAGCCATTAAGTGACTTACCTGTCCTATACCAAGATCTTCGAGTGCTTTGTCTCCATGCTTTGCGAATTTCATTGAGAACAGCAGTTCCTTCGCGAAATCCGTGATGCTGAAAATCGTCTTTCCTGCGGTAGACCTCCAATCAGCATCATAGCCGAACGATAGTACGCGAGCAGTGCATATTTCTGGTTCCTGAGGCAGCCATTTCCCTGGCCAGAAGTTTTCTGGGTCCCTATCCTTTGACCAGGTCGATCTACTGGTTCCGCCAAGGCCATGAACGAGTATTATGTCAAGAGATCGAGGCTTTTCAGGCTCCCAGACGACATTGAGGCCTAGTGGGTCTTTCTGTTCCTCCCATGGTGTTAACGATCGCGTTCCTCGTATCGATGCAATTGAAGACGTCGAGTGGTCGGCACAACTCAAGTAGGTGCTTTGTACACTGACTGCAGAGTTTCGGTAGACGGCATCAGTGTGGGAACTTTGGTAAATTAGACGTGGCAAAATTGATTGACGTGTCTACTGAGTCTATCTATGTGCTATGTATACGTGCCCAACGCTGAATAAGTTCTGAGTAATGAGGATTACCTAATAGGAATCCCACATCAGTAGGTTGGACGTTTCACGTGGTCTGCCGCTGCGATCTCTTGCTCATCGGCAGTAGATCGCGAGTTTGGTGGGCGTTCACTTGGATGTGGACTCTTAGGTCTTCCCGGATTTTCTAGAATACCGCCCTTTGGAGTAGTCCTTCGTACCTTCCCCCGAATCTTGTTCCACTAGTACCCAAAGTCAGCTAGAATGCATTGCGGCGTAATAGTGTATCGGACTTTAGCATCGTACCATGAATGCACGAAATGGACTGCTCTACCGAGCGCGAGACATGAATGTAAATGTAACAGGCTTCTTCACGTAATTGAATTTGCACTCGGCTATGCATCTTTGCAAGAATTGACGATTCAATCTTATGCAGCCCTGTGCACCTAGTCAGCAGCCTACATCCATGGGTGACCCCGCGCAGGGCTATAGATTCGTGCATCTCAGAACACATAATAACCTTGGCATGCTTAGTTCTAATACATCTGCTCATCAAGATTTGGCCCTTGCAAGCGTTGGATCTAACGAAACTACCTAGTATATGAAGCTAATCAATGTTTTCTACGCTTAACTCGTGATTCAAGAACATCTCGTGGTCACTATCCGAACTATAAGACTTTATCCAAGAACATCTTACTGCAGTAGAAGTCTGGAAGATAGGAGTAAAAAGAACAATCTTATACCTTCTGTATATTTAGTCTCATACTGATCTGCATTAAAGTGTAAACATTCACGTGTAACCATATATTAGCTTCGTATCTATAAACATTTCAGGTATTGATAGCAGCCACTTTCAAGATGTCTGTATGTGTATTATGCCTGATCGGCTGACACGTAGTACGCCAAGAAATAGCCTGGCACCAAAAGCGCGAAGAAGGCATAGCTTCTTCGTGCTTGTCGTCGAATTTTGAGTAGCCTTTCAACATACATATGCGACGAACAGCAACGATCAGAACAGGCCAAGGCTGGCTTCAAAATCTGGGTGTTTCAAAGAAGTTCTAGTCACTATGTCTATAACCGTGCACGACATCGTCAAGCTGAAATTTGGCTCCTCTGGCGTGGAAGGGGACTTTCCAATTGACGAAAACGTCATTGCAGGTGAACATAAACTCTAAATTCCCACAATGTCGCACTGATAGATGCTTGTGCAGCCCTACCTGAAGGAGCTAAAGTTCTATCAGCACATAGCTATGGCTTCTCAGCCTGGACAGCTACGGCACGATTACAGGCGAGAATGGCAGATGGATCTCTGAAGAATTTCTTCCTAAAGCTAGCAACTGATGATGCTGGTAAAATGATGGTAGAAGGCGAGTTCCGCTCAATGAAAGAGCTGTACAAAAGCTTGCCGTCCTTTGTACCATTTCCAATTGCTTGGGGTCAATATGCAAACTTTAACCATCCAATATTCTTTTTCCTCTGTGACTTTATCGAGATGACAAACAAACTTCCTGAGCCCATCCAGTTCTGCTCTAAACTTACGGAGCTGCACAAGAGCAGTGTCTCACCGACGGGCAAATTCGGGTTCCACACGCCGACCTGTCATGGCAGATTCCCACAAGCTGTGGATTGGGATGCTAACTGGTCGTCTTTTTTCGGTAGAATGCTGCAGACCGCCTTGGCTATCGATATTGAGAGAAGTCCTACTTGGAAAGAATACGAGGAGATTGCAGCTCGAACGGTGTCGCATGTCGTTCCACGATTGCTCGGGGTTCTCCAGTCAGAAGGTCGCACTCTGAAGCCATGCTTGATACATGGGGACCTTTGGGAAGGGAACATTGGCACGAATATGGCCACCGGCAACATATATATCTTCGATGCTGGGGCATACTATGCGCACAATGAGATGGAGTTGGGTATGTGGAGGTGTGAGCGTCAGCGTATCAAGTCCCACGACTACAAACAGCAATACCTACATTATATGGGCATCAGCGAACCAGTTGATGAATTTGAGGATAGGAACAGACTCTACTGTATCAAGATGAATGTCATTCATGCCGCCCATCATCCCGGAACTATCGTAAGAGAAACGTAAGTTTAGTCTTCTGGAGAGTTGAGCGCAACTGACGAAACACAGGGCATACAATGATATGTGCTATCTTGTTGATAAGTATGCCCCATTTCCTGATGGTGAGGGCCTTCCAAGAAGCGATGTTATGGGTGAGGTCGACCCAAGTATTCCAGATGGGTTCAATACCAAGCCATGGGGCCGGGACGGGGTCGATAGACGGGCTTCGATTCAACGAGGAGAATACTGAAAGCCAGTAGGCCCCTAAACCCAAATGCTGGACTCCTTTTGCCACAAGAGGAGCTTGAGTCGAGAGAGTCGCTGATGATCCGCTACACGCTAAATTTAGTTTCCAGAAGTTTCATGATACATCTTCTCGTGAAAACAACAAACAGATCAGTGTCGGAGTATGTTCTCACTTCGACTACCGTAAAATATACTCAGAGTACCCGAGTGACCACAATATCATTGCTTCTGTGTACAACTTTACAAGGACATATGCTCTCGCACATAGGAAGCTGCAGGCCGCATCTGAGCTTTTCTTAGGTCATCTCAGGCCGAACGCATTATCAAAGAAGTAGAGTCACGTGGAATCAAGATACGGTCAAGATGCCTGATTGGTTGGACCGAGTGTACCTAATGTGGCGTGGCACACTGCGCAACAAAGCCGGACTAACATAACCGCTGCTAAAGTGAAACTATAGACATCAACAAGATAGGCCAAGAAGGTTTCCTCAGCTTACCCATTGTGTCCATGGGTGTAATGACTGAGACTGAAGCGTCTCGAGATGAGGAAAGCAAAGACGAGGTACATCAGTCCTCGGCCAGTGGACAGAACATATCGGCAGAAGATTTTTCTATCTTCTCAAGGGTCGAGAAAAGATGCATTGTGCTTATCATCGCTTTTGCGGGAATGTTCTCACCACTAAGCAGCTTCATCTACTATCCAGCCATAGATTCCCTCGCTGCCGGCCTAGGCACGACTATTGAAAAGATCAACTGGACCATCACTTCGTATCAGGTTGTGTCAGGCATCATTCCCTCATTACTTGGGGACGTCGCAGATACGGTTGGAAGAAGGCCCGTCTACCTGGTAGCATTCAGTATCTACCTTGTAGCCAACATTGGGCTTGCCGTCCAGAATGCGTACCCTGCGTTGCTAGTATTGCGTATGCTACAAAGTGCTGGATCTTCGGGTACTACAGGACATCAATATAAAGTACCCTTCATTACTAAACGGTATCAGGAACGATTTCCCTGGGCTATGCAGTAGTTTCAGATATTGCATCCCCAGCTGAGCGTGGGTCCTACGTCGGTGCCGTCCTACTCGGGTAAGTCATATGGTGGTATAATTTACCCTTACACTCAACTAATTGAACGCAGTCCAAATATAGCTCCGAGTCTTGGTCCGGTCATTGGGGGTATAATTGCACAGTATGCTGGATGGCGCTGGATATTTTGGGCCCTTTCCATAATTTCAGGCTTCTGCTTGATGTTTCTCCTGGGCTTCTTACCCGAGACAGCTCGTAACATTGTTGGAAATGGCAGTGTTCGTCCATTAGGGGTGAATCGGACTCTAGTGCGCATGCCCAAAAACCAAAATCGATCAACATCGATAAACGAGACACAACGCCGGAAATGTCGCATCCCAAGTCTACTCCCATGCTTCAAGGTTTTACTTGACCTGCATGCATTCATAATTTTGTTCATCAACGGGATTTTTTATATGATCTACTGTTGCCTGCAAGCCTCACTTTCTTCGCTTTTTATGTCTATATATAGTTTCAGCGAACTGGAGGCTGGTGTCATATATATTCCCTTTGGAATCGGATGTGCGATAGCTTCATACCTGTCTGGTGAGTAGTGGACTACGGCGAGCAATCCACCAATGCTTAACACCCAATAGGTCGGGTTATGGACAGAGAGTACTGCGCAGTTGCGAAAGATTCCGGCTTCACAGTTGACAAAGTCCGTGGGGATGATCTACTAATCTTTCCGATCGAAAGGGCGCGTCTTAGGAGTTCGTATTACTTCATTTGTATCATGGCAGCTTGTACAATAGGGTACGGCTGGGCGTTAGACCAACATGTGGTAAGCATATACTGATACCCTTTTTATAGCCCCTTATAAGATGATCCGTACTAACAGCTATAGCATTTTTCCGTAGCTCTCGCTCTTCAGTTCCTCATTGGCGCGTTTACTACCCTCATTTTTAACGTGAGTCTTGACAAGTTTGGGCAAAAGCCTGGAGTAACAAACATTGATAGTGTCTCGGCACATTGCTCATCGACACAAACTCTGAAAGACCTGCCACCGCCAGTGCCGCCGCAAATCTGGTTCGTTGCGCTCTTTCGGGAGGTGGCCTCGCTGCGCTGTCCAAAATGGTCACATTTCTTGGGCCTGGTGGATGTTTCAGCTTATTTGGAGGTATCGCATTGGCCACTGTACCACTGCTTTATGTACTTCAACTGAAGGGAATGGCATGGAGAAAAGCTCGCTCCGTTTGCCCCCATTCTGAATGAACGGAAAGCGTCGATGAACCAAGATTGCTGCTCGAGAATTGCTTGAGTGGGCTATTCAGAGAATGGCTAGCGACGGCTTCGGCGGCTAGGGAAAGTAGGTTTGATGACTTCACACACACATATCTGGTCAAGCCTTATGCTGACAAGGTCTTGTTAATGTCAACATATTACTCCTAAGTTCTCGCTACACGAGATGATCCTCCAAAAGGAATGGAGTCTCTTATGGACCAGCTATGTAAGTGTACAATATAGCACTGACCCGTACTTCTCGTCCCCTATCCCACCCCAAGCTGAAACGTGCTCGATTGATTCGATATCATTTCTACGGGATCGACACAACGATCTGCTCTACGATAAACATACTTGTCAAAAGCTTAAGTAAAGCTTGTCACGTTTAAGCAGCTTGTCAGTCCTCCCACCCATGTGTACGATGATACCAATGCCTATTGGCTCGTCTCTTCGAAGAAGTAGTACGAAAGGAATATCTACCCGAGCAACAGAGCAGTGAACCTGGGAGTACTTACTCTAGTTTTGACACATCCGTGGAGAACCCCAATGGTGGGACATATATATATATAATGACTACAAGGATGCTTTCAACAGAAGACCAATCTGTACCTTTCCACTCCACCAACAACCATGCAGATCTACACCATCCTCGCCCAGCTTGCTCTCGTCAGCGTTGTCGCAGCAGCACAGCCTACCGTCTATCTCATAAGGCACGGCGAAAAGCCCTCCAGTGGAAACGGCCTCAGCGCCGCTGGAATGCAGCGTGCTCAGTGCCTCCGATCTGTGTTTGGCAAGAGCTCGTCGTATAACATCGGAAACATCATGGCACAGACATACAAGGCCGGTACAATACATCGCCGAACTCCGCACTTAACAATGAACACATGACTAACAGTCTCAGATGGCTCTCGTAAGCGTCCATACGACACCGTAACCCCCCTAGCCGCTGATCTCGGTCTGCCTGTCGACACATCGTGCGACCGCGACAACGCGAGCTGTGTTGAGAATGTCGTCAAGGGGTATAAGGGAAGTGGCAATATCTTGATATGCTGGGAGCATGATGCGTTGAGTGATATTGTGGATGAGTTGGGTGCGAAGAAGGACAATGTTCCTTCGTATCCGAGTGACAGGTAGGGCTTCCATGTGAGATTTGACTGTTATGGTGCGCTACTAAGTGATGCTGTAGATTTGATATCATATGGACGGATCCATATTCGTACGATGCGGGTGTTACGAGTCAGACGAGTGAGAAATGCCCAGGCTTGGATAGCTAGATTGAGTGTTGAGAACCAAAGCAAGCTTGTTCTTTGTATCCATCTCGCTAGCTCCTTGCCGTGTTCTTCGTGGCGGAGTTGTAATTGCTTGTCCCAACAGGAACTATCTCTGTTTATTGGTCTCTAGGCTATGATGCTGCTCTTTATAGCATGAGAGTCTCGAAATCTCATAGTGATGCTCAAAGCCGGTAACGAGGTAGTGTGGAACCATATTCAGAAAGTTGTGCACTGGTTCTATACAGGTTCAGACACAGGAGCTGCAAATGATTAGAGTTATGTCTCTCAATGTGGGTAATCTAACGGACGTTCTTATGATCATTTACTGCCTGTTACTTTGTGACGTATTATCCATGGGCCACTTATTAAGTATGATAATAATAGTGACGAATGCAGAGCACGAACGTGTTCCGACTAGTCATGAATTGCTTTCAACCTCCTCTGAAGGGATTCTCTCTGTACTCTATAAGAGCATCGTCATATAGTAAACAGACTTCTGGTAAAGTAGCCCTATAAGTGATGAGTATATATAGAAGTCTATATCCGCATTCTCTAGTTCCCATAGTCGTTGACATGAGGATAGCCAGAAGAGAAATTAGCAGTTTGACGGAGCTGGAATAGGTGGAAACTGAGTACTCTGTAGAACAGAGCATGGTTCTAGCATTTGTGAAGGGACGGTGTTGCTGTTGATGTTGTGATAACGACACTCATGACGCAATCCCGGCTAAGTCTAGCGTGATAGGCCAACAAGCCTGTCACAGACATCCAAGGTAACCAAAATCGAGCATGATACGTTAGATCGCGCCAATAAAAAGGGGAGTTCACTGTTGAATAAAAATGTAGAGACGGGATCAGAGGCTGATTTGTGGTAGATTGAACGGTCATATGCATACCTATCGTTGCTTGTATAGATATGTTGCCCTTGACCTGCGCGAACTGTTACTATTGACATGTTACATGTGCAAATAAAACCCTATGGCAATTTCTGGTTGATCCTGACGAGCCTAACGCAGACTGTCCACAAGCCGGCGCATCTCCTCTCGCAACTCCATCATGGTGGATTGCGATCGCTGTGTATGGCGAGCACGCAATTGGAGGCTCCAGCAGGGCCTTATCTACCCCAGACCCCACGGTAGATCCAAAACATGTTTTCTGTGTTCCCAATTGAGTAATTTGCGATCTCAGAATCCCACAGCTTTTCCAGGTTGATTCTGTTAAATGTCCAGCTCGACGGAAACATCCACGATGCAGTGGCGGGCGGAAAAGCCAACGAAGGTGCAGAGTGATCTCGAGCATCAGGCACCGAAAAACAATCATGCACCGGCAGAAGGTGGTCCACGGCCGCTTGGTTCAGGTGTATGCTTCTCCATTGATGGTCTGTCTACATACCCCTGGATTTTAACCAGAATTAGACTTCACTCGCAATCGGCGGCTTTGCCACGACTCTCACAACCCTTTCTCTCTCCCTCATGGAATGGCGTGGTGTAACAACCACAAACGTCTATATCGGTAACTTCTTCTTCGTTGCCGCCCTCGGTCTCCTCATTACCGCGCAATGGGAGATGGCCTTTGCGCGGAACGGCCTTGCATATTCTATATTCAGCGCATTCGGCTTGTTCTACGGCGGCTACGGCGCCATCATCACACCTTCCTTCGGCGTGCAAGAAGCGTATGGCGGAGACATGCGCGAGTACAACAATGCGCTTGGATTCTTTGTGATCCTATGGACGGTATTTGTGTTAATGTTCTTGATCGCAGTGCTGCCAACGAACTTGGTGTACATTTTGATTTTTGTGTTTGTCGAGTTGGCCTTCTTGTTCATTGCTGTGAGCTACTTTGCAGCAGCGGATGGGTATGCTGAGGCAAGTACGGCAACGAAAAAGGTAGGCGGGGTGATGGCGTTTTTGGCTGGGTTGGTTGGGTGGTGAGTCTGATTGAACTCTTTGTCGAGTGGGAGATGCTGATGTGTACAGGTACTTGACTCTGCATTTGTTGATCAATGATACGATCATCGAGCTTCCGTTAGGCGATACCTCGAGATACTTTGCGAAGTCACGAAAAGCGTAGGATGTGATGACGTAGGGAGGTCATTCGTCAGGCGGCTATATGAGAACTGTGTCGATCAGGACCAGCCGTAGAATTCGGTCACCCAAGTTGCTTCTTCTGCGCTGCAGGATGTGAAGTTTGCAGCCATGTTTTCGACGCGATCGAGGATCCAACCCGACACAACTCGTCTGTTGCTTGCTGCAATTTGGCCTAGACGAAAACGCGTGGACATTCGACAGCCATCTGCCGAATACCTGTATTGAAGACAATCAGGATCATCAAGACATATGTCTTTGCATTCCTGCGAAGATCTTGGTCTTTTCTCCACCTCAACTAGACCGTCAGACTCATTGTCCCAGGCTTCTCGTCGATATTGTAATTGAGGCAAAACATAATTATAGAATACATCGCAATGTTTCAAGACGCGGCCAGGGTTGTGTTCAAACCATCTCCGCTGAAACTTCCAGTGATCCCACGTTTGTTCGGACGTCATGTGATGATATGAAAGTACCGGGGTACACCAGAGCCGCTTGAAGTACTTGTCGTCTGTGTAGTCGATATCGGCTATGCTTTCTGTGAGTAGATGTGGCCACGACCACAGAAGCTTGATGCCTATGTCTTCAAAAGCCTTTCCGAGCACACAGTCGCCTGCCCAGTGGTCTGCTGTAAAATTCTCCAGGGACGTCTGATTAGCTTCGAAATGCTCGACGACTCTTTTCATCGCCGCGTTCGAAATTATGGTCCCAGCTCCGCCTTGGGCAAACTGCTGAGTTCCGATTTGAGTCTGCGATCCAAGATAATATGGCAGATTCGGATCCAGGTGTTGAAGCCAATCGTGCAAATTGGGCCAAACAAATGTTGCATCCGTTTCAATAAGTACGTACCACTTCGCTTCTGGACGATACTGATATGCCTGGCGGAGTATAGGCAGAAACTTGAATCTGTCGAGCATCCAACCGCGATTTTGAGAGTTGCCGTTGATATTGGCGATACCTTTGGACACAACGTCTGTTGCATTGAGACCAGAACAGCCGCCAACGTCTTTCATCTTCCTGTACATGTGGAACTCCTCGTACTCATACATGATCTTCTGACTTACTTGGCCCTCAAAAGCATCGTGGACCTCGATGCCGTGAAACTCGTCCTGATGGTCGGAGAAGATGGCATAAGAAGGTATGCATCGCAAGGAAGTATGGAGGTGAATGGGTAGCTTATGATTAATCTCGCACGAGCCTGTCTTAACCATGACAAAGATGTCTGAAGTGATGTGCCGAAAATGATCGCATGTCGCGTCTCGCTCGAGACGGGTGATGCGTGCCACGGCATTGTGGAAGCTATGTAGTTTCCACAACGTACACAGCAGTAGCGATGTCAGAATTATATGTCTTAAAGATCGTCTGGAGAGCCCTTTTCTCTTGAGATACGACATGGCGAGTTCAGCGAGTCTGGGAGCGTCTGGGGAGTTTTGGCGTCACAAGAGTGCCGGTCGAATTAAAGGGACCGAGATGGTTCTTCAACCACTTCACATTTGAACAACGCATCGTATAATGCTCAAACAGATCGATTTTGGCATTGTCCGGTGTCCGATCAGGGGTGCGGAGCATTATTTGGGGTATCATCTGCATTCCAACCATTCGAAGAGCGACGCGGTAGCGAGTCCCAGCTACATTGCGCAGATGTTGTGGTTCCATGAGCGTATAGAAAGGAGACACTAAGGTGCCGACCATGCGAGGACTGCAATGAGCGCAAGTTTTCAGGACTTCGTAGAGTGCACTGATGGGCTTAGGGTCGAGGAATGGTATTACTTCATGGTATCAATCTTTTCTTTGTGGCCCGTGCAGCCTCGAATGGAAGCTACTGGCATCAAAGGAGCATCGGGGGCCCTTGGTGCGTAAAATACAGAACCGCTCCACTTCTATCTACCCCTGCCCCCTCGCCCCTATGTAAGACAGAACAACAGTACGACGAACAAACACAAACATCCGGTCCGATTGGCCGTCTTATAACCCTCCGATCTAACCTAGGAAACATTAATACTCGCACAAATCCTCGTCCTCATTTTTCTCTTGTAGCATGAATGTTGCCCGATGGCGCTCGAATGTAGCAAAACATGGTTCTGGTCGTCTGAATTTGAGGTGACCTTCGTCTCGTAGCCAGCTAACAGTCCGCATGGCCTCCATCCGCAGATCGCTACGGCCTCGCAGGTTCAGCTATGCACGCCACCACTCTTACGCCCAGCTTGAGCCTCGCACGACAGGAGCCTATCGAGTCAGAACGACTGAACGAGTCTGAACGACCCCTCTCAAGCGCTGGTTCCGCGGATCTCCATGGGTATCATGAGCACGCGACAGCGAGATACGTATGGGGCATGATTGTCTGGATTGTTGTTCAGCGAACGTGATGAGAGCATCTAACAGCCCTCGATATCCTACAAGAGGTCAAAACAAACAGCTGGAATCGACCTCATCTTTGGAACCCTCGGGACGGGAGGAGGCGCAGGATTGTGCGCTACAGCAAATATAGTTTAGTGACATCTGGTGTATCGAGATCGGCGACAGGGGCCAGGGTTAGGGCAATGGTAGTGTTGAAATTTAAACCCGAAAATCGACTCGTGGGAGCTCATGAGTGCTAGATTTCCTTGTCACGCACGCCTGCACGTATATATCTTGCAAAGCTGCTCATCATCACGAACCAGACTTGCCGACGTCTTCTTGACAACTCAGGACGCTACTCATGGCGGCGCCTAGCACTCTACATCCTTCATCAACCCCGCACGCGACTGAGCGCAGTCCTTTATTGGACCATGAGAGCTCCAATGTCATTGAAGATGTTGAGACTCGTATTCCAAGGAACCATTCAGACGTGACTCTGGCCCAATCGCCGGGGACACTGAAGCTATTATTGATCATGAGCAGCTGCTGGTTTGGATGTTTCCTGGCTGCTTTGGGTACTTTGAATTTCATCGTATGTGTATACTTTTATTCTGACAACGATCAGATTCCACTATCGTAGCAACGCTAGGGGCTCCAATTGCCACGTCGTTCCAGTCTTTCACGCTTCTTTCGTGGATTGCCGCTTCGTACTTGATAGCAAATGCAGCTTTCACTCCTTTGAGCGGAAAACTGACAGATATCTTTGGGCGCCGCGCTGGTCTGATATCCTGCAATGCGCTATTCTTCACAGGAAATCTGATATGCGGCTTGGCCAAGACTCCAGAAGTCATGATCTTTGGCCGCGTGATACAAGGCTTGGGTGGAGGGTAAGCCTCTTCATAATGGTCGTTGCGGACAGTCAATTTACTGACCTTCTATAGTGGAATCAACTCTATCTCAACGTTCATAGCCAGCGATCTGATCCCATTACGCCAACGTGGTCTATGGCAAGGAATTGGTAACCTATGCTGGGGTCTCGGTTCCGGTCTAGGTGGCGTGTATGGCGGATGGATCAACGACCTGATGGGCTGGCGTTGGGCATTCCTCATCCAATGTCCTTGCATCGCCATATCTGCCGTCCTCGTCTTCTTCAATGTGCATATACCCGTCAAAGAGAAGGACGTGTCTCGCATCAAACGTGTCGACTTCCTCGGATCCTTCCTTCTCGTCGCGTCCCTCGTTCTACTTCTCATGGGCCTCAATTCAGGCGGTAACACGGTCCCTTGGTCACACCCGCTTGTCATCTCCAGCATCATCGCATCGGTTGTCACGCTCTGCATCTTTGTTTACGTCGAAGACCAAGTAGCTCCGGAGCCAATCATCCCTGTGCGTCTCCTCCTCAACCGCACCGTCGCTGCTGCCTGCCTGACGAACTGGTTCCAATCAATGGCGCAGTACGGCATCTTATATTACGTCCCAATCTACTTTCAGGTCAACGGGATGAGCGCAACACGAGCCGGCGCACGTCTTGTCCCCCAAGCCTTCGGCACCGCAATCGGAGGCATGCTCGCCGGATACGGTATGCGCATTACCGGTCGCTATTACGCGCTTATGATGAGCTCCGAAGCATCCAGACTTATGGCGCTTATTCTTATTGCGGTCACCCTTGTGCCTGGGTCACCAATGTGGCCACCGTTCATATATCTATTCATAACCGGCACGAGCTACACCGTCATGCTTGTTATTACCCTCCTCGCCCTTATCGCCGCCGTCGACCACGAGCATCAAGCGGTAATCACATCCGCGTCCTACGCCTGTCGTGCAACAGGCTCGACTATCGGAATCACAATCGCGTCAGCGGTGTTTCAGAATATCCTCAAAAGTGAGCTTTGGCGCACGTTCGGCGACCAGCCGGGCGCTGCGGACGAGATCGGGAGGATTCGGGATAGTGTGGACGAGATCAAAAGTTTGCCAATAGGATGGTACCCGGGTGTTTTGGATAGCTATGTTACGGCGTTTCGCAGTGTGTGGTGGACGTGTGCCGGGTTAGCGGTCTTAGGCATGGTAAGTAGTGCGTTCATGAGGGAACATAAATTGCACGCTACCCTGGAGAGAAAGTAAGTACCCAACAGACAAGTAGCAGCTGAGGTGTCTGCTGTGGATGTTGAGGCAGCTGGCAAGGAGTTTGAAATTGGTATCCTAAGTAAAAATTGATGCTGTCGTGGAGTAGCTTCTCGCATCATATTAGCATTACAGATAGAAAAATATTATATTTTGACCTACGTGGATCTAGATATTTCCATCGTTTCTGTACATCTGTAAACCATATCTCCTGGTGTCTTCTCGTACCCGGCAGCTTCTGCCGCTACTATAAGGAGTGTCGTTATAGGGTTCGCACGACATTTTCAAGTTGTACAAGCCCACTTTCTCCCTGAGGATTAAGTTTTTTTATGTAGAAGCACTGAATACGCGTGTGGAATCTGTATTCATCGCATGTAGTGTAAATATCCATCGATTCCATGACACAAGATCGAATACTAATTCCTAAGTACACCAATCAAGAAGGGGGTGCTATGATAGTATCGTTTATGGAAGGGTTGCAGTGGTTGGTCCAGCAGGGCTTTTGAATTTTGTGAAAAAACTAAGAACACATCCGACATTGTGGTGATTTCAGTCTCCTGTTACTGGCTGACATTCCCAACAGCCATTCTGATCGTGCGATATCTAGTCTTCAATTTGTATATGGGGTCGTTCAGTGATTCAAAGCTACCAAGATAAACCATGTGCAAGTCGCAGACTCGGTAGACCTATGGTAGTAAAGTTATGAATCAGCAAGAAATACAAGTAGAATATGCGCAAGCACTTTTAGTCATGGCTTCGCGTATTAAACATGAAGCTCTTACCTTACTAGTAGAGGAAGCATAGTAGAAGTAACCAAACCTTGAAGAATTTCCCCTCCAAAAATAGGCAGCATGCTCGAGACGATGTGATAACAGACAACGAACACTCTGAAACTTCAGAGAGGATTCGCCAGATAAGCTTAGGAGATGGTTTCCACATGCCTTGCGTCGTGAAGCCGGCTTTCATGCCTTCCTCTTGTTCTCAAAATTAGTAGCTATCTTCTGTATTAGAATCCCAAATTTCTAAGAAATAGAAACAAAAAATGTATGCTCGTGCTTTATCTACAATCGATAAGTTCAATTTGTGAAGTGTTAGTTCCATTTAAAAAAGAAAGAACCGAACCTAGGTACACTATTATGGTAATGATGGATTATACAATGGCCAAGTACCTGCAGTTTCCACGACACTAAGTCAAGGTTCAACGGTTCCACGCTAAAATTTAAGAGATTCAACGCTGGAGGCACAACTTCCAAACCAGGTCGCGGTTAAGCCAATAGGAATAAAAGCCTACTTCGATTTAGGTGACTACATACATCCTTGTTCAATAGGCAGTTCTTGTGCCCCACCGTGAACTCCCTTGCAGGAATGATTATCAAAACTAAGCTAATGGTCGCCCTGGACGGGCGCACCAAACTCAATTCAGAGAAAATGCCACGTATATTAGCTTCGACAGGGGTGGGCACGGAGTCCCACGATATATAAGTTCTTTCCTGAATGAATAACATCCACCCAATCAGTTTCGAAAATCCGATCTAGACTCGGCGATTACGATCCCACTGGTGAGATGACAGGGGTAGTCAGAAGTTCTACGTTAAAGAGTCCGCCCAATTCCTCCTTCGATCACGAACCTGAAGCCAATCAGTCTTGAAATCATCCTCTGATCTTGGCAAACTACTCTGATCTTGGCAAACTACCCGCATGACTGACAATCGCAGAGGCCTGGTATGACAGGGATACCCAAGACCTCCGACGCTCTAGGCAGCTGTTACTAATTTCCTAAACCAAACTCGAAGAGCCAATGACTCTTATGTATATCAATGAAATCATTTCTGTCGACCTTAGCTGAGCTCCATGGTGCTAACTCCGATATTCAACTCCGGTTCTGATAAGAACCTGCTTAAATGGCTCTGAAGAGTTTAAGCGTACGTTTTTCCGTGAGTATTCAGAATCAGCTGGAAATAAATGGCTGTATTATACAATAATTGGGCATTACTTAGGAAATCTGCTGGAAGAACTGCCAGACTTTTGTTCAGTTACTATATATCTGCGCACCGCTGACGATGTGGCAAATAGTGGAAGCAAAATCGCAGGTGTACAGGCGTTTAATATCCCAGTATTTGAAGACCAAAGATCAATTGAAGATGCTTATTACATCATAATTTTGTTTAGAGCGGTGGTGGGAAAACAACAGCTACTTTCATTGCCGCTTCTGCATGGAGATGAACAATCCACCCTTGTCAGATGCATACATAATGAATCGTCCTTGTACTTTTCCCATCACACACACGGTCCAAATCTTGATAGCTGGTAGCACTCCGCTCTGCTTCTTTCGCGTTGTCGCTCCTTCATCGAGGTCCGCCCTCGCAAATCTGCTGCCGGTCCCTGTTGGCCTCAGCTAGCTCCAACGTTCCTTTGTAGGTTGATTATGAAGGGATATCTGTGGCCTGTGAATTGTCCTTCCATACGGAACTGATTATTCCATCATCCTTGATATGCAAAAGCGTCTGCTCTTTCTAACTTCCAGGTTCGCATGCTTGTGTATGTAACATGATGCATAGGTGTCTGATGATGAGCGCTTCGGTAGCAAGCTTTTGGTCAAGAATAGAGAGATGGGATAATGGCGTCGTCTATCAATCGCATTAGCTTCGAGAACTATGGTATTGTAGTCTTACATACATACCTATTGTGAGCAGGCCAATGTCATAGCCACTGCCATTATGGTGCAAGGAAGTCCTCAGACCAGAACGTCTGATACAAGTGTACAATGGTGCAGAGCGAGCCATACCATCGAGCCGAGTCATTTCAATCTGTGTTCAATTTGCGTACGAGTTGTTCCAAAGCCTTGCGATCGGCAGATAGCGAGAGATGAATTTGTGTATTAGCGAGTACTGGAAAGAAACGATCGAGTGAGCGGAACAAGAGAGAGCTGTCTTTTCGAGCGCTAGCATCCGTGCAGCGTGAAAGATAAGATCCATTGGAAGAATAGGTATTTGTTACAATCAGCCAGAAATCCTTTGCCGTGGGACTTACGCACCTAGGGACCAAAAACACATGCGAGAATGCGCCGATTAATGGCGGACAGCTGTAGTTTAGAACCCACTCCGGTGATACCTATCTCCACACAAGAATGTATGAGACAGAAGCCTCCTTGCCTCGTATCTCTTGGAAAGAAATAAGATCTTTGATGTCTTATGTGTCCGGACTATGCTATTTTCAGCAAACCTTCCAGTACTTGACCGTCTCTTGCTGCTATATTCTGCGACTACTGTGGATCCGAGGCGCAATTGTAGGAGGAGAGGTTATCGTTGGGCTTGAAGTGAGAGATAGCTAGGCCATCATGGCTCTTCTGTCTTGAGATTGGAGGCTGGTTGACGAGATATTAGTATTTATCCTTGTCCCATGCCACTATACTTTTTAGCTGTTTTCTGGTAACAAAGTCGCCAGATTAGAACTCGATTAACACTAATTAACCATTATTTGTATGTGTGTGAATCTACCATGGCCACTATTTCAAAGGCTCCGAAAGTTCTTGAGAAAGTACTGTCTGCGAGACCGGACGATATGGTTGGTGTTTACTGCCTTATTGCTTGCTGAGTCTGATTGCGCACCCTAAAAATGCTATTAATCTCTTGCTTTATAATTCCATGAAGCTCACACATCCATAATGATGTATTTGTTCTTTCTGGTCCTTTGCACAACTGAATGCCATGAGATATGGCCATGAGCCAGACAGCTATGGGCGTCAGGCCAATTTCTACAGCAGTCATTGTATCGTCACTCTGAATTCGAAGTGCTCATGAGAACACATTTTCAAAGATGTCCGTACCACAGCATTGGCGATTCGGCGAATCCACATTATATTTTGTACCCACTCTTAAATACTGCTTCGATTGATCCATTTGTAGATGTTACTCACCGTGGATAAGACAGTGAATTGTTTTAAGGTGGAAACTTATGCGTCTTGTACAGCATATTAAACCTGTTGAGTATATGATGAGGAACCGTACATCTCTGCATCTGCTTTTGTCTCATTCTATGCCTACCTGAGATGTAAGTTTATCAGGGAGTTGTGTTGTCGGCCCAAGCCAAGTACAGGTTGACCTTGAGACTTACCGGTTTTTTTTTGAGTACTTGGGAGCTTCACGAGGTACCCAGGTAATGTGTAGAGTAGCTAGGTGATGTAGAGAGCGTTGGCAATTACTAGTGAGTTGTTAGCTTCAGTTCAAAGTGCAATTGATGACATTTCCAAGGTCGAACTTGGGCAGCTGGTTGGTGTTGTGAAGAATGTCGTTTGCACTAGGGCTCCTAGCAAGTCAGTCACAGATCACGTACCCCTGTCCATACGCTGCCATTGTTTTATGCTTTGATTGTTAACAGAATCCGAGTCACCACGAGACGAATGTAGCCGCACCACAAGATTAGAAATTCCCTTTCCTTTTCTGTCTTTTCTCCTGCAACTACTGGGTTCATAGATCTTCCAGTCCCAACTAAAAATCTTTCCAATTCTCTCCAACATGGTGTCCCACCAATCTACCAATATACGCCAGGGTCTCCGCCGACTGAGGTCAAGGTTCTTCTCCAAAGGTTATCATTGTTTATAGATCTTCGCTTTGAAGCTCGATGTCGACATACTAATAATAGTCAGTAGATGAGCCTACCATCCCCAGCCGTGCGGCTTCCAGCGATCCACCACCACCGATGCCAGAACGCCTGATCTGGCGAACTAAATGCACCGACCTTGTTGCCCGGATGAACGCATTCGCCACCGAAGTCGACATTGAACAAAGGGATCACAATGGGTACCTGGCGGATGAAGTGTTAGTCCACAAAGTAATACTTTTAGATCGTGTAGCCTAATGCGGTTCCTAGTGACCAGAGAAGGTCAGACAACGCAGATATTGTCGATCTCCGACAACGTATGGCTCGCGAGTACACACTCACGTGCCAGTGGCGCGACACGGCAAACAGAAGCGCTAATCTGTCGGAGGAGGCTGGCCAGGGGATCGATGAAATGAGAAGCGCCATCAGATTCCTGGATATGGCAGAGCAGGCGATGAAGCGGGCAGAGGACGCTTTGACAGAGCTACGAAAAAGGGCCTAGACTTCTAATATCCCAAATACAACCTCTAAAGCACCCATTCCGTAATAGAGTTCGTGACTATCAAAATACACACTCCAATCTAGCGACTTTAAGTGCTTTGTGATAATATTATACCTCATCCTAAGCGGTTTTATACGTGGTCTTTCTGCCTATGGGCCAGGGGTTCGCTGTGTTAGGCTTCATACCTACTGGTTCGGGCTATTTTCTACATTCTCGGATGGTCTACCAGGTAAAGCAAATAAACTCCTCCCATGATGAACGTAAGTATGAATTTAATAAAGAAGCCTGCTCACTGAGGTTCTGTGTGAACTGGATAGCATAATTTTTGTCTCCTTTGCTAGATATGAGTAGCTAAACAGTCTGCTGGCTAATAGTATTTGTGATTATCTGAACAGACAGAACAGTAATGGAAACCTTCCATAGGATTCTCAGCGTATCGGTTCCGTGATGATGTTCTACACGTGCCAATGATAACCAATAGTTTGACAAGCTCAAGTAGCGAGATTAGGTCGAAGCGTTGTTCTACACTACATCATTCAATCAGCACCCGAGTAAGGATAGTTCTGGTTGGCATTGTGCAGTAGCGAGTTTTCGATGGCATCATAGCTCATCAATCTGTTGTTAACATCCATAGGGCGGACACAACATCCGTCTAGGAGCATCTTCAGGCAGCAACATCAAGACATATTGGAAGTTCTTCCGAGGAACACGTCACTCTCGCCAGTGTACAACAAGCGAAATCGACACCGCCGCCATGAAAGTAAAGAAAGCATTCATTGACGCCAGCTCACCTCAATTAGAGCGCACGTCGAATTTCGCCAAAAGCCCCCTCAGACCCCCCTCAGAAACGTGATAGGGTAATATAAATGGCAAGTCTCGAGACTCAATATGCAGTTTGAATGAGAATTTTCCAAACTTAAGTTACTGTCTACCAATTTAGAGTGTAGATTACTGGATGCCAAAACTGCGACCTGCAAGCACGATTTGTAACACCTCCAACCAACTTCCGCCTCACCAATTTACGAATGCAGCATTTGAGCGCAAATTTATCTTGCAATGTTGAGTATTAACGGTAGCAAAGCTCATTAAGTAGACCGACAAGTCCACTGCCGTCTGCAGCTGCTTGGGGAAATGTAGCAAGACAGGCTAAGAGACACCGACACAAAGACTCAACTCTGTTCGTTGCCTCAACTCCAATACCATTAAGACATCAGTATCACTATTAGGGAAGGTTAGGTATCTTCGCAATGTGCTCCTGTCAGTGCCTATAGTCAATGTCGTCGTGTTTAATGGCAAGATGACTGTCCGCCATAATCCTCTCGGTACATCTCTGCAGGACTCTGTGACCTATTGTAACTCAGAAATAAAGAGCCCAAGTCGCCGTACACATCAGGTGTATCTCATGAAGGTCATCACTGATTTGCCATGTAGCTAGTGGAAGATGCTGAAAAAAAACCTTCCATCGAAGCTGAGTGACTGTGCCACCAATCTTTCCCCACCACCGCAAAACAAGAAGCAAAATAAAAGTAAGAAGTCCATGAAAGAGAGTCGAACCGGGTCCCAAAAAACGTCAAAAAAATGTAGTAATCTCTTTGATTAAGATCGTCATCCTTAGTGCAGGGGCCGAGCTAATCTTCTCTGTATCGTTTCATATTGACCAATTGCCCGAAGGCGAAGAGCATACAACTCGACGAAAATATATATCGTAGATTCAAGGTTCTTGGTGGGTGGTGTGGACCCTGAAGGCACGGAGGGTGGGTGTGAAAGGCCATAGCGTTCACTTCCGCCTAGCCTTACACACTAGCTTCGAAACCTACCCTGTAATATCTGGAATTTGCGGCTTGGTGCATGACGCAATGCTACCTGAGGTGCTAATATAACAGGCTGGTTCGACGAGAGAGCCTCTTCTTTGTCATCTCGAAACAGCATAACAAAAGGATCATCTTTAGCACACGTAAGACCCCTATGAACCACACCCACCTATGCCATTCCTTAATGAGAGCACTCGAGCCAGATGCCCTGTCTCACACACTAAAGTACACTGGTAGTGAGATGAGACAGAGGCAAACACAAAGCCCTCCAACCACACCTTTACTCCTGAACACACACACACCCTGTGTACTCCAACATGGGAAGCTTACAATCACACTCTCAGCCGACACTCAAGAGCTCAGTCGTGATGAAATATAGAATCTCAAGATCTTCGCTAACAAAACACCAGCACAATCCGGACCAACAGCAGACTCCCATGTCCTTGATCTTCCCCAGCAGCCACTCACGCGCCTCTTCCTCATCCTTCATACGATTTACCACCTGACGAGTGGCCAATGACGGGAGCAGATCGCCCATACTCCCCTCGAATGTATCCTAGTTTCCTGGTGTCAATATACACCATAGTGAGCTCTGGAGAGTCAAATGATGCGCCATCGGCTGCTTATGCCACCACTGAACGGATCATGAAAATTCAGGTTGAACTTCGGCTAGAGCATCTTAAATTTACTTCAACAACTGCAATTCCTCCGTGGAACACTCGGTAACACAGATAAAGCATGGCATAAGACAGTATGCCACCACCAACGCGAAGTATTACACAATGCCACCACGGCGTCATCAGCCCATCCATGGTGAGCCATCACGAGTATCCAGAGGGGTGAACAGGCGCTACAGATCAAGAGCGCGCAGGTATCACAGAGAAAATCAAATAGGACTTAAATGAGAATCCAGAAAAAGAGAGCAGCCATATATTTCATATATGTACAGACAGATCTGTAGAGAATAACACTACCGTGTATACCTCTCAAGACCTCATGCATCGTAGTGTCACCCAAGCTTTTCCCATCACGGCAATAGCCATCCTGGGTTTAGGCTCTCAGGCCTAGGACAGCGCATATGGCGCTATGTTTCTGAGACTTTAGCATAGAAGTGACGGTGCAGATAATCACGGACATGGAAAGCAGGTAGAACGGCCACGTCGCGGGATTTGAAATCAGCATATTAGCATATTAGTATATGTGAAACTGGTTTCTCAAAAACGCCTAGTCGTAAGACTTCTATAATGTAAGATCAGACGATCTGTTATGTCTCTATATCCAACGCCTGCCTGTCAATCCTTATTACTATTCTCGCGGTCGCCTTCTCCAAAGACGATCTGAAGATACTGCCTCCGCGCCCTGTTCTCGTCTCCGGAAACTGCGCGACGGTGATCTAGTAACAGGCCGACGGGCTCTTTCGTCCACTTCGGATCATAGCTCCCTGTATACTTCGCCGTGCCCGTACCAAACAATCAAGCCCCTGAAAAGCGTCTAAATTGTACGGTGGCGGGACAAGCACCATGGTGAGCCTGTACTAGTCCACTGTCGTCGGTGATTTCTTGACGTTCACTTCCTTTTCAATACACACTGTAGCTGCTTTCACGTATGGCGAGCTGTAGTATATTTGCGCATAGACCTCGCAACTGATCCTTGACAAGGCCGACACAACGACAGAAGCCGACCCGAAGTACGCCTTCTAGCAGAGGTAACATGTTCCTGGCATGCGCGAAGTGGGTATGGTAGTGTGATTTCTCCTTATTCTTGCTTGTCACAGGACGTTGCGATGCTAAGCTGTATTATTGCGGATGTATTTCCTTGACCCAGGGTTCGGAAGATTGTAGGAGGTGAGTGCGAGGTCTTATATATAGCCGGCGGTCTATAAAAGTGGAGGAACAGAGGAGGAAGGCGATGGTATGTACCACTGGTTGTATTGTGTTTTTCCAAGTCTAAAACGGGCGGCGGGCACGGCGCGCTCTCGCAGAGATGTTGACTCACTAAGATCAATTTCGAATATATCGGGTCAATGGAACTGAACATTCTGTTGTGCGGCATGCTCGATGCTACTGTGATTTTGACATGATAGGGGGTTGTAGCATCAGCCGGGTCTTTCTGCGGCTGCTCGTGGCGAATCGCGACGAAAGAAGACAAGGACAGCCATCGTGGACATGGGCTTCGGAAAGTGAGAAATGAAACTATCAGTGAGTTTAGCTAGTGATATATAGGTATATGATTCGTGATCTGTACTCAAGTCCAAGGCTCGATCGTCAAAGGGGTTATGGCCGGGGCTGACGACGAAGAAGGAGTCAGTTGAGAGGGAAGAAGCTCGCTGTTGATGCAAAGGCTGAAGGATTATCTCTGCCTGCTCAGATTTGTAAGGAAGGGTTCCGATGGCGATGGTGGAGAGGTGATGGTATGGCCAGGGCCACTTCTCCCAACGCTCGATGGCTTCCGGCATGTCCAAGCTGCCAACCGTGTAGTATGCCCCAAGAGACAAGCGAAGTTTCTAGACCATCCGAAATGCAGTTCAATTATACCGTCATCGTATTCGAACCACTTCGATCATGGCTCGGACGCTGACACAACTACCATCGGTAGAGACGAATCGTCGTCCTCGAGAACAGGCGGGTCATCTTTTCCCAAAGAAGGCCTGTACTGGGAGCTTCATGACGATTCTCAATTGGATACCTTGATCTCCTTCTCCGTCTTGGTCTTCTCAATGTTCAATACTTCTACGTCCTCGGATCGGGATTGTTGGTCACGAATGGACTTAGGTTTTGCGGTCCGAATCAAAGGGACTCTGATTTTGACGAGGCCATTTCCTTTAGAAAGAGTAATAAAGTGTGAGACAATATGTTTGACTGAATACAAGGGTCAAGTGCTCCAGGGATATTAAAGTTTTGGTGCAGGCACGCACTAGGCAGGCGAGCAATAAACCGTGCCTGATACTCCAAACCATTCCCATAACTTCGCGCCGCTCGACTTGCCCTCTCACTCTCCGCCACCAGGTGTCCTCGCGGCGCGTTAGTCACATTCACCTCACACGACATAAGAACAAGGGCTTGGTGAGATCTCGTATATTTCAGCTAATAAGCTTGATATTATTCGCCGTCTAGACTCGTGGCAGTTCATACTCTCCTCTCTCATTGTAAGTCCAAGACGAAAAAGAAACAAACAAACCGCTTATGGAAGGGGTATCTTTTCAGCGCTGAAGAAGTAGATGCCAGCCTCACGGAAACGCCATCGCTCATTCATATGCAAGTGTGGTTGGGTATCATCCCCGGTCCCTAACGTCTAGATCCTCGTCGACGTCTTCCCTGGCAGAATTAGGCGCATGAGCCGGAACAGCACCCGCAGAGCTCGTGACCCGGGAGCTGGCTAGGGAACCAACAGAAGCGGTCTCGAGAGCAGCAGTCATACTAGTCGACGTCAGTCACATAACAATCTTCAACAGTGGAGGAAAGTGGCATACCGCTTCGACTCGTTCAAAAAGTCATCATTCAAGTCGCCCAAATGCCTCACCGACTCCTGTATGGAAGCCAACTATTCACAGTCAGCAATAAGCCGGAAGAGCGACGCGATCGCAAGGAAGGATACAAGGGAAGAAGGAAATGGTGAAGATGTGACAAGAGAAAGAAAGCAACGAGATTACAAGGGGTGAGTGAGGCTAACAGTTCCTGCGAGGATATCCCTCGGTTCTGGTTCTTCACGCACCTTCCCGTGGTGCTCGGCGTGAGCATTCGTGGCCACAGCTATGGGGTTTGACACTGGTACGTTGTTGTTGTTGTTTGCACCATACGTGGCACCATTCGGTCGGTTTGGAAGAGGAGGCATGTTTGCATCTCCGTCATTCTCGAGATGCTCCTGTCCCGCAGCATAATCAGGTTTGAGATGCGATAGACCTCGCTCAGCACGCATCTCGTTGATATCTTCGACCATTTTGACGCTCAATTGATTAGCCTTCGCAAGCTCTTCCTCTGTGTGCATGCGTGCGACGTCTGCCAATGCCTTTTGGTCTTCGCTAGCCAACATACGCTCGTGTTCATGGTGAACAAGCAATAGTAGCTCATGCACCAGAGTCTCTAGCGGGCGACTGTCGAGATCAGCCTGGCTAAACAGCTCTAAGTCTGAATTCGCTGGCTGGACCTTTTCGAAAACATCACGGATGGCCTTTTGCTCCTCTTGAAGCTGATCGATGACGCGGCAGGCATTTTCATATTCCTCCTTGACTTTTTTTATGTCTATCTCGGTCTGTCTATGCTCGAGCTCAAGCTTTTCCCATTCTTCGGTCAACATCTTCCATTTTCGATCGATATTTTCGTTCTCGCCCTTTAATGAAGTGATTGTGTCTTGAGCGTCAGCAAGCTCTCTGTTGACCACGGCCAGTTGGGATTGAACAAGCTCATGCTGTGACGACGACTGAGTAGCGACATCTCTGGCCGTGGACAGCTCCCCAGTCACATGTGCAAGCTTTTGCTGGAGTCTTTGTATCTCCAGGGCCTTTTCGGCAACCTTGGTGTCCAAGTCAGCAAGGAATTGTTCTTGCTTCTCGTCGTTTTCGGAGACCAGTCTGTTCATATGTGCGGTCAGTTGAGAATGTCTGTCATTCATATCAGATACTATCTTGTCCATCTCGGCCTTGTGCGCATCGACTGAGATGCTTCGGTCTTCCTGCACCGACAAGAGTTTCGCATTTATAGCTTCGATCGCTTTCCCATGGGATAACTTGAGCGAGGATTCAATATTCTCAATCTCCTGTGTATGCACGTCACTGAGAGAGCGAATTTCGTTCTCATGCTTTTTCTGGGTGGCGGCGAGCTCATCCTGAGCTAATTGCAACGCTTGTTCGTGCTCGGCTTGAAGATCGCGTAATGAATCGTCGTACCTCTCCTGGGATCGTTTGAGGTTGGAATTCATGCTAGCCATGGAGTCCGTATGCTCATCAACTAACGCTCCAATGGTCTTGGTATGTTTCTCCTGCTGACGCACAAGATCGGCCTTTTTTGAAGACAGAGCTGTCTCGTGCTCCTCGCGAGCTAGCTGCATTTTAGCAGTCAGCGATTCGATTTCTAGATGCCGATCAGAGAGCTGGCTTCCAATGTCATTGAGTTTCTGGGTGGCTTGATCGCGATCAGCCTCGGCCTTCTCTAGCGCGGGACGAAGTTCATCTTCAGCTTGTGATCTGCTGCTCTTGTCCGCTTCAAGATTGCGAATCTCCTGCTGGAGTTGATTGATGGTATCGACGAAGCCTTTGGTATCAGCCTCTTGTTTTTGAACGGTATCCTGATGCTTCTTTCGAGCATCATCAACAGCATGATCCTTGGCAGACAGCTCAAGTTCGAGGGCCCCAATCTTTGCTTGAAGCTCCTTTAAGTCGGCGCGTTCGGTTTCCATCGTGCGGATCTCTTCCTCGCGGTCTGCGACAAGAGCTTCGAGCTTGAACTTTTCCGCTTCCAGGTGTCTCGCGTGTTCTGACTCGTCTTCTTTGAGAAGCGTCAAAGTCGCAGAGAGTTCTTTCTTTTCGAGCTCCAGGCGCTCAATTTGGTCTCGCAAGGCCAGTAGTTCCTCGGAAGTCGCACGCTTGGATCCCTCGATTTCAGTATTCAGTTTGTCACTACTCTCACCTAGGTTCCGGATGGTCTCCTTTAGTCCATTGACCTCTTCCTCTTTGGTCTTGAGTAGTTCTTCATGAACTTTCTTTAGTTCATCTAGTTGCGAACGGAGATCTTTAGACTCTCTGCTCTCCTCAGCTTCGTTGCTTTGCAGCTCGGTCACTTTTGCTTGCAGCGCTTCGATGACCTCGGACGACTTGGACATCTCTTCATCTTTTTGACGATTGGCGTCGGCGCGTTGCTCATGAAGCTGACGCACTTCGTCTTGAAGTCTTTCAATGACCTCGGAGGACTTTATAAGTGCTCCCTCATCATTGGCAGACTTGTCGGCTAGATTTTGCTCCAACGTCATAATGTGCGCTTGCAATCTTTCGAGTGCAGTCTGAGTTCCAGAGAGTTCTTCTTCCTTAGCTCGAATCTCGTCACCATGTCGACTATCAAGCTTAATGAGCTCGTCTTGAAGTGTTTCAATCACTTGAGCCGACTTTGATATCTCCTCCTCTTTCTGTCGAAGATCATCAATATGTGAGCTTTGCGCATCACGAAGAGCATCCTGCAACTGCTCAAGGGCATTGCCAGTCTTGTATATCTCTGCCTCTTTGGAACGCAGGTCCTCAACGTGCGAGTTCTTCAACGCTTCAAGCGCGCTTCGAAGCTCTTCAATCTGAATACTTGATTCGGCAAGTGCAGCTTCCTGCTTTTCGGCGTCGCCTGACTGTGCACTCTGTACATTATTCAGTTTGAGCTGAAGCTCTTCGAGAGCATTTCCAGAATTAAACAATTCATCCTTCTGTGCACGCAACTCATTATCATGATTAGTCTTGAGTTGGGCCAATTCCTCTCGGAGTTCATCAACTTGCTTTGCTGCCGTAGCGAGCTCGGCATCTTTCTTTTCGACGGCATCGTCGTGCTTGCTCTGAAGTTCTGCAATTTTGCTCTGCAATTCCCCCTTCGCGTTCACAGAACCCGACAGCTCATCATCTTTTTCCTTCACGTATAACAAATGTTCATCCTTAGCCTTACTGAGTTCTGCCTGGAGAAGTTCAAGTGCCTTTGAATGTTCGGCACCAGCTTCGCGTGCCTTGGTTTCACTGTCAGCCTGCTCGCGGGAGCGGTCGGCTTGGGCATCTCGCAGACCCTTGAGCTCGGCTTGCAAAAGTTCAGTCGCTTTGTCGTGTTCGTCAACAAGTTGCTGAGCCCTTTCGTTGCCAATCATTTTTGAGGTTTCAAGCTGTTGGGTTTTACTTTGGAGTTCTTCCTGCAGATCTTGAATCTTGGATTGATAGTCAGACTCTTTCTCGGTTAGCTGCTCATGCAGGTTCTCGAGTTTGGTTTCTAATTCCTCGATACGAGTTTCGCTTGCTGCGTGACGGGTCTGATGATCCTTGATGGTGTTCTGATGAACCTTCTCGTGGTACTCGAGTTGATCCCGGGAGCTGGATTGCTCCGTTGCCATTTCCTTTCTAGCCTTAGCAAGCTCTTCCGTCAACGAGGCGATCTTTGATTTTGAATCGTCATCAGTAATGTTCTGCTGAACAGTGGTAAGCTCGCCCTGAGCATGAGAAAGCTCGTCCATCAGAGTTGAGATCCTGTCTTCCAGAGTCTTTGTGGCTTCCTCTCGCTCCGCATCCTTCGTATCGATTTCTTGTTCGACACGTTCGTGCTCCTTTTCCAGAGCCTGTAGTATGCGGCGCAATTCGTCTTTTTCGGCCTCCTCTTCCGCTTTCTGCTCTTGAAGCGTCTTCAACCTCTCCTTGGTGTCCTCAAGCTCGGCGTGCAGGGACCGATTGTCACCTAGTTTCGCCTTATCTTGCTGGTGCGAACTCTCAAGATCAGCCAACTGTTCCGCGGCTTTCTCGGCTTCATCCTTGAACTTCTCAACGTCAGCTCTGGCCGCATCACGCTCAGAGATTGCCTCTTCGAGCTCTTCTTGGGTCTCTTTCAATTTGTCTCTCAGTTCATCTCTGGCGCGAGCCTCTTCGAAGAAATCAGTCATGATATCTTGTTGAGATCGCCCACGCTTGTGATCACTAGCATCACCAGGGCTTGACACAGTCTCTGGACGTTGAGATTCATCAGTGGTTGAGAGTACAGTGGGATGAGACTCTAGCGAAGGTGAGGTAACTTGTCTGTGAGAACGTCAGTTTGATTATATCAGGGCAGCAGCTTCTGATCAAACCCACTCTTCTTCCTGAACCTTGAATGAAGTTGAAGTTGGCTTCTTCGGCGAGGCCGTCACAGACTTGGTCGCGGTGGAAGTAGCTGTCGAAGGACGCGAGGAGATCCCAGTGCGAGGGACCGGTGGGGCTGAAGGCCTGGCCGCTGAGCTCGCTGAAGGTCTAGTAGTCGATCTCGATGGAGCTCGATCAGTCGCTGTCTTTGTCGCAGGAGATGGGCGTTTAGGGGCCATACTCGAAGCTGGAGTGATTGTCGAACGCCGATCCGCAGCGATGCCTGGCTTTGATGGCGATGATCGCGTCGAAGCAACCCCTACGGTGGACATTTTTTTCGCTGCCGATGTGCCGGCTGATATTGTAGACCTCTTCTCATCACCAGATGTGACAGAAGCCGTGTCGTTGTCAGCGGTAGATTTTGTCGAACGGCGCACATATGAGCCCGGAGGAGGACGCGTTGGGGGCTTGCTCAAGCTGCTAGTAGTAGAGGGCCTTGAGGTAGTTGTCGAGGTCAGTGGCTTCGTGGTACTTGCTGTCAGGCGCGAGGTTGTACCAGATGTTGCGGTCGAAGTCGTAGTAGGTCGCTTTGCGGCAGCTGTAGCAATACCGGGACGACGCGGAGGTACATTTTCAACCTTGGAAGCTGTGGACGGTTTCAGCGATGGTGTTTGTTTCAACTTCGACTGATCTAAAGCAATTGAGGGCTTCCTGGCAGCTGCAGAAGATGGTGTTTTGTCGGTTGCAGGGTTCTCGTCACCTCTGGACGATGGTCCCGCGTCCGCCATGATGGTACAGAAAGGGGCGTCAGTCGACAATGGCAGGGCAGCGGCGAGAGAGGCAATTCAACAACAAAGTACTCCTTGCACACGAGCTCTCACGTCGTGTGAAGCGCGGCGTAGATGTGAGGACGAGTGGTGTTGAGGATAACAAATATGAGCAGAGGGGGCTTGAAGCCTGCAGAGGTCGAAGCGTTCAGCCGGAGAGCGCAGCGGGAAATAAAGGGTCCTGCACCTGCAGTGCAACCACGGTACTCTACAGTTCAACAAAATATAGATCAGGTCGAGCCTTCTTATCACAATCACACTGCAGAAAGTTCCATCCAATACAAATATCTACCTAACATACAATTCATCCCCCAACTCCAACTCATAGCCCCTTTAATGTCTTCTTTCGCGTCACGAATCGCGTGGGCGCGCCGGGCGGCATGGCGTACGACTAACGCAAAGCCGTTAGAAGATTCCCCACACTCCAGGGGGGAGCAACCGGCGGCGGGATAGCCACTGGACGCTCGCTTGCAAAATTCTCCTTACGTGAAGCACCAGTGAGACTCGCCAATAAGAGTCTCGCTCTCACATGTGCTAATTAGTCGAGACTCGGATGCCCTTGAATCCAGAATGGCCGGAACGTTGGGTAATTATCGTGAAATTCAGTAAAGACAGACATAGGCGAGCTAGAGCGTACTTTGAGGTTTTTGTTGACGGCCGTGTGTTAGTATGCAAGCCCTCGTATACCATAAATCACCATGGCGTGTGTAATCAAGCCGACATACTGCTCTGACTCGTGGTGCAATACTTCGTCTGCAATGGACAGAAGGTGCAGATTATTACTTGCGCTTGTTTTGGTCTTGACGCACAAAGAATTAATCAGTCTATCACACAGCAATGTCCAAAGACTCAAAGAGAATTGTTTGAACAGTGGAGTGGAGCTTGTTCGCTCAGTTTTTTCAACGCCAAAGTATTCTCCTTTCATGAGATCACTTAGATGTATATCCTTTGTGCTAGTACTTATTATAAGAGCTATTGCAATTGAAGTACTAAGTCACCATTCTCTGGCCATCTGTAATAGTACTATCTTTGCATAAAGTCCGCATTGGCTTTGTTATGGACTGGCGCGCTTTTCTCTTGCTAGTTCTCCATAAAATTTAATTATTCATTACTTTAGTTCTAAAACTAAGATTTTTGTCTCTATTTTAATCCCTTATACTAGTACTTCATAAAATCTCTTATATTATAATCCTATATTTTATATAGAATATATAGTACTAATTCACACTGAAATAGTTCTAATACATCCAGTGTCTTTCAACCTTGTATAGTAAGTATCAATAAACACTATACTAATTAATTGTTAGTATGGAAGAAGATTATATTAATAGTAGCTATTAGGATCTAAAATTCTACTATATTTCTCTGGACATATCCCCTCTTAGCTCTAAACTAGTTTTAGTCAAGAGATATTACAGTAGGCTTCGAGAGCTATAGATAGTAAGACAACATGTATGGTACTAAGTATAGATGTAAGTTAGTCATATTCTTCATAGATAACGCTATGAATACCTATAGTTGATCGAGTAGTCTTGACAGACCTAGTCATATATACATCGAATAGAACCCATACATAGGTATCGAAACAGATCAAGAAAAGTAATCAATCAACATCCATAGTTTGCAGCAGCATTGCCTGGATCCTTGTCAAATATCCCCCTCTCCACGGCCGTCTTGTATGACCATCTGAAGTCGTTGCCAGCCTCCGTTTTCCAACTCCAGAAGATCCAGCCCGCGAGCTTCTCGAAATTGCCGACCTGACGCTGTAAAGAGTAAATTTTTTGTCTTCAGAGCTTACAGTCATACTCACGCCGTAGTACTGTCTGTAAAACTCTACAGCCTATTAGCTCGATGTTCATTTGTAAATTTCGACGCAGGATGCAGGTATCTAGCCGACATCACAGCATACTTACCAAGATTGTTATCACTATTGACTTCAAACTCGCCATTCCCACCAGCGTTGGCGTTGATACCAACACTCCACTCGCCAACAACGACAGGCGCGTCTCCATCACTGCCCGGCTGTGCGGCGCACGACGACGTGAGATAGCTCTGTTGGCTCTGTTCCTTGCTGTTCTCAAAGGAGAAGTACGTGTGCGAGTCAAAGAATAGCATATCGTCCGCCGGCAGATTCTGCGCAGGGCGTCCCGCGCCCCAGTTCGTATTCATGAATTGCACGTGCAGACGTGCGGCATCGGCGACGTTGAGTTGAGTCTCGCGGTCGCGGATACGGCGCAGGGTGTTGGGGTAGAATTCGGAGACGAGGTTGCCGTAGCCGCGATCTGGCTCGTTCATGACTTGGAGCATGCCGACGCTGCGGTATTGCTGCGCGGTGCTGGGGTTATGGATGCGCGAAGTCATGAATTCGAGGAAGCCATAGGCACGGTCAAAGTTGTAGCTGTTGAAGAATTGAGGCTCGCTAACGGTCTTTTGTAGCGTGAGTGTATATCGTCTAGGGAGTGTGAGAGTGTTGGGGACTTACGTTTCCGGTGAAGCCTTGATTTGCGGCTTGTACCCCAGGTCCGCCGTGGAGATCGAGGATCACATACATACCGGCATCGGCTGCCCAGCCGACGAAGCGGTCGAGGAATTGGAGGCCGCCTTTGGGATAGTGTTCGTCTCCACGGACGAGGTCTTCGGCCATCCAGTAGCCGATAGGGATACGGATTGTGTTTAGGCCGTAATCTTTCATGAGTTGAATCTCGCCCTATAGATTACTGTTAGCCTTGTTCAATTTCTAGCAGACCAATTCTATGCTATCTTGCCTGTGTGATCCAAGTGTCCCAATGCTGCCTGAAGGCGGAATTAGCAGCCTCCTGACCAAGCTGCTGGACACACGCAAATTCTGAAGGTTGATTTGAGCATCCAATCCTGTTCCAGGATTCACCGACCATCCAAGGTTCTATGATGAACAAGCTGCCGACATTGACACCACGAATTTTATCAGGTACCACTATAGTCTGACGACCAGCAATCGAGCGATTCGTAACGCCAAAGGCTGAGAGCTCAATGCTTGAATGGTGTCCTGGTAGCCATGCAGAAGCCAGAGGTAAGATAGAAACAAAAGCAGTGATCAATCGTGAAGACATATCGAAAGATATCACCCTATTCAACTGTGAAGGGCGTGTGAGGGAATGACTGAAGATTGGATCAATTGTTATGAACATCCTCCTCTTCTTATATCCATATTCGTGGTACCAAGCCTACGACCCAAAGGTATGTAATCATAAGTAAGAGTTCAGCCTCAGTCTTGCGATTGATCATCATTCTGGACAACTAGCCGCTGTAGGCATGTACTTATTATGACTACCTTTTGGAAGGCAAATGCGTTTAAGCGACTTCATTGAGACTTTAGGAAACAAGTTGGTCTTTGGGCCGAAAGATGGCGTGTGACACATTGGTGACGGCTGTACAGCCGAAAGTGGTCGCATGTTTTAACCAAGGTACAGACAGTATAACGAGACGAAATGATCCAGTGATCAACGGCTATAGAATCCTTTGTGGGGTTTTAGTCAAACACCCACCGATAGGCTAGGGGTCAAAGGAGATTTGGGGCCTCAAAACGTTCACAGTCGTATCTTCAACTTGATCAGTGGCGGCGTAATCGTTGAAACCGCCTGTGTATCACAATATAATCTTACCTCATGTGAAGCATAAACAAAGATCTTTAAACATTTGTCACTGCGATGTGGAGGTAGCGAATAGTATAACGTTAAGTAGCACCATGGCAATGAACAAGGAGGTCGTGTGTAATAACCCTCGTCGAATTGCTGAAAGTTATTAGCAGATCAATCGGGGAAAGTTTTTGTTACGTTCTTGATCCGTCGGCTACTTCTAGACCCATTGATTGTCGTTGTTCTTGAACATTTACTTGTTATGAATGGCCTGCAAACGCCGAAAACGTAGCTAGGGTCTGCTTAGGTAGCATGGAGGGTTGAGAATAATCACGGCTGATACTCTGCCGATAGGCTCTTTCTCAGTCGATCGGCGTGCTCGAGCTCTTTTCTAACCGATAGAAAAAGTACTGTGACGGAGATGCGCACGGCGGTTTTATTAGGATACCCGTCGGGGAGTTCTACAAGTAATACTAGAGTAGATCAAGGCAGATCCGTTCTGTTTCATAGAGCTCGGGGTTGCGGCTCTTTGAGGCAGGTCAAGAAACTTAAAGATGTGATCCTTCCAAAGCGGCTCGGAGGAGGTGAAGTACCTAACGTGCCTAAGATTTTAGCGTAGCCTTCGGTAGCGAGGAATCAAGACAGTGGATAAGAGTATGACAGTATGAATGTTGTAGGACAGATCCATACTTGTGACTTGGAGATATATGTATGAATATTCAGAGCTTCCAAGTCTGTTTCGATTCGGGCTACTTCAGAGGTTCGACTGTGATATTTGCTGCATAATGTCAACAGCCTTCTGAGCCATTCCCCTACCAGTCACTTATTAGAAAAACGCCTGTTTTGCCCTGAACACTAGGGACAGATCACTTACCACGATGCCTGGTACCCAGCTCCGCTCGCACCATAGTTGTGGATAACAAGATGGCCACCCATGACTTCCGATTCCATTCTAGGTCCTCCCTCGCGTCCCGCTATAGCCATCAGTCACTAGCGCACATATTAGATATCCTCAAATACTGACGTCTGAGCCCTACGCAATGATAGACTACCTTCAGATCTTCCGGTTTGCCCAGTTCCGGGGCTAGAGCACAACACCGCCGCTTGATATCTTCGGCCAGGTCAATATCAATCTTGTCACTCCAGTCGTTGTCAATTCTGCATCCACCAAGAATGACACCTCCAGAGGGGTTTCTCGGAAATACGTAGGTCGTATCGCTGTCAACGCGCTTTGGTGAACGAAGATACATGTGCTCAAGTTGAACTTTGGGGCTTTCGACGAGCATTATTTGACCCTGAGCCACGTTAAATTCATTCTAGTGATTGACTCTTGGAAACATGCTTTTGTAGGGTATAGCGCTTTGTCTTCGACACCTTTGAGATGGTAAGAGCCAAGTCCGGTGCAATTAAAGTATGCATTGGCAGGAACGGCATGGAAGAAGTCACGGATGTCGTCGAAAGAGCTGCGGCGCATTTCGATGCCTAGTCTCAAACATTCTGTGTTCAGCCTGAGAGCTAGTTAGTGCATAAAGCTATGTGGTTACGATATCTTCAAGGATTCATACCACGCGAGATAGCCTTGTGTGTTAATCATAAACGTAGGTATCACATAGCCAAATTGAGCACCTGTTGCTAGATCCGCATTGGCGATCTGGCTGACACCCCCGACCAAGTCTTCATACCATAGTTTCTTAGATCCAGGAGCGAAAATGCCTGCTTGCTCTGGTGGGCTGTCGTAGAAGGCATGTATGTCCATCTTTGTAACGGCTGCCTCAGGCACAGATGTCGCAATGGTTTGGAGGCGACGATAAGTCTCTGCTTCCCACTCATGCAAAACCTGGTCCTCTGTCGCTATCGATAGCCAGTTTGCTCCAGCCCATGGCGAGCAATACTTAATGCTTCGATCCCCAGGGAAATATTTCGCTGCGATGATAACCTTGGCGTCTGGAAATCGAGTTTTGAGCTCGATGGCGGTGGACAAGCCGATCACACCAGCGCCGAGGACAGCATAGGTAATAGACGCCATCGTGATACACTTCTGACAGGCTTACCAAACATTGGTGTTGCAAGATGCGTCGATTTAGTACCTCACGGTTCGTAGCTAGAGTCATACTCGCCGCGGGCCGATCGGCAAGAGCACTCGATCGTAATCAGAGCTGCAGCGTATGATACATGACTGTAACAAGCAATATCACCGATTTCCTATAAGCTGCGTCAATCATTGCAAAGCGCAGGAGAGATTGAGCTTGGTATAACTGGACAGACAATACAGAATAATCCTTGAAAAAGCACCGATGACTCCTCAACATATTCTAAGTATTATTCGGTCCCGTCCCTACATTCGGTCCCGTACGATCTCTAGGAAGAACGATTGGATCAATCTTGGTTTACTACCGTAACAACTGAGAACGTGTGATGTATCCGCTTCATACCAGATCTCCCCGTCAACAGCACCTACCGCGAGCAGTTTTATCAAAAGGATACTCGGTGGAGGCGAACCTTGATAGTTTGCGACGTTGTCCTAAACCAGGAATCGCGTGACCAATTACAACACGTCGGTCTACTACTCTGCTTCAATGAGGACCATTCTTAGCAAACCTCGAGAAGTGCATTCACTTGGTAATATGCACCTACAATAGACCTGAGTGAGACGAACAGCTCGAAAATGTACTTCACATTGGGGATCTGACCCTAAGGCCTTTAGAGCACCAGGAATCAGTCCCAATGGTATTTCACAAAGCTCAGCAGATGTGGGAGAAATGGTCCTAGGCATGCTTCCATGTAACAATCGGCGCTGTTCAGCAACACGACAATGGTAAAGGCTTTAGGGACGTCGAATTGGTTCTACAAGGCTTCGATACGGCAGCATCGGTAAAGCAGCTAATTACCGGAGACAGTGTAGAGCAGTGAAAACTGACAGTCGTCCACAATCGCCTGCCATGCTAGGCAGAAATTCACCAGACGCGTACCTCAGTGACAATATTGCGAGAGCTTGAGTTAAAGACGATGGAAGGCTTATCGCTAACTCCATTATCATCGTACCCGATGGGCACATTATTGCACGATAGGAGATATCTAGTTATAAGCAAGTTGTCGCCGAGACTAATCTCGATGGTCGTCATAATAGTAAGACGCGTGTCTTTGCGCTTGATTGACATCGCCGGACCGAGCTTTATGCTCGCGTTGTGGAGCGACAGGTGTGATCGAACCATCTTTATTATGAGGGCGGACACAGAAGATACCGCGGTTGCGCTCTCTTCTTTTGACACCCAGAGATTGACGAGCTACAGGAATTGGTCGTATGTGGTTGCTGAAGCAATGAGACTGCATAGCGGCGTGCTGGTGTCGTGCGTGCAAGACATCGTTGCACAGGTAGAGAGAATGAGGCCTCACCTAACTATTCTGCCCATCCAGAAGTACATTTCCATCATTTTAGCTAGCAAGCCGTACATGGTTACATGACTAAGCTGGCGAGATGTCATTGTTCCCTTCTTCTGACTATGACACCTGATTGTCCCAAGAAGTCGAGCTTGCGATATACCAAGGGGTACGTAACTCAGTAGTACCGAGAGAGCATCGGGAGATTCGACACCACTGCGTAGCATGAAACATTCTACGGGCATTACATATCAGTGATGCCTTCGCGTAGCATCAAGTCGTAGTGATTGGTCGGATGAATGTCGCTCCCTGGCGATAGAAATCGCTGGCCAGGGTCCCTTGGTGCATCTCTTGACCTCTGCTACCAAGCAGCCAACATAAGCTGGGCCAAGCGAGTCCGCGGCTTGGCGAGAACGTTGCACTTACGCGTCCTTAGGCCGCTGCAGCTTCGAGGCTGTGTCGTGGGGCCGGGTCAATTATATGACGGTGAGCTGAGGGCATATTCAGAACATGCGATGAAATATTAAGTTTCGAGCAGGTGAATCAAGATACGCCCAGTGGGGATCAGACGAGAGTAGATTAACAGCAGTCGTATTGTTGTGTGATGCTTGGATGAAGGAAAGAGAGTAAAGGATACTGAGTAGAAGAAGATAACTAAATTTCACAGACTCACGTGGGCCGAAGGAGGGCGAGGCCAAAAGCGGCAAGGCGTATTTTGTGATCTATTCCAGGTTAGTAGTACCTTGGCACCTGCAGCGTCATCGTTTTGGGAGACAGCGGGCCGCAGTCGGGTCTGACCAATTGTTGTTGCAGGTGGTTTGTGCTCTGTTGCTCTGCTCAAGCGTTCACACAGCCCGCTTGGCCTCCTATAAGGCCATACTGATACCGTTCTGCCTCGACGATGCTGATGTCCTTCGTCTCTTCATAATGTTCTTGTCGCCCACCACCACAAGACCTTGGCTGCAGCTCGTGATCTAGCAACAGACACTTTGAATCTTGGTTCGGCCCGTCCCATCATGTTGGACGAAAACCTACCCAGTATGTGCTTACTCTGCTTCTTAGAAGCTGTTCAAGTGTACGAGCACAAGCTGACCGACAAGCAGACTTCTTCCTCAAAGCAAACACAGATGGCGTCAAACATCACCAAGCATACTACTTCTCACAGCACGGTAGCGATCCGGCGCCTTCGTACGACCTACATCATCTAGATCCTGCCAGCCCGGACGCTAAAAATACATACGCCGTAGCTCTATTTGACGCGCACAACCTAGACGTCTTGTTTGGCGAGGTACTATTAAGGCCTGGCTGGACACATCCTACACTGAACCAGGAGGAGATAAGAAAGAATGGAGGAGTAGCACCGCCACCACAGCCTATACTACCAACGTCCTTCACCGTGCAACTATATGAGCCGGATCAGCAGGTCGAGGTCGTACAGAAGACTTCAAATTGGAGTAATACCAATTGGTACGAGTTCAGTCTGCCCCAGCAAACGTTCAGAGCACCCAGTGCTTCGGCACTTGACCGGGCGCGGAACGATCCGGCCGCTGACGCGACCATACCGAAGCTCAACTTTGTTTGGAGGAGAGATAGCAAACTGAGTAAGGATATGACATGCTTTCTGACCGGAAAATCAACAGATCCGGACAGCAAGAAGAAGAAAAATAAGGAAGCAGATATTGCAGTTGCACTTTTCAGCGGTCTCAAGGACCTTACAGTATACGAATCGAATCTATATCGTGTGGAGATCGAGGACTACAAAGGTCTCGAACTCGTGCTACTTCTGAGTGCTGCAGTCATCAAGGATGTGTTCTTTGGCAGGATTCAAGATGCCTTCCATATTGATGACTACGGCCGCAAGAACAGCAGTGGAGGGAAGATCGGAAGGAAGAACTCACCTCCACTTACTCCGACCGGTGGATACATAGCACCAGCTACAGGACCGCTAATAATACAATCTCCTCAGCAACTCCAGCCATCACACGTTCTACCAGCCCAGAGACCAATTCAACATCATCATCAACGCCCAGTCGCACCCAGCTCCCGCAACGATCACAGACGTCAATCTCTCCCTCCGCTCCAAACTACCGTCCCTCAGAAACAACAGGCTTCTGTTGATGATCCAAGAGCACGCTGGGAAATTGAACAAGAAGCCGCACACCTCCGCGCCCAAGTCGACAACGAGCGCCGCGCACAACTCGAACAACAGCGGCAACAGCAGAAAGCCTCAGAAGCTGAAGCTAAACGGTTGCGCAAGCAACAAGAAGCAGAAGAGAAAGAGAAGCGTCGTAAGCAGGCTGAAGTCGACAAAGAGACCGAGCGTCTACGCCGAAAATACGGCACTCAGGGACAGGTTATCCCACCGCCTGCGCAGCCTCAAAGACCCCACCAACGCCCTCAACAGCCGCAAGCTGTACCTTTCAGACCGCATTCACAGCAACAGCAGCACAGGCCGCAGCCTCAACAGCATAGGACGAGCAATCTATTCTCTGTTCCACAGGGCCGCGTCGCTCAAGCGCCTCCTCCGAGACCAATACAGCAAGGGGGATGGCATGCACCTGCACGGCCGCCACAACAAAACGCATATTTTGGTGGTGGAGGCCTATTAAGGCCAGACCTGGGCCAGACGCTGAAGCAACCGAAGAGAAGTTTCTTTGGGCTCCGAACGAGTGGGGAGAATGTAAATTCGAAGGTGGCGAAGAAGAAGAGTAGCATATTTTGAAAGAAACGAAATGATGGTGTGCCATGCATTTGGCGATCGGTATTGTATATACATCCGACATGGGCATTATACGGCGTTTAAAATGATAACAATGACCTTTTCTTTCAAGATAATCTCTGATTGCGACGTGTATGGTCATTCGTCGTGCCTTCCTAGTGGTCACAGACTCCAGATCGCACAACGAAGCTACCGTCTGGCTGCGAAGTGTTCAATCCCGTTTACCGCCTCTCTTCCATAACCCTCCCGAGTCCACCCTGATCCCCAGTCCCAACGCCAGCCGCATCCACCGGATTCCCCGTCAGTCCACCCTCTCTTCCACTTCCCCGCAATCCAACCTTCCCAATACCACCGCTGATCCGCTCCGTGATCCGACCCCCGGTGCGTGCCTCGCCCTGACTGCCGACCCTGCCCGTCGCCATCTGTCGCTGCCCATCACGTATAATCTGCTCGTGCTGCGCCAGTACGGCGGGGTCATGCCCGTGAAACGCGCGGTCGGTGGCGCTGGACAGTGTGCCGCGGAGAGCCTCGCCTGCACCCTGCGTTGGGGGTTCAGTATAAATTCGTAGGACAGGACAAGGGGGGTTAGGGGGTAGAACATACATGCAGAGTGCTAGCTGCTGCTTTGAGATCGGCGATAGTGCCAATGCGGGAGCCCGTCTCGGATTTACTGTTGTCTGGGACGTAGGCCGGGGTTAAAGGGGCTGGGTGTGGGTTGCCAGCAGGTATGCCGGTGCTTGCACCGCCAGAGGTTGTGGCTTGATGGCGCGGGTAGGAGAAGTTTGTGCGAGAGGGTGACACGGGTGGTGCGATTGGCGCTTCGCCATGTTGGTTCTGCTGAGAGTATCGAGGGACTGGATATTGTGGCTGCGTCTCTGAGAGCTGGGGCTGAGGCGTTGAGACGGCATTGAGCTCTGCTCGTTCGCGATTTGGGCTGCGGTATGGGATTGTTGGACCTGACGGTGCGCGGGGATATGTTGGGCGGGATTGAGAATTCGGGTTGGGGACATGTACAGGTGCGGTTTCGGTATGCTGGATGTCGGTGGTGTTGGACGTGCCTTGGTCTGCGCTGCTGACGACGGGATTTGTTACAGCATTTTCGCCGCCAAGAACGCGAGTTTCGGTCACGGTTGTGGTTGTGGTTGTCGTTTGGACACGTTGGTCGTTGGTGGTGCCGCGCTGTGTTGCTCGTGGGGGCTCCGAAGTTGCTGTCTCAGATGGTGACTTATCGGATGTAGAACGGTCAGCATAACGATCGATGGATATGCCATCGTTTTGCCTGTTCGGAGGCACGAGGTGGTCTCGGGACGCCATGCGTCCAACGGGTTGCTGGTTCGGTGTTGAACCAATCTCAGAGACAGAGCTACCTGGGTCATTGGCACTAAAATACGCTGAATCATGAGGGTTCCTCTGGAGTGTCGGTACGGAGTCTCGCTTGCTCTTCTCTTTGCTCTTGGTCTTCTTGTCAAAGGGGTTTGACATCCGCCATTTCGAATGTTTTCCCTTCTCCAGCTCCGGGATGGCCTCGTCAGCCCCATGATATACCGGGGCGTCAGCAGGGGCGTCAGCAGGAGCTTCGCTGCCGCCCGGATACGTAGGCACGGGTCTACGCTTGACAAGACGATTCGGGAGCATCTGGACTTCAGACATAGTTACAGTTTCACCACACTTGGAGAAAGATTGAAGATATAAAGAACGAGTGCTTTTTTCGCTGGGATAAGTATCCAGTGAGCGCAGCTAGGCCGCCTCATCGGATGCTCATATCATGGTAATTCCCAGTTTCCAACTTTTAATCATTGATTGTGACCATTGTGGCTGTGACTGGCTGTAAGAGGTGATGTCATTTCTGATGACCCGCAGTTCAAGGCTACAGATTGTGGCGTCCCGGGCTGCATATGGCTTAAAGTGAGTGATGGGGCGGTGCAAGTGTGGCGGTTCCTGTTTGCATTACTTTGTCTGACTTCCTGACGAGCCTCAAACAATGCCATGAACGTCCCAACATTTTGCTATCATGTTCGTCTTTTAAGTCGGTTGCTTAGGTGGGACTCCCACCGTCGCTACCTGAACTAAAATTTTGTGAAGGAGCAACCTAGACTCCGAAGGCTGCTCGCTGATACTTGAGAATGGAGCCGTGTTCGAGTCGCGTATTAGGACAACGAGCATGAGGAATATCTGGTTGCTCGATCGCACTACAGGACTATAGTATGAGTTCATTGCTATGGGTTCCAAGTGGTGCCAGATATCGTGCTGAGTACCTGGTCTGGAATTGGTAAAATTTGATCACTGCATCTCGACACAAGGAGTCCTGAGACCAGCAGCGACATTGGCAAGGTAAAATACGGAGCCTTGAGAACCGCATTCGAAGGTACTTCAGTACTCGTGCGATGGTGGAGGAAGTAATTCTTCTGTCCATGTCATGTAGAGGCGTCGTGCATTATAAGCATCCGTATTTCCTTCTCAGTTACTAGCCAGGTCGGATAAGGCCCTTGGAGGTACCGTCGGGAGTGTTTCAGGGTTCATCATCATATATATCGAAGCAACGTAGCTCCTATATTTCAGATCCCAGTTTGCAGATTGGCTACTATTCGGAGTCTACCGATGATCATATCGGGTGTTCCATTGTAACCTTAGGCCCGTTTTTCCATTGTTTGATCGCTCAGGTCGCTTATCTTCTTTGTGCTTGTCCAAATACGCCGCGGAGTGCGCTTTTCAAGGCAGTTGGTAATCATGAATGCGGGAAGCCGTTGCTATACAGTCGTAACTCGCAAATGTTATACCTCAAAATATATCATCACTCATGTTCACATCCTGATCAGCTGCCGCTACTGCACCTTCTGTAGCTGAAAACGACCCGGTGAGATTACGACCAGCGACTTCCTCATCGACGAATACACTCAGCCCAGCAAACGCTTCGCTGAACACTCTGCTGTAAAAGTCTCCAATCTTGAAGCCGCCAGCCAGGTATCGTTCGTCTTGCCAAGCGAAACTGAGCCACGGGGCGTCATAATGGTCTTGAACCACGGAATATTCATTCGCAATCCTAAGTCCAGCGTAGGGCGAAAATGGCCTTTCTGGTTCGACTTCTGTCTTCTTCTTGAGGCCCCTGTAGAGTAGTTTTCCATCTTCCGCTTTCGTGGCCGAGGCGGACGGTTTTCGACGATCTGGGATGGCCGTTTTGTGCCGTCTCTTGAGGCCAATTTGGCCTTCCCGTACAATCTGCTCAGCATCACCATCGCGCGACGCCAGCTGGTTGATGATATTTCGTTGACCCTCCAGCCTTTCCTGCCGTTCACGCTCTTCTTCGCGCATATTCGCCTCTCGTCTGAGGCGTGATTGCTCCTTCACCTGAGCTTGGCGGGCTGCATATGTTGTTGCCGCCTTTCTAGCCCTGTTTTCGTTATCATCGATAAGCTGCCTGTTCGCCTCCGCATAGCCCTGTAACTTTTTCTCAGATGCCTCCACATCTATCCCATTGATCAGGTTGTAAGTGATATCTTCAACATCATTTAGGTAGTCGTTATAATCGAGCAGGGTTTCAAAGTCTTCTTCGCAGCGGTTGAATCTGGTTGTGCATGATTAGCGGGCGTAGTCTCTTCGGGGTCGAGTTGTCAGACTCACACTTTGGCGACCCTTCGTCTTATATCAACTTCTCTTTCAACAAAAACGTCTTCAAACGTCTGAGCTCGAAACTTCGCCTTGCGCAGTGTCCGTCTGCACCCTGCTATAGGACACGGGGCGGGTCCAGAGGAAAAGATACGGTCCACGCAGGACTCGCACATCTTGTGATAGCATTCTGGGTTTACCAAAAACTTCATCTGAGGATTAAGGTACCGTGAGGATTTGCAGACAGGACAAATGTCTGAGGTCTTGTCAGTTTTGTGTACATTTCGAAGCTCGGGGGAGTCGAAGTAGGAATGAAACTCACCACCGTCATCTGTTATCTCAGTGCGCTTTGGCGCTGCTCCCCCAGGGCGCTGCACTGCCCTCGACATGGCGCCAAAGTGCGTTGTAAAGCAGATAAAGTGGCAGCTACCTAGGTATGTGTATGTGTGCAGTGAGGTAGCTATTACCTACCTAGTAATTAATGGATCCAGACTCGGAGCTTGGACCGCGACCTGACGCGCTTTGTCATTACAGTTGTGCCCCGTCGCGTCCGCAAGTTTTCTGCGCCACTCTTCAACCTTCGTCTGGTCGGATGCTTCGCACAACAGTTCCGAGAAATGAGTGCGCAAATCGATCCAGGCGATGACCTAGCGAATCTAGAGAAGCTGCGGTCACGGCTAGAAGATGGCATTTTGAAGCTCCGAACCGCCTTGAACCACTGGCAGGCATGGGATTTTGAGTATGAAGCTCTCAAGGAAGAGTTTCAGGCTCTCAAGAATCCTTCGCAGGAGCAAATCCTGCAAGTGTTTGTTACGTTCGGAGGTGATCTAGTTGACCAAACCGAAATCAAGGAACTTAGTGGTGTCGCTAAAGGTCTGCAGAGGACTTCCAGTCAGATCGCTGATATCATTACTAGAAGGCAAGACTACGTGCGCAAGAATGTTGATAGTGTGTCGAAACAGCTCAGCGCCTCCGAAGAAAAACTGCAGAGCCTTCTCGGAGTCAAACAAGAGTTCCAGGACGAGCATGGACTACCAATCATGGACATTGTTGAGGAGCTTGACGATGATGGCAATGTAATTTCAGGCAGCGTTGCTGCTCCGAGCCAAGCGGCCTCCAAAATAGTCGAAGCTTTAGATAAAGCCGGGATTAATCTAGGCGCCAACGATGCTCCCAATACCGAATCGACTAATACGAGCAGTCCGCCACCGCCGACGTCAACAGACACGGAGCCTGAAGAGACTGATCCCACCATAGCCGATCAGAGTGGTGGAGACCCACCTGCTCCGGTCAAGAAATCCGTGTCATTTTCGGAGGACACCAAAGCTGCTACCATTGAATCTTCTAAGGAAGCCACATCAGCTTCTTCGAACAGACGATTGAACCCTGATATTGCTCGAGGCTTTTTCATGACCGATCCAAGTGGACCCTCCCGCATCATAGAACTCGATGACGAAGACCTGCCTATCGGCTCTATGCCTATTCAGCTCCAGGCAGACACGCGCGATGAAGCCACCATCAGACGCGAGATGCTAGAGTACGTTCATGAAGTCGGTTCCGTCGTGGCGGAGATTAATCTCGAAGAAAACGGCAGCGACTACGAGGACGAGGACGAAGACGATGATGAATCCTATGATGAATCCTATGATGATGAGTTTGAGCCAGACACCGAGGATGAAGATGAAAATGAATTTGGGATGACAACGCAACCAGTAATTACCGACGCCTATCGAGAAAAGATGCTAGAGCTTGAGCGAAAGCTTAATGCGCGCATGATAGAAAACGTTGGACCTAAACAAGACGATGAGATGAAAGAGCTGGAGGTCGACAAGGAACTTAATCAGTCCGCACACAGGCTAGTAGTGCGAAACAAGGAAAATCTGACAAGCGTTCCATCCATGGGTGAAACAAGAACAGATGCTAGGAAGAAAGGTGTCAGATTTGCGCAAGAACTTGATATCTCTTTGAAAACCGACAACACACCGACACCTACAATCACCTCGCAGTCACCGAAGAAGCATATACCAGCAACCTTCAGCGAAGCCATTACCGAACGTCAAGCGCCTCGAGCAGTATCTACCGTCGAACCTCCGAAAACCAAGAGAGTGTCCCGTTTCAAGTCGGAACGCGGCAGCGCCAAACTAGAGCCCTCTGTACCTAGATCCGACATATCTCAGGATATCAAAGTTGGGCGCTCCTTCCAAGCATCTGAACAAATTCGCCAGCGTTCTGTTCCCACTGGTCCCAAGGGACAAATTCTTTCCGCAGCCGTGATCGAGCGCGACGCAATAAATCCTAGCATCACTAGCCCGGATGAGCTCGACCCTGAACTCATACGTCGCGAAGCGGAGGCAGAGTTTCACAAGATGCGAAACCACATGATTCAGCGGCAGGGTGGTTTTCTCCCAGCAGACGGCGAGGAAGACGACTTAAGCACCTTAGTGGAAGAAAAGGAAGATGGCACATTGAAGCCGGTCAGTAGATTCAAGGCTGCGCGATTGAAGGCAGCGGGTAATGCTTGAAAGGTAGAAGATATGACTTCATTACAAAAATGTTTAGCCTATTGCAGTTGTGTGGATGGTGACAATGATGACACGGAGCATACGCATACAAGCTTGGTCTAGCATCTTGCTTCGGAGGATTTCCAAGTCATGGATTCTCTCCTCTATTTATGCTCCAAGATCGAAATATGGGGCTTCAAGGTGCACCTCTAGGCCTCGTGCCATTTCAATGGAGTGTGCATTCGTTTCATACCATACATGCGGGCTTATATTTTCGATCGCTCCGTTTATATAGCTGCATAGCTAGAGTCTATGATGATTCCTGCTAGACTTGGTCTCATTAAACTGTGCTTTTTATGTTGTGAGCATATTATTTGTCATTGTCTGTTGCCTGACTCTTCAGTGTCCTTTTGTTCTTATCACTTCGTTCATGACAGGCCTCATGGTTTTATTCGATGCATAATGAACAGAAATTATACATCGTGAAGATAGAAGAACTTTCAACCCTTCAGGCCGTTCTGTCATCCTCCTTCTCCTCCTTCTCCTCCTTCTCCTCCTTCTCCTCCTTTTCTTCCTTCTCTTCCTTCTCTTCCTTCTCCTCGTGGTCATCGGTATCGTCGTCGTCATCACTATCCGCCCAGTCCCTCTCATCTTCAGAAAACCTCTCCCAGTCACCTCCATGTCTATCTGCGATCTCTCCCATCGCCTGATCTCTATCCCACCCCTGGCCGTTCTCATCACCCGGCCAACCCGCCGCTATGAAAATTTCCTTCAGCTCATCTCCAAATCTATGATCGTCAGTCTCATACTCCAGATATCCCTCTTCATAAGGCGGGAACGGCAGCCACTCGCAGGAGCGGAACTTGTCCTTGAGCATATCGAAAAATACTTCGACGTCGAAGGCACATCGCGAGGAGATTGTTTCTCGCTTCCATTGATCCTCTTCGGCAGCTGTGACATCCTCGTATCTGAATACTGGCGCGTCAAGACCAGCTGATAGGTTGTGGCAGCCATGAACACCCCAGATGATGACACCTTTCTCGGTGTCCAATAGGACGTAGTACGAATCGCCAATGTTCCCCTGTATGATGCTGACAACATGTGCTGGCAGAGGAAAGTCTGGTGTAACGGGGAACAGATTGCCTCGTTTGATATCGTCCTGCTGCCACTTGGTGTCGTAGCGCACGCAGTCTGTATTGTACATCAACCGACCATGCATATAGGGGATGTGTCGAAGCAGCTCGATGACTTCGTCGGTCTTGTGAAGGTTGCCCAGAGAGTCCTGGTCAATCCCAGGCCAGCCTCCGGGTGGGGGGTACTTGATATACTCTGGGAAAAGGTAGACATTGGCGAGAAACTCATAGTACGATGTTATGGCGGCGATTGTTTTGGCGCGTGAATAAACTTGACTGGATGGTTCCATGATGTACTTGTGAAGCTCGCGAGAAGTCTGAGTAAGTGAAAGTGAGCGAGCCGGGGTTGGAAGGGGGATTTCAATATATACGTTCAATGTTTGGTATATAACACGTCGCTCTACTTCTTTTAAAATACCCGCGGCGTAGCAAAGTGTTGCCTTGCTGAAGCGCCGACTTGAAACAATATCATTCAAGGCGATCACGTTAGTAGCGCGCTGCGCCGCAGCCCCACTACTAATTTTGTATCATCACAAGGCGAACATCACTTACAACACGCCGCGCAAGTTCGCCTCAGGGGATGGCATGGGTCTTCACTCATAGTTAGGTCCATTCATTTTCTTTCTATATTTAGTGGCAATGAAGTGTTCTAAAGGGCTTTACTCTTTCATCGTCTAATTCAGCGTCAGTATGAAAGACAATTTGACAATGGTATCCCCTTCGATTGTGCTATTGGGTTTCATTGATATATGATAGTAGTACTATAGTAAATACAACACGAATGTTACATGGGAGGAGAGGAACTTATCCAAGCATGGCTAGCTGGTTGTCTGGGGCATCCCAGGACTGATTGGGCTCCGCGCCATGACTTTGGTCTCCAGTTCAGTCGAAGACTGAGGTGCAACTGTCGCTTCTGCTGGTGCGCTTGCGGGTGAACTTGCATAAGGATACTCTTCTTCCGCGTAGGAGTCCCAAGCTCCTGCATCTAGCTCTTCAAATTGATCTGGATCTTCCCATTCATCTTCGTCGGAGGAATAGATGTCATCAAAATTTTGCATGTCATCGGTACTATTTCGCCATGGCAGTATGTCACGTGCGTGTACTCGTCTGACTTGTGGACGTGGAGGACCAATGCCAAAATAATAGCATGCCTTTGGCCAGTTCTTCTGAGGTTTCGTTGGGTCTCGCAATTGCGCGTATTTGACTTGGCAATATTCTTTCTCTCCTATCCTATCCCTCAGCGGCTGTAGTCCTGCCATCAACATTTCAGGAGGCGGTCGTGCATATATGCCGACTGTAGCTTTATGATGCGCATTTTCTGGACGGTCATACCAGGGGTCATTCGTTAAGAGTACAAATCCGTAGTCATCGAGGAGTACAGATGGTACGCATTTATTCTTTTCGAGGCCGTCGCCATCTGGGAGACCGTCCCAGTGTTTTATCTCAAAGACAGGTTGAGGAACGATAACGCCAACCGATGTAGTGATTGCTGATCTGATTGTTAGACCTTGCAGCGGCGCGGATTCAGTGTTAAGTACTTACTGGTTCTGCCATCTTTGATATTTTCGACAACCATTGAATTAGTCGTACGTATTCGGTCGTTATCCTTTTCGTTCGACAAATGATCTTTCCGAAGCCAATGTTTCCAATCACTATTCATCTTACAAAATCCGTTCCACATTGATCCTGCACCTCTATTTTCACCTGCTGGGAGAAGTCTAATGAACTGACCTTCCTTTGCCTTCTTGCTCTCTGGCCAAAAATTTCTTGGTGGCCACTCGTCGCGATCGCAGCCGCCGACGTAATTGGTGGTGGTATACCCAGCCTCGACCCAGCGATCAATCCAGCCGAAGTGGTGCTGGTTTAGTTTATCAGGGACCGAGAAGAAGGGCACGCCGCCATTTTCGTTCTTTTTCACTACTAGTGAGCTGGTCGAATACAACCGAGTAGCTCTTCCGTCAAAGCTGCTAGCCGTCGCACCACAAGTCCACCGCACGTAATCAGTCTTACCAAGGGCTCCTTGCACACTCATCACAGATCTGTAATGGTAGCATGCCTGGCTCCACCTGGCAGAACAGGTCACCGCAGGTGTCGTTAGGGCGCCCCAATCCTTCTTTGTAGTGGTTGTCACATGAAGTGTGCAGCCGTCGAAGAACGTGTTACGACCATCTTCAAAATAACGAACATTCTGGTCTCGGACATTCTGCCCATCACGCTTTCCCAGTGCACAAGCAGAAGCAGAAGTTGGTGTAGCAGTCATGCTTGCTGGGGTGTCGGTCTTGGTGCGAGCTTGATCTGAGGGTATTTTATCGCTTGCAGCCGAAGACTTCGGGGGATCACTAGATCTCGCAGTACTTTGGAGAGAACTCTTCGGTGTCTGAGCGGTGCTTACAGCCGAAGACTTCGGGGGATTACTGGATCTCGCAGTACTTTGGGGAGAACCCTTCGATGTCTGGGCGACGCTCTTATGTTCGTCTGACGTAGGTGTCGGTTTGTGCTGTTCATCCTTCCTCGAGGTTTGGCCATGGTCATTATGTGTCGGCTTAGGATCTTTAGGGCCTCCAGTCGGTTTACCCCTGTCTTTGTCTTTGTCTTTGTCGATGTCGTGATTGTCGTTCTTACCCCCAGGGCATTTTTTGCATGGGACACCCTCAATGCCAGGGACAACACTTCCTGACAGCGCGTCGAAGATACCTCCAATATCTTTGACCCATTTTTCGTTCGGATCTACGTCGCACGTATCCAGAATCCACGCCTTGAATGGATCGGCTGGCAATCCGTTGGAAGCGAACGTCTTAGCAGCCTGTATGACCATCTTCAATGCTCCGTTGACCGCAGCGCCACCCGGAATCGCATCAATTGCGGCATTTACAACCAGTTCTCCTATCCATGAAAGAGTTTTGAGAAAGATGAAGCAGCCGATTTCGGCCACCACGGGCAACCACAATACGTATTGTCCGACAATCTTTTCGGCGATCGCTACATCGCATTTACAGTGCCCGAGTGTGTACTTCTCGCCGTCATAGCTTGTGTGCCAATCCTTAGTGCTACCGTCACTTGAGATGTCAAAGCATAAGACGGAGTGCTCTTTCGCATCGCCACATGTAGGCTGGCACTCCTCAACGAATGTATGCTTATTGGCCTTGTGCCAGTTGCGACACATGCCAATCTTCTTGAGCCCGGCGGTGTCTTGGTCATATTCTTCTTTGGTTTGATACTGTGTGCTGAGTCGCAACTGAAAGGACAACGCTAAGAGGAACAAATGCTTTTTCATTATGAAAATAAAGTGATAATATAGTGGAATATGAGTCGTGTCACATCCAGAGAGGACAAAAGGTGATATCGTTCAAGAGAAAGAAAGGATAGAAGGAGCTTGTGAGCAACGCAACGGAGAATGCGTCTCTTGGAAGATAGCGATCGCATCTTGATAGCTCGTTCTATTTAACTTCCATATAGTGGTAAATTTAGACGCTGCTTCATTCCGGATGCAGCTCGAATGTATGTCTCGAGCAAGTCTCAGCCTGATCATGTTGTAATCTAAACATGAGTGTATTCATTTGAAGCACGAACTCGACCAGGGGCTCGCGCAAGCTTGCTTGCGGCGAATACTTACCAGATCAGGATTACAAAAATAAACGTTGAGCGTGTAAACATGTGGCGCAGGAGTTGGTACATGGCCGAAATGCCGGGTTATGGCCGCTCAACTGCAGAGCCAACATAGCCGCTGAAAGACGCCGCATGACTGCATTTGATGAGGCTAAATTCATGGGTCGAGTTGATTATAATCAGGAACCGCAGATTGAATGATCCATGGCATAACTTCGCCTGAAATTGGAAGATAAGGCGTAAAGCAGGGCTGAAACACGACATTTCAAAGACAATCAACTCAGGTTGGGTTTGTGCAAGCGCTTAGTGGACCTCCGGTGCCGCAGTAAGTGAAAACAAGTAGTTGTAGAGATATCGTTTTGATGGGATGAAGCTGATTAGAAAGAGACGCGTCGAAGTCGTGGCGAGATCTATCGGAAGAGGCGTCAGGTTAATCCATGGATCAATTGGCGTCAGGCATCCGGATCTGTCCGTTTTGAAACAGCCGTCACTCTTGGCACTTATTTTAGGCATCATGCTGCACACATTCTCATTCTCTTAATTTCTACGTAGAGATATCGAATAGATTGAAATCATTAGATCTTCATAACTTGTAAGCTCTGAGATATGTTTTCAACTTTATAGTAAGAGGGTCGAATCTGAAAACGAAGAGAGAAGAGAGAGTGACCTTGATGATTTATATAGTCTATTCTGTAGATTTTTCTTGCTTAGGAAGCTCTCATTGAATCTTATAAAGCGACTACTGTAGTAAAAGACATCGTATATATTACTCCGGCTAGCCAGCGCTATTGCCAGAATCATCGCTTCATTGCGTGGCATTGACAGGACTGGAACAGAAAGTGCAAGTAGAATCACACCTTTTACATTGAAATGATCCGGATGGCGGAGTGAAAGAGAGGGAAGAACTAATAGAGAAGCAGCCCATATGAGACTGTAGTGGCCGTGTTAGTAAAAAGTGTAGTTTCATCATGCGAAGTATTAGGCATGAGATACAAATGTTAAGGGCCACATATACTGATGCTTGAGAGGCATTTCATTCGACCGGATTGGGGGCCCATTCACTGGCTGTGCAACAGCGCTCTGAAATGCGGAGGTTAGAAGCCTCGATCACATAAGCTGCAATTCCTGAGCCACAGAGCCGGAACAGGCTCCTGATATCCATAAGTCATAGTACCTGACCATCATATATCCACACAATGGAGATCGCAGAGCCAAATTACCTCCCTGATGGTTGAGTTTCAGGCGAAAGAGACTTCGATGCCAACACATCACGATACGCACGATAGCCAAAATCGCAACACAGGCGAGTAGTTTGCTGCTGGCTTCCACAGGATCTATCTATATGATGGAAAAATTAATTGACAAAGTTCTGAAGAGAATGTTGCATATGGCGCTAGATTAGGCCAGGCATAAATTCAGGCACTCATTTCCTCTAGTTTTCTGTCTCTTCTGGCTCTGAACGCGCTTCGTCCACCTCACCCCAGACTGAACAATATCATGCCGTCCGAACACCCCCAAACAGCCTATAAGCTCCTTACAACCGAGCAATGGCATTCCTTCCGTGATCTAGGCGCCCTGACCACGGCTACTACACCGCTTGATAAAGGAGATGGATATATTCACATGTCTACCCGACAGCAAGCTGTCGACACGTTCGAAAAATACTTCAAGAACGCAACAGGCACTGTACTTGTGGAAGTGGACCTTGCAAAGGTTGACGATATCAGATGGGAAGAGAGCAGAGGAGGACAATTGTTTCCACATTGCTACGACAAGGTCTCTCTGGATGCAGTCAAGAGCGTGAAAGAAAATGTCTCTGCGAAGGAGATGGAGGCTATGGTAGCGTGAGACGCTCTCAAGGACTCACTGCTTGATGGCACAATTTAATTGGCCTGAAAGACATCGTTGTCATGGAGTAGCGCTATACGACAGTCATGTCTGACTCCGTTTGAGCGGGCAAGCTAGAAGAATGCTAGTATGACAGTGTAGGATGCTTGAACACAGTAAAAAAATGATATCACGCATGAACTCACGTACGACGAGGGCAAGAATAATCTACACACATGAAAGCTGATAATGAAGAGCGACCCAGGTCGAGGTCGCTTGCCAATTCTTTTGAGACATTTTGACAGCGACATTGTTCACACTACGTCTTCATCTCGTACCCAACTCCTCGGTGTTGACATCGTTTTACTCCAAACCCCCTTTATGTTCATGGTACACTTCGATAGCGAACCGCGGTAAGGCGCAGCATAAGGTTGTATTCAGCGAAAGCAAAGGCGCATTCTTGGCCCCGCCGAACACTAACGTCATTTGATTGGTCAAGCTATTCAGGCAGTGACACGCCTCAGGCCGCTTACGTGCATGGATGGATCTACCAACACTTAAAAAGCCAACCGCTCCCACACGTCCTGACCCTTTCTTCAACCACAACCTTTACCCCCTTCAAACCCTTTGAGCCCTCGCGGCCAAGACGTAGGCCGCGGCCGGATCTATTTCACCTTTAGAATTCGAGAATTTACAGTCCGGCCTCACTCAGAGGCCATCTAACATATCGGAATGGAGACCCAACGAACATCAGGAGAGTACCCAGCCAGCATGCTGGCACGACCATACTTCCAGCCACACCAGACAAGAGCACGAACCGAACCACCATAGTTCGTCCTGGGAGTCATCGAATGTACTAGGCTCCGAACACGAAGCTTACGACCTTGTAAATCCTCTTACCGCCTCGCTTGTCTCTACTCTTCCTCCAGCCGACGCTCTTCAAAGCTGTGCTTTTGATGACATTGGTCTGGGCTTTGCTACTGCTACATCTTCATTCCTTACGCCACCCAACAGCTCTGTCAATACTTCGCCCCTTTCCTTAAGCCCCGAGAACGTCAACAACGATCTTGCCTTGAGCGACACTTTCGACTTTACCACTACTTCTCAGCAATCAAACAATTTCTTTGACTTTAATCTTGATTCGTTTATGCCACCAGCTGACTGGACGGGGCATATGCGTACGTTGCCTTTCGTCTCAATATATAACTTACCACTAACGGTCCATAGCCCAATCCACCATGTTCCACCCAGTCACGTCAGCTTCCGACGCCTCTCTTCCTCAACTTCCCGTATCGGACCCGTTAAACTTCAACAGCCAAGCCCTCTCTTGGTCAATGTCCGCCTCGTCCAAAGAGGCTTCACCACCGCCCGACCCGCAAGCATCCGTGTCCACCAGCCACTCAACCCCATCCGGAACTCGCGCTAAGAGCACCAAGGTATCCCCGGATCTCATCGTCAAGCGCGAGCGCAACAATATCGCGGCGCGCAAGTACCGCCAGAAGCGCATCGACCGCATCACCGAGCTTGAGGAGCAGCTGGCCGCCATGCAGCGCGAGCGGGATGACTTGAAGGTGGAACTTGCGCGCAAAGACAGCGAGAACAAGACACTTAGAGAGGTCATTGGTCGCAAGGGCTAAGGGGTCTATAGCATCGTGAAAACTACCAAAATATACAATATACATGTACAACTCACTACACCTGTTATGTTGTATGTTCGTGATATGTACACATCCAGCGCCCCGATATTTGCCTAGTCGATATACTACATCATATGTACAATCATCAGATGCTACATATACTTACATTTCTATATACATCGACAAATCCAGTCTCATTCTGAATCACGTCTACCACCATGCCCTCTTTCATTCCACGATTTCGCTCTCAAGTTCTGATACTCTGGTCCGGAACGTCAGACCCCTCCTAGCGTCTCTCAAAGCGGGGCACCATCAGAATGATTCATAGCGCCAAGACGTAAATCATCTCTATCTTGGGACTAGTGTGCTATGATTCATCCTGCTCCCCAGTCCCGGCAAGACCGGGGGCCCGCGCGCAGTGGGGAGAAGAGAGCTATACCGCATCGGGAAATTTGGCGAGGTCCGGGGGTCTTCCGGGTCTCGACAGGTAACGTTTCGGCGATAGTATGTTTTATTTTAAAAGATAAGTATGGCCATAATAGAGGTACGGGAGATATGGCTGCGGCATCTCGACCCTTGCGGCATGGTTTGTTCGGCGTTAGATATTCGCATGCATGCATACATGTATAGATTGAAGATGGCGCAGTACTAGTACGGGGCCGCAGTCCTCGCTCGTGCGATTAGACGCGCAGTTGTATATACATAGATATGTACATACATAATCTCCACTCTTACTGTCCGCTCTGCCTGCTTGTCTATTTAGAATATATGTGCATAACATGGTCAGGGGCACTGTCAGGAGATCATTAGGTTGTTGGGTTTCTTGTTGTGGTGATCGCGCTTTTGCGATTCATACGATGGTAGATCCAATATATAATCGTTGTTACAAGACGTACCACAAGAGAGAGAGAGAGTCTAGAGGAATGTGGTAACTGAGCAGTCTAGCTGCTAGTCCGGTTTAGGACAATTTAAACGACTGTCGTTACTTCTCGTTCACACTTAGGTCGCAATCGAACATTTAAGCAAGACACGGCCTAATGCAAAGGATCACCATCGACAACTAAAGGAGCAAACATGCATACCAGGATATGCCGTTCCCCAGTGTGATCGAGGTGGCATGGTTTGAGCCACCAACACTTGTTACTCACTTGGTCAGTTCCCAAGAAGAGGTAATGGAATGAATTGTCGTGAAATATGTCTACTACCGCAGGATCGATATATACTCTAGTTACCAAATCATAAGGGATCGTTGGTTCCTAGGTCGACATTGGTTTAATCCGTCCCTGCCATTACGATCCTCACCTGAAACTATCATTGAGTGTCGCAACAGCCTGTCCGTTCTGACACGTCGTGGGCACCGTATAGCTTCTATTCGGATCGCTTTCCCATGTCACAGCGCCATTTGAGTCCTTGCGGATATACTTGTATGAGAACGCCGTGCCGCCCGGAATGGTGACTGTGCCGTGCCACAACGGGTTACTGTCCGAGTACTGGTCCGCCGAGAGCGGCACAGCGCTCGTCGCATCCCAGTTCTTCAACTGATTGATGGAGCCCGCAACGAAAATATTCTGTCCGAAAGCCGTAGTTGCTTTAACGTTGAATGTCACGGCGAAGCTCGTTCCTGCACCACATGTTGGTGCTGGACGACCGGGCCATGCAGTATTTGTCGCGCTGGCATATGTGCCTGTTGCAGATGTCGCAGAACAGGTGGTCGGAATACTGGTAGCGCCCTGGGCACCCCAGCTAGGCGGCAACTTGCCGTCGCGGGCAGCCTTTGCAGTTAGGAAGGCCGCGTAAGACCAGGTGAGGTCGACGGCAGAAAGGGGGCTACCATTTGACTTTGAATACTGCTCCGCAAGACCTCCATTCGCCGGTGTGTATTTCTGCACAATTGCGAAGAAGCCGTCGGCGAAAGTCTTGACGGCAGATGTGAGACTGGCGTACGTTGCCGAGCCTTTAGTAAATGTTCCCGCCACGGCGGATGGGTATATGTCGCGGAAGAAGGCGAGAGAGACGGAGTCAATGGTGATGGAGCCGATCCGGTCCCAGGTGGAAAGTGCATAGTACAGTTGCTCTGCGGCGGCGGTAGTCGTAAGATACCATGGATTCCCGTTGTAGTAGACGTCCTCGATGTAGCGCCCGAGGGCGACTGCCTGTCCTTGGGCAATACCAGAGTTGATCTGGTAAGACCTGAAAGAGTCCGCAACAACTTTTAGGTTAGATAGAGCGCGAGATGAGCATGGCTGGAAGGTAGCATCGTCACACGCAGCACTTTGGTCGTAGCTGCATAGCGTCAGGACACAAGTATGAGGTTCTTCGACGAGTGTACTCACGAGTGGATGGAAGCAAGGATGGTGTTTGTACCTTTTCCGCTTCGGCCGTTGTTCGCATTGACGTCTGCGTACATGTATCCACCGGAGCTGCTCCAGAGCTTCTGAATGAGACACCGAACTTGTGGTGCTTGCGAGTCGCAATTGGCACAAGTGAGGCCCAATTGTTTAGCGACTGCACTTCCTTCAATCAAAGCACGATGCTGTGCGATAATTGTGAAGAAAGATGTGCCCTGTACCTCTTCCCAAAGATCAAAGCCTGCACTATATTAGTATCTAAGTTTGCCAGAACTAGCAATTGATGCATACCAGTTTGATTCCAGTATTGAGTCACGTATGAAAGATCATTGTTGACGATAGGCCATATGATGTCTTTTGCGGTTGTGGCATTCCCGTTTGCTATCAGATATCTATAGAATGTCAACATACACATATAAGTAAGATTGAAATAAGGCATAGTTACTTGGCATATGCTAAAGACGCAGTTGCACGCAACGCAGGACCATCACGCTAATTCTGTTAGTGGTATGTCATAGGACAGAAACAGACTCATTGGCATACTTGCGGTCGGCCCCAACTTCCAGTAAATGGAGTTTTGTCAACGTAGTACTTAGGTTCTCCCAGTCCACCAGACGAGAGACTACCAGAGGGATTCGATACACCCTGGAGGGCCGCTTGAGAGGATATATAGTCCTGAATCAATAGCTCCAGGCTAGGATCTTTCGTGACCAAAAAGCGGTCCACGAGGGCTTTCAGCGTCAAGGCTGCATCACGCGTCCATGTGAAGAAATCTACCAAGATCGGTTAACTGTGGCAGAATACGAAAGAAACAACTCTCTCACAATCAGGATCTGTTTTTGAAGGACTTGCAACAACTATACCAGGTTGCGCGCCATCTACCTTGGCCCCTGCAGAGCCGATGTTATCAAGGACACCTTTATAAGCAATTGGCTCTTCGTTAGTCAAGTACGTCTCGAGACTCGTTTGTCTTGCGGACAGCTGGGAGAAGCTCGAGACGGTCTGAGTGAGAAACGCCCCCAGGACAGCGGCAGTTGTGAGCAGGCTATTGTGCAGCATAGTGGCGTTATGATAGATTTCAACAAAGCAAGCTGCGTGGTACTCAGAGCAACAAGAGCTTATTATATAGAAGAAAGTCAATGTGGAGGCCACCAGAGGCAGCGTGACACCCCAGGATACCCACATCTCTTAGCTGGCTCTACGCCAATGATGCAATGTGAGTCTTTTTGAAGCTGATGTGGAGGATCGTTCAACCCGATACGACATCTCGTTGGTTCATTGCTGTAGAGGCGCCGAATGGAGGCTATGGCTTTGCTGCTGTGCAATTTACAAAGTCGTCGAGTCGGAAACGTCGTCAAGATTGAGGGACAACGCCGACGGGTGTCCAATGAAGTGTTTGATGGATGAAGAAGCGAAAAAGACTTACGGGAAGAAATCTGGAGAGAGGGATGAAAGCAGAAAGGTGTATTCTGGCAGTTTTCCAGAATATTACCGCATCAGGCATCTGGGTAGGACTCGTAGGCCCGTGCACCCCCTTACGGACAGTCTTTCGACGCGTTCACGCCGGTGATTGGTGTAGCCCGTCCTTTGTCAACCTCATCAGCTGCTCTCTCTCCGCAGTCCAGTCTCCTCAATCCACATTTACTTTCGGCCAAAACTATGCTGTCCCCTATCATCGTCTTTCCCATGCCATCGACAGCAAGGATAGACGTCTCGAATATGGTGGGGAACCTGGTCGCTGACTTCTGACTACGGCCATATGCCTACGGGTACGATACTAAGCATTCCTTCTCCGCTGTGGTCGTGTCGAGAAAGAGGTCTTGCTCCGCTCGCAGTGCGACAGTAGTCACAAGTTTACCAGGTTATAAGCGTTTACATGTGACTATCAACCCTGCTGTGGCGGCATCGAATGATTCTAGAAATAGCCTAGAAGACTTGTAATAGCAAAGGCTTCTCGATCTCGTCGTTGCATGCAGGACTATGGACAATATCCAGCGACATGGTCCATCGGTCAGCTGCGGTAAGTTCGGAGATGATACATGCAGGATAGATGAGCTCAAGCAAGCTAGTAAGATGCCCACATTCTAGTCTGGCATTTGTGACGCCATCTCAGTAGACTGCGAGACCTTTGACTCTGAACTCACCGTTCTGTGCAATTGGCTAAGTGCTAGAGCATCTCTTGCTACGGATTGAGAGGCCGGTGGTACACAGAAAGTCGAGGAAATCTCCGAAGGACTGAGGTATCGAGCGCGACGTGCCAACTTTCGTAACATTTGAGAATTCGGAACTCGACTCTTGATAATCAGCATCTGGCCATCTGTGACCTTCTAATATACGGACTCTCGATAGCCGGAAGCTGTATGCTCTCCTATCGCATCTCTATGCAGCATCCTGTAGCGAGTGTAGCCATTGATAGGGCTTGTTCGCACATGCCTATGTGAAGTGGAGGATGTAAGTTTGCTTACCGTCTGACAATGGCAAATGCATGAACAGTTCTATACTTATGTTAAAATAGGACGAGCGAGAGAAGAGGCTTCGTTTAATCCTGGTAGTCACTTCTCGTAGTGACGAGTTAGCTAGGGCCAAAAGCATGTTACAACTTGAGCACCCGATCACAGCGTCCCGACGAGAACAGAAACACCTCATACTCACAATTTAAAATGCTGACCCACTTCAAGTTTCAATTACCAAGTTCGAGAAAGAAGACTTTCGAATCCGGAAGTTGAGGACTCTGCTCTTACTTTTGATATCATCCATTCCATGTAGATGAACTGAATTTAGAAAAAGGAGGAACACCGCTCAAAGCATACATGCTTTTGGAGATTTTTCTATGCTCAACGTAATGCCGATTGCCTATAGCAATGGGCAAATGCGACAGCCGTCCGTCCGCCGACGTAAAAAATTCCAATCGGTTGCATTACCACTCCAAGAAGTACAGCATCTCTCTAAATCACCGCCACACCGGTACTAAAGAATGAGAGATCAGCATGGTTACTCTCAAACTCTTCTCACTACCAACAAGTTACACGCACAACTCTAATGATGCCGGTATAGATTAGGTTTCATGGACCTCACCTCAAGGAGTAAGACCGAGGGACTTCTCACCCACACAGCAACGTATAATGCCCATGACGCCATCCGGGAACTCGACAATCCGTTGTGACTGATATCATGAGGGATATTCATGCATGAGTGACGATAGCCTCCGGTAAATAGGATATGCTAAAAGGCTGCAGCTCAATGGCGGCTTCCTGTCCACTGCAACTTCGATACGAACGGTCTCAAGCCACTGACATGGCTCCATGCCAGAGTTCCAGACCTAAAAAAGCATAATTCTCTCAAACAGCCTCATATATCGAGCAAAGAACTGATCATCGGCTTAAAGCCTACTAGAATGGTTCGTGGGGTTGAGCAAAGGCGCCAAAACAAGACTGAAGACACTGGATATTCACATCATTCTGCTGCTTAACATGCCTCCAGACTGCAAGCTCACCGTAGTAGCCAGCAGTATGCTAAAAGATCTAGGCATCATCTCATATCTGGTTGACAGAACTTCATCTTACCATCTTTGCAACCATTCTCGAAGCCACTGGGCTGACTCGGCAAGCAGATATATTGCTTATTCGCTGATCATCACAAGGTTGGTCCATCTTCCGTTCTCATCAATGACCAATGTCCAATTAAGCGCTTTATTGTGGTCAGCATATCGTCTTTTTTTGCGCAGATCGATACCGTCATCTGTCGCCATAGAGGACGTGGAGCACGTTCATTTTAGCGTGTACACACATGTCGATCATCCGCTGCTCAACATAGACCGATCTCCCGCCCGTCGCAAGGCTGTTTCTCCTAAGCCCAGATTCGATAATCAAACTTCTCTCATTTGCTAGATTATTGACCTTGGTCTCTTGAGGCGATCGCATGTATTCCCACACCCCACAGTCCACACCAGCGTTTGCCTTATTCGGGACGATTTGACAGTCGAATCCCGACATGTTTGTCGCTCACGAACCAGGATACCCACCACAGCATTCGTCTCCTCGCTAGATCATACCTTTTTAGCCTACCACTAGTATCTACAGAGAAGAAATATTCCAAATGTGTCGATCATTGCTTGAAGAGATCTATCGCCTTACTTTCCTCCAACAACAGAAGCTTTTGAAAACAAATCATGCAGACACAGTTCGATTCGCAATAATGGTAAGAACTGGCAACAGAATGATAGACCGAGGCTTGTTGGAATACCTCCACGAAAGAAGCAACAGGAAAGCTCGTAGAAAATATAAATATGGCTCTCATAACCCAGGAATCTTCCATCCATAACTCCTCTACTGCACAGACATCATTCAATATGAGGCATCTCGCTCTGGCTGCCACCATCGCTGGTGCCATCACGGCCTTCCCTGTCATGGATAACCCGGAGACTGTCGAATTGTCTCGTCAGTTCATCAAGCGTCAAGTCCCTGATCCCCTAGGACAAGACGCTCTTGCACTCAGCAAGAGTCAGACGAACTGCGGGTAAGGAAGAACCCAGAGTCCACTACCTGATGACACCTCCCCATTGACTCCTGTACAGTCCAACACCTTGCCTGACCTTCGACGAGAAGGATCAGCTAGTCTCCATCACCGGCGACCATGCCTACGCCTCTCCTGCCCCTGGCGATATCCGCGGTCCCTGTCCAGGCCTGAACGCAGCAGCCAACCATGGCTATCTTCCTCGAAGCGGCATCGTCTCCATCGAGGAGACTGTGGCCGGGCTGGGCGCGCTATACAACATGTCCCCAGAGCTGGCCATTGCCCTATCAGGTAAGTGACCATACCTCTCATTCGCCTCTGTTCCTTCGCACACTAACAACGATGAAGCATATGCGATTGCTACAGACGGCAACATCCTCGAGGGCGTATGGTCCATCGGCGGTCCCCTCCCCGCCGACGAGCTCGCAGGAGGCCTGCTCGGCACAGGCCAGGGCCTCTCCTACAGCCACAACGCATACGAAGGCGACGCCTCCATCGGCCGCAATGACGCCTACACCAACAACGGCGACGCGCACTCCCTCAACATCACCAAGTTTGAGCACGTCTACGCGCTCGGCGGCGCCGAGGACCGCTACACGCTCGACAAGTTCCGCGCGCGCTTCGAAGGAGTCCAGAACGAATCCATCGCTACCAACCCGTACTACTTCACCGGCGCCTTCTCCACCGTCGTTGTTGTCCCAGCCGTAAGCATTACCTCCCCGAAAAATCTCATGGTCTGATAACATATCAGACCCTAAACAGCCAGAAATACGCTGACTAGCTGCACACACAGGCGTACAACTTCGTCATCAACTTCATGTCTAACCACAGCGCCGCCGAACCCTCGGGCTACCTCGACGGCTACAACTTCAAGACCTTCTTCGGCGTCAGCGGCACGCCTGGCAACTTCGTCTGGGAGCGCGGCCAGGAGCGCGTGCCACCAGACTGGTACCGACGGCCCTCCACCAACCCCTACACCGCCGCCGACGTCTTCGAAGACGTCGCCATCGGCTACGCCGCATACCCCAACACGCTCAAATTCGGCGGAAACACCGGGAAACCAAACACCTTCACCGGCCTGAACGTCGCAGATCTGAGCGGCGGGGTGTTCAACGCACGGGATCTGTTTGTCGGGAATAATCTGGCCTGCTTCTCGTACTCGGTGCTGCAGCAAGGGATTCCGAATTTTGCGAATCCGTTGCTGAATGGGGTGAATCGCATTCTTGGGTTTGTTGTGGATAAGGTAAAGCCGAATTTGCTGGGCGGGCTGAGCTGTCCCGAGTTGGGGAGTCAGTCTGCGGGTCTGTTTAACCAGTTTCCTGGGTACAAGTATAATCCGAGCGGACCGGGCACGAATTATTGAGCGAAGTCTCGAGAGACTCGGGGTAAGGTGATATGAGGAGGGTGTGAGCTAGCACAACATATCTCGTATGTAGAGTTGCAAAGTGACTTACATAATATATGAAAGATAGACTATGAGAGACTAGGAGAACACGATCACTCTATCTACTCTGTCCCAGTCATTTCTTCCTAAACACTACATGAAATTCTACACATGTCACTACCAGGAATATCATCATTGATGGGTTAGTCAGTCTCCTGGTTTTATATATTTTTCAGTATAAATGTACTATGCGATCTATTATTAATCAACTATTAGAGAATATGGTATATATCACTATTAAGTAGAGCTAATCCTTATGATTCTCAAAGTAATACTAAAAGCAGCTATGTTTTCATTATCACGCATATAGTAAACACGTATCTTATTTTATAGTCAAGTTCTAGTGTCTATCAATACATATCCGCTACCCCGCGCAGCTTCGTGTTTGTATCATATGTGCTCGTATTCTTCAATATATACAAATGCATAGTGTACACGCTCAGGTGCGGCTTGGCGTCTGAGGATGATCCTGCTGCGTTATAGGGCGCGCACGCTCTTTGGTCACCTTGGCCCTGTCCGAGTCGGTATGTCTCCCGCCTCCTCTTCCCCGGTGGGCACCCCTACCACCTCTCACGCTCTGCCCATCCTTCGCCCGTGCGCTCTTTGGCACCACCTTCTCAGACGGCTTTGCAGCTACGGCCTGAGCAGAAGTCTCGCCTTGCGTGACATTACTGTCTGGCACTACATTCTTCGCTTTGCCGCCCCTGACTTTCGGTCTGCCTCTCCTCGCGCCGTTGCTCTTTTCTCTCCTCGCCCTGTCCTTCTCTTCCTGAATGACGCGTTTACTTTCCGCGTCCCACCAGGCTTGAAATTCTTGCTCTTGTTGAATTTCTTGGAGGCTGCGCTTTTCGGGTGTATTGATGTAGTCTTTTTCGGCTTGCTGTTGGGAGAGGATGGAGAGCATGGATGCCTGGGGCTGGGCCGTGCTAGAGCGGTCTGGGAGTGGCGTGTGGCGGATGGAGTGTGGGGTGAGTACTGGTTGGGTGGATGATGAGGGTGTTGGTGGATTTGGCTTTGGATGCTGAGGCATATTTGTGTTTGGTTGAATGGAACCTGAGACACTTCGCTTGGTATGCGGTGTATCGTAAGTCTGCATCTTGGACGAAGGCCCAGGGTTGGCAATAGTTTGGCGCATCGTGAGATGAGGCGTGCTAACGCGACGAGGGACATCAGGCTGCGAGGCCGATACCTTTCTAGGATTTGACCAAGGTGACGCCGCAGCGTCCGGAGTGGGAGAGTTCGTTGTAGCTGCTATATCAGGCGAAAATTGCTGCTTAGAGTTCTGTTGCATTCGCTTTCTTTCTTTTTGCGACATCTTTGCATTCGAGGATCGAATTGGGCGGTCGTCTTGGCGACCTTGACTTGACAATGCAAGCGAGATACCAGACTGCATGGATGAAGAAGTCTGCGCCATGATATCTTTCATGTCAAGCTTCTTAGATGCCAACGGTGCCGCACCCCAAGGCCGGCCGGAAGGGTGGACAGTTGGTGTGAACGTGGGCGACTTATCAAGATCAAGGCTAGGGCTGCCAATACTCAATTTTGACTGCGATAGAGAAAACGGTATCGCCCCAAGATCCGGGCTCTGATGTTGCGACACACGCTGAGAAGTGGAAGATGTAGCACCGCCATTGCCCGCTTCCTCATCATCCATAGCGAAGAACATTTCTGTCGATGGTTTGCCTTTGAGCATTGGACTGTTGGCTGGAGAGTCATCGTCTGCTCGTACATCTCTGTGCGACTTTCTTCTGGACTTGCTTTTCATGGGAGTCGTGGAAATCTCTTCCAGGCTCTGAGACCGGAACGAATGAGACGAACGCCCCTCATTGTCGGCAAACTTGTTCGACAGCACAATTGCATCAACCTTTGCTCGCTTTCCTTTGTCAATGCGTTCTGCTAGTTCCGGATATCTCTCAATGAGCAGGGCATCCGCGCGACCACTCCGTGCCACAGGCAAGCAGTCTAATTGGTTGTCACGAACAACCTGATCCAGTTCGAGAATGAGGTCTTCTTCAAGTTCATCGAGTAGCCTGAGTAATCATAAGCGATTGTACACTTTGATGTGTAAGATTCTTTGCTTACCCGCTTTGTAGGATAGCCTCAAGATTAAGACATATATACTCAAGCGAGGCATTTTTGAAGCCCGTCACACTACAGGGGGCGATAGCGTTGAGCAACGAGCATACATTTCTCACGTGTACTTTGACTCTGTTAGCATTACTGTTGATCGAAGACAAGATTTTCATACCATATCGACCCACTACTTTTTGGCAGATTTGCGACAGACGAGTCAGCATTAACTCATTAGCTACACCCATAACCTCGATTGCAAGGTCAAGCATCTCGTCAAGGGCAAAGTAATCGCTGTAGTCATCGCTTGTGATGTGATTAAAGATCTCTTCTTCTGAATCAGCGTAGATATGGCGCAAAACGAGCTGAAAGACACTCTTGCTAACATGTTTCAGATCCACATCGATGGTTGCTGACGGTCCTCTTCTGTCTGCCAGCCACATGCCGCCAGCACGACCATTGAACATGGCTTCAAAGAAGGGACATCTCTGGCATAGCAATGCGCTATGCACTAGGATCTCGCCGTCTGATAGTTGGATGGCGACATCACCATTGTCGAAGAAAGATGGCTGTTTGAGCGCAAGCTCAAAGTCGAAGTTCATAATCGGCCTAGGCGATACCTGCAGACGGACAGCTGGCTCGAGTTGTCGAAGTTCAAGTCGAGATGCAACTTTCATGAGCTCCACCCGTACCTGACGATAGCGGAATGCTTGCTTTGGGTATTGTCGTGCAAATTGCCAAAAGCTCACAATCGTGTCAGTATACAGGTAGAGAGTGAGGTTGAACAGAGTGAGAAACTCCACAGACAGTAACTGGAGTGTAACACGGCCATCTGCAGCCTTTGTCATGCTCAGCATATCTGAGATTGAAAACGGAGTATCGGCGGTAAGCCCTGATAATGCATCACGCAACACTTTGCTGCGACCAGCAAGGATGAATTGATGTACAGGTATCACAATATCCGATGTAGAGCTCGATATTTTGGCGTCATATAGCAGGTTTTCACTGGCAGACCTAATTTCAGAAAGTTGCGCAATATCGTTTTCCAGATCCTCTGATACCAACGCCCTTCGTTGCAGCATGTCGGAATGATTTGGCCGCCTCCAAAACCGGGGCATAGGCAATTCCTCATCTGAGTCCTCCTCCTTCGTAGCCAGACTATAGAAGACCAGAAGAGAGCTCATATCATTCCATAGAGTTGGGTCTGCAACTTCGATCTGACAGCGTGTGACATCTGGATCTCTGCGAATGGCCGCATAGGCACCATGTGAAGAAGCACGCACCGCATATACACGTGTCAGTCCGGGTATACGTGCGAATTTGTAATCTTTGGGCTTGTATTCTCCCGTGCCAGATGCTGTAGCGTCCTTGATCTTCGCTCTCTTGCTTCGTCTCCAAACACCACCGGCCTCCGTTGTCAGAATGATCGATCCATCTTGATCAACAGCTACATCTCTTGCAGCCATGTGTTTCTTCTTTGCGGACCATACGCATATCGGCATTGACAAAGAACTCCGAATTTTCATTGGGTTCGTGGTCGAAGTGCCTGTATCCTGAGCAGGGTCCGATTTCACAACGACTGTGAATATTTCTCCAGAACTTGAAAGGGCGCAAATTGAGTCACCAGCTGCGGTGATTTTAACAATCCTGTTTGGGGTCTTCTCGTACTTTGTGGTCAGAAAACTAGCCTTCAAAAAATAATTTGCAAAGCCATCGAGTGGAAATAGGATTTTAGAGTATCCATAATTTGCAAACACCCAAACATCATGGTTCTCCAGGAGCACCACGGTTGCTTTATCGTGAGCGGTCACGGAATTAATATTGGCAGCGAACAGCGAGGCCGCAATCTTCCTTGGCGTTGTCTGCGTCTCCAATGAACGGGCATCAGAATCGATTATTCCCAGCTGACCTTCATTCTTGCCCCAAGTATACAGAGACGTAGATGTGTGTGCTACCGAATGGATTCTGGAAGCTGCTGTCCCGATGATCAACTCTTTTTTCAATATACCAAATATTTGTCGCGGCAATGACTGAATCGGCTCTTCATCCTTAACAGTTGATTTTGGAAGCGAGTAGCCGAGCTGGCCATGTAAATTGCTACCCCAAGAAAACATCTCGCCATCTGATGAAAGCGCAAGAGAATGGTTCTGGCCCAATGCGACAGTGACAACACGTTTACCAGCAAGTGCACCTCCTTCGATACAAGCAAATTGAAACCTTGTAGTTTCAGAACCAGTGCCCAAACGACCTCCAGGACCATGCCCACACATGTACAAGTTCGATTCCGGATCTGTCGTCAGAACAGCAGTATGTAATTTTGACATTTGAACGTCCAGTATAGTCAATGGGGTTGCCCGTACAGTAGTAGGTAAGGAGGTAATCGGAAGAGCATTCAACTGTGCGGAATAATCCGCATCGGTGGCGCTACTGTGTATCCCATCCCTGCGGTTGAGGTTCTTTTCTAGGTGTTCGCGGTGGAAGCGCTGCAAGAGGTGGTCGGGTCTCCGAATATTGATCCTCTCGGGATACTGACGGTCATCCTCGTCTCCGAAGCCAAGTGTCACGTTTTTGTTACTGCCAAAAGTGAAGACGCCATCGCCGCCGATGTTGATCTGTGGCCGTACACGAGCCTTGCGAAACCCATCATCAGCATCATCGTCATCACCTCCTTTGGAATCGTAATCTTCGGCCTCGTTTCCACTTCCAGCATCATCCTTCTCTAGCTCCTCATGATGTATCAAGCGGTCTTGGATGGATAATGCAAAAAGGTCAAACGGGCCATTTCCCTCCTTGTCTTTTATCTTGATAAGGCCTCTGGCTTGAGAGCTATGTCCGCCGTGGCCTAACAGCTGTCGTCTCTCTCGTTCCAGTATCAATCGTGCGATTGCCACGTTGCCGAAGTAGAAAGCGCGGTGCAGCGCTGTCCAACCATTCTCAAGATCTTGACTGTACAAGTCTGTTAGGGGGTGTTCCAGTAAGGCGAGCGCGAAGTTCGGCGCGTTCGGGGATGGAGATGAGGCAGCATAGTGGAGAATTGTAAGACCTAGAGAATCTTTGGAATTGATGTCGGCTCGTGTCAACGAGGTTGTTCCAGATGGTACCACTCTTCTCAGCTTGGAGAGCAAAGTTGGGGAAGTCCCTAGACTCCCAGGACTTCCTAGGGCATGACCCTGCGCGAGCGGAGATGCTTTCGATGTGTTGGCCCGCACATTATAGCTGGATACTTCCAGCAATTGCCGAAATGCATCGACGTTGTCTTCGAAGTAATACTTCCACAGATAGCCGCTCATATGCAGAGTTGGATCAGAGAGATACGAAGAGCTTCACAAGTACGCCTCGCTATGACCACGCACGGGGCCAAAGCTTGTTCAAAGGCGATGAGTGAAGCCTACGAGCGCCCCTGGTAGAAATGCGCAACCGCACAAGCGCGGACGCCGAGGGAATTGTAGGGTGGCGAACGTGTGCGCAGAGGAAGGAGGGGTCGCAAAAGAGATGGAGCGCAAGCGGAGAGGATAGGTTTCGAGGACGTTGGGACTGGAGAAGCGGAAGATGGGACACTGTAGCAGACAAATGTCAACAGGAGTTAGGTAATATTGAGAATATGATATTTTGCAGAGAAGATGTTTGCAGACGCGTGGATGTCGATGACGCAGAGCTCTCGGCTTGAGTGACTCATGAGTCAAGCGGGGCAAGTGGGATATGTGTGCTTCCTTAGCTGTGTGCGCGATGGTTGCAATGGGTGCGAGGTTTGCAATTGCTAAGTACAGCACAGAGAGTGAAGAGGGGGATAGAGACAATGTTATAGTGAGCAGATGAATCACAGTGAATGATGCCTGGGTTGATAGGTGAGGTGGCTTCAATTACGAGACTGTAGCCAATCAGACGTCAGGGTCTCGGGGCGTTCGCAGCATTGCTATGAAGAGAGGCTTCAATTTGCACCATTCCCTCCACCGACGTCGAGCCTCATTATCTGCTGACCCCTCTTCACCCCCTCTTCTGCCCGTCTTCTGGGCCAGCGAGAGTGGCGGGTCTAGCCACGATGCTCTATGCTGTATAGACAGAGCTTATGTCACGACATCAATGAGAGCGACGCGTCTGACATTACTATATTCAAAATGCATGGCTAGGACGCGTCCGATGCGCGACTCAAGCTCGTGGGACCGAGGGCGAGGATAGAAACATCTACCAAACGGTGGTATGCGCTTCCGGCTTGGCCCGGGATGTTTACCCAATGCTCCTAATCTGCGAGTGAGAGTGACACGGGTACTGCTACTGGTACTGCTACTGGTACTGCTACTTGCTACTGGCACGTAACTAGTTGGTCCATATGGCTCTACTAGATAAGAGATACTGTAGATATCGCTTAGAACTATATGAAATTAGGTAAAAGCTTATATATAAGAACAGATACTTGGATTATGTTAATATTATTCATATACATGTTAGAGCTAAATGTTCTCTCTTTAGTATCTAAATCTAGCACGCTCTAAGATTACGTACATTTAGGTTATCTACACTCAAGTTCTCTGTTGATCAGAACATGACGCGTGCTAATTAAGGACGGCACATGGTAGACTGATGATGGGCTCTACTATCTTGCTAACGACCAGTAAATTGTATCGGAAGACACAATGAGTAGGGGCTTGGTAGGGGCTCCGTGGAAGCAATAAACAAGATAAGGTTGGCAAATGGCCAGATCTAAAGAAGGAGTGTTGCTGTATATATCATATCCATTGGAATGGCCATGGAATGATGGACTGCAACTGTGTATATAATACATAAGACTAATATCCACTGAACTGAGGGATTAGTAGTGCCGGTGCAGCAGTTCCAGCCTCGACTAAGTGATGGGTTGGTGGCACTAATACTATTAGGTATTAAGCTCGTTTTACAAGCTTCCGGTCAAAAACAGTGCATGGACCCAATGCACGGATCCATTCATCCATCCATGGACCATCAACCATCCATCCATTGATTAGCCATGGGTAGCAACTCTTAACATCAACAAAGCCTCCTTCGCCTCCTCCGACTGCATCGCCATCTCGTCGGGCTTGCAGTGCCTCCGCATCCTACTCCCTTTCGCCGCCGTGGGTATGTTGTAGTAGCCGTCTTCACCTCGAAGCTCGTGCTGCGTCGCCGTCGCCATCACCATCTGGACATCTTCCGCGTGAGCTCCCATCCACCAGCGTCATTCTTAGAGTCACCTGCCCGGCGCACACCACCATCCTCACTACCAACACCACCACCACCACCACCATGTCTACCTCCTAATCTCCACGCTTGCTCACTCCACCTTGTATGCTCTTTCACTCCTCTCTACTCACTCAACTTTCATCACTGACTCTCATCTAGGCAGCTTGTCCTGTTCGACTGCCCTCTTCTACCCGCCTCTCTGCCATAGCTCCACCCTTATCTCCGAGTCCTGAGGCATCCCTACAGCTTCATCAGACGCCTGTCGTTGCTGCTGCCTGAGCTCGTAATCGCCAGCTCTGCCATATTTGCATCTTCTGCTACTCCTCCACAGTACCTGTGCTGATTGCATACCTTCTTGTGTCCTCCACTCGTCCTCGCAGCTCGTCATGGAGTGTCTGGACGTTTGCCTATCGCTTATTTGATACTACGACCATAACCATTCACAATACACAACGAGACATATCATTTCACACCGGTTCGATAGCTCTGCCATACAACTTCATTGTTATCGTCCCACCATGCATCAGCAACCTCGACATCCACCGAGGTCAGCTTCGGCTGCGACCAATCCACAAACCAACCCTACCAGGACCAACAATCCAAGGGATACAAATCATAACATGTCTCCTACCGAACATTCACCATACCCAAATAGAGACGATGATGAAGATATACGCTCAGACGAGACTGGTGATAGACTCTCGGAGAATGAAAAGAAGGATCTCACCAGGGTCAGACAAGTCATCCAGGTAGACTATGCCATGCTGTCCATGACTGACCTTTAACTAACTTGCATACAGCAGTTCTTTAATAAAGCAGCCTTACTAATAGTGTCTGCTAGAGCAGTGCTACCCCAGAGTATGAACCAGGATGGCAACGTAAAACAGAACAAATGGGTCAGTGCGCTCTATTTAAGTCCATCGAGTACTTAAATCTAACATCTGCGTAGTTCAACATCGTTGTCGATGACACTGACGCTCTTTCTGAGAGTCTGGCAGACTGGAAAGGCCTGGACATCCTAAACGAGCTCCCTCCTCGGCTTTGCATCGAGACCTATGTCGATTTGAAAGACCTTGGCAACAAACAAATACTCGTAGCAAATGATGATCGAGGAAAACGATGGAACGTAGGAGAGATGCTCAATCAACCCATGTCTCCGCATTCACCGTTGCCTAAACGGAACGAAAGAGTGACACAGCTTCTCTTGGAGCGATGGATCGTTGAGGTAAAGGATAAGGAGACTGCGTCCCCAGCATCTCTCAGGGATCCTTTGCCGAATGTCTACAAAAAGGCAGTTGTCTTGTTCAGATCATTGTTCACGGTGACACATATGCTTCCGGCATACAAATATTTTAAGAGACAAGCTGGTGCTCATGGCGGGCTCAAGCTACGGTACCGGATATCCAACGATATCTTTAAGCATCCGAGGCGAGACACTCTGCATATCCCTCTTTATGAAACATCTGAGCCTGTTGTTGAGACACAAACATTCGCGCCCTCAAACTCCCCTATTGGACCCTTGAGCATTTCCGTGGTATTTAGGGTGGACTGCGATTTACGTGTTGACGATCAGGAATCACTCCTGAGCTCACAGTTCATGGGTCTGGACGATAACTACTTCAAGCCTTCACTGGGACACGCCGGCAACGAGCAAAGCGCCGTACCTGGCTCTTTACCTGTGAACCGAGCTAATCAACAAGATCAGCCAGATCGCAGCCAGGCTTATGGAAGCATGTCCACGTTCCATCAGGTTGGTCCTGCTGGCTCAAGCCCAATATCCGCTCTTCGGGCTGTTAGAGATCAGCCTTCGAGGTCGCCCGTAGAGGCTTCACCGAGAGAACCCACAACCCTCCATCCAGGTCCAGAGCGGAGATCATCCCTACGGGCGGGCGGGGTTGGAACTCGCCGACCCTCAGTATCATTCCAGGCCTTCAAGGCAGGATCTCTATCGTCCTCGCCTGCCATCGGTACCCCTGTGCTCCATTCGCCTAGCAGTTCAGTAGGTCGAGGGACGAGTGCTGCGCCGTACACTCAACCAAGAAACAGGACATCCCTCACTGCGTTGCCCCAGACCGCGCTTAGAACGCCGTCACTACCAAATGAAACCGCCATCGCATCGTCAGCATCAGGATCCCCAAAACCAGCACCAATAAACAGATATAGTAGCAGTTTCGGACATCGAAGAAGCAAGTTCTCATCTGGCGGCGGCTCGAAGACTGAAGATGATAACATCAGCAGCGGGAAAGCCAGTGTTTCGTCCGCCCAGCCTGGATCCAGTATGATGAATGAGGGTGAAGGTGGAAGCTCTGGGTCCATGCAAACAGATGATGAGAACATATCCGATTTTCTCAAACTTCTTGATTCCAAGAAAGACCTACGAAGCTTCAATCGTCGTGACTCGGCATCTCGCGACGCAGCAATGCGTAGGACCACTGCCGCATTGTCAACCTATCAGAAAATGCGCGACTCGAATGCTGTGCTCTCGGACTCAATGTCCTCGTCACTCCTCCTTCACAGGTCATCATCATCGTCAAGCCGACAACTGTCTTCTGTCCCTCCAATGATCGCAGGTACCTCCGTGTCAACTTCCTCATCACCTGGGAAACCGATCTCGCCGCACACCCCTCATACACCCGCCATACCCTCTCGATTATCTGCTAACAGTGTCGCCGACTACGACCAGCCCCACCGCTCCCGCTCACGAGGCCGTGTCATCCCCCGACCAATCAATCCATCTACATCCCGACCAGAAGAGGAAGCTGATCCGCCGCCTGGTGCGTCCGAAGCCATCGACATCCCAACTTCGCCTCGCGCTTGGCCCTATATACGCCGCTCTAGCTCTGCAGCTCAACAACAGCGCACGCTCGAAGACGACGCGGACATTTACGGCCTACGCAGCGCCAGCGTGCCCGCTGAAGAAGGGCCTCATCTCAGCCTCAGCGAACTTCTCCAACATCATGAATCCAGCCCGGCGGCAGCGCACCAAGCAAGCGCTGACGCGAGTGACGAACGCACAGTCCCACGTAACGTCGTTCTACCTACGAGTCAAGACGGCGAAACCGAGCATCGTACCGGTCCAGCGCTACGCAGTAGGGGAAGCTACACGCGTGGAGTTACAACACGGAGTAGTCGTTACAGCTTCAGTTCACGTGCCGGGCATGCGTTGGATGACGACGAGCCGTTGTTGTTCGACATGAGTGAAATCGGGAACGCGACGAGGAGAAGTGTTGAAGAAGGAAGAGGTGGTACAGCTAGTGGCACTGCGGGACTTGATCGAAGACGTGGGGGGTCAACGACGAGATCGCCATGGCTATAAATGTGATGGGGGTCAAGAGTTCTCTGGTCGAACGAGGACTATATATTGGGCTTAAAAGACGATCAAGAATCTTCAAAGAATCGCGCATCGAAGGGCCGTGCATACCACAAAACAAAACGCAAACGAAACATTTTCAAATTCACGATTCTTCGCACTTTTTGCTGTCTGTTCTCAGCGTTCTGCATCAACGTAGCACAGCCAGAGAGCTTAAAATGCTTCTGGCCTCGCACGCAGTATCTTGGTTTTGCTTTTCGCACAGATTTATGTATTTTGCGTAGATGGCGTACCGGAATGGGCTCTCAGGCACAGGGATCAATGTCAAATTGCACTGACAAGGACAGAGGCCGTCGGAATGAGAGAAGTCTTGCACAGAGGTATACTGGTGGGATATGCGTGTCTATCTACTGCGCCGCTGCGCGAGTTGAAACGTACAAAGGCTTCACGATAGATTTTAGAGCAGTAAGAAGCGAACCTTAGACATATGAAATGCACGTTGAATCTGGTATACATTTATATACAACCCCTGTCTTACATGTGCCAATCTACTTCTTCTTCTCTTCTTCCTTGGGGGGCTCCGGCTTAGGCGTAGGCAGCTTGAATGCATCGGGTTTCCTGTCCTCGCCCGGCCCTACAGGTTCCCAAGCCGTTGAACCACCACGGAAGTTGCGGTACGCCTGTGTCATTTCGAGCGGTTCAACTACTATCCTCTTCTTCTCCTCATCCCAGCGAATTTCCGTATATCCAGTCATCGGGAAGTCTTTGCGCAGCGGATGCCCATCGAAACCGTAATCCGTCATGATACGCCGCAGATCCGGGTGCCCCGAGAAGAAAACGCCAAAGAGATCGTAGACCTCGCGCTCATACCAGTTCGCGCCATCGTACAAGCCACAGAGTGAGGGTACCGGGGTCGATTCGTCCGCGTACGTCTTGACGCGGATGCGGCTGTTGTGTCGCACAGATAGCATGTTGTAGACGACTTCAAAGCGCTGGTCTTTGGTAGGGTAGTCCACGGCCGTGATGTCGCTGATCTGGGTATACTCGCACTGGGTATGGTTCTTGAGAAATTGAAATGTCGGAATGACAGCTTGCGGCGGGATGTAGAGCGTCAGCTCGTCTTTCCACACGCTAAATTGTTGAATGTAGGCGGGCAGGCAGGAGAGAAGATATTGGCCGTACGTGTGGAGCTGGGCGTTGGTGGAGGCGTATTTGTCGACCGGGTTGAGGACTGGGACTTTGAGTTGGGTTGTCGCGGGTCGAGGGGCGAACTGGGAGATGGAAGGGTTAGCTGATCTTTGAGGTTTGGGAGGGGGTACGGAGGCGTACCCTCATGTTTTCAAGGTCTTTGGCGTTGGCAGCGAGTTCTTTAGATTGTGAGGCCGACGCCGTAAACGCCCTCGCGGCTGTCCGCGTCGAGGCAGAGCGCACAGCTGATGCGAGTGGCCTCGCTGTAGATAGTCGGAGAGCCATGGTAGCTGTATACGATCGGAGAGACACCGTGGAAAGGTCAATGGCTTCAACGATGGCTTTGACACTTCAGAGGTGGTGGTGACGACCTAGAGAGGGATGGAGGTATCCACTGTTTCAGGGTCACGTGTAGCCCCAGCCGGCTCGTCGCGCTTTCCTTGTACACCTACTTTCGCGGTCCTGTACAAACCCTTCATCTCGATTTTATTTCAGCCACCCTGTCCCATCCCATTCTAATCCTCTTCACCTCGTTAATATATCTCGCTAGCTGGGCTCTCTCTATCAGGATCACTCCTTCACGCCCTGCAACCGTACTTTTGCCACTAGCTCGTGAGCAAAGCTTCGCTTCATATGGTCCGCCACGACACCTTTTCCTCAGAACTACACTTCCGCTTGTCGCACCCACCTTCAGCAGCCCGTAATGTCACGTATACAAATGGATCAACTCATCGATGATGACGAAGAGGAGGTATGTCCTCTTTGCGTCGAGGAGCTAGACCTAGACGACAGGGGCTTTAGACCGTGTCCTTGTGGGTATCAAATATGTCGGTTCTGTCATCACAACATCAAGACGAACATGAACGGATTGTGTCCTGCATGTCGACGTGTTTATGAAGACAAGAATATCGTGATGGTCAAGCCTACGCCCGAAGAGTATGTGCAGTCATCATTGCTCGTCTAGATACATGGAGCTGACACTTTACAGAGCCGCAGACTACCATAAGAGACAAGCCCAGAGACAAAAGAGAACTGCTGTTGCTAAACAAAAAGAAGCTCAAAGGCGTGAAGCAGACACACTCGGTCGGAAGCACCTTGCTGGCCTACGCGTCGTTCAAAAGAATCTAGTTTATGTGACTGGTCTTTCACCCACCACGCAAGAGAGCAAGCTACTGGAGACCCTACGCGGCCCAGACTACTTTGGACAGTACGGAAAGATCATTAAGATTGTCGTCAGCAAAGCCAAAGACACATCACATCATCACCAATCTGTCGGAGTGTATGTGACATTCGCGCGGAAAGAAGATGCGCAAGCTTGTATCGATTGTGTCGACGGATCCGCGAATGGTGAAAGGACTCTACGGTTCGTACACATGCATAAATGAAGTGTAGCATTCTGATCAGTCTAGGGCTCAACACGGCACGACCAAGTACTGCTCGGCTTATTTGCGCAATGAGACCTGCAATAATAAGAGCTGTATGTTCCTGCACGAACCTGGAGACGAGGGTGACCGGTTCACGCGACAAGATCTGTCTGCACTCAATATCAGTCAATCAAATCATCCACATAATTCAATGAACCCTCAACCCGCACCTGTACAACAGGCTCCAATCGCAGCAGCCACGCCAATGCAAAGAGACGAAAGCAGTGAAGGTAGCCACAGCGTAGATGGTTCTGCCTTGCCTTCTTCCGCTAGTTGGGGCAGCAAACCTGTACAATTACCTCAAGATCGCAGGACAAGCCGAGCGACCACGAGTTCAGAAGCCAGCCCCGCTGTTTCGCATTCAGCCCCAACCCAATCTGAGGTTCATAAGTCCGAGCCTGCGACCCTCAAGCAAGTAAATACTACTTCACAACGTCCAACACAACCACCGTCTCCAGAAGCACCCCAATCATCGTCTTCTTCTTCTCCGTCATCACAACCGACTAAGCCAAACCGGATGGAACATCTGGAAAATTTCCTCAAAATCCTCTCATTGCCATGGGAAAATAATTTCTCCATGGCTAACCTTTCGGAAAGAGATCAAGCAAAACTTGATAACATGCCTATGCTGCTTGACCCATACGGTGGCGAGAAGCTTAGAATAAGAAGAGAAAAAGAGGCCAAGTTAAAAGAAGAACAGGCTCAAGCGGTTGGGCAAGCTACAGTCCCTGATACCGCGGAGGCTGTAGACGCGGAGGATGACCCGGCATCTGGAAGTCTGCAGCTAGGTGGCGAGCCGGAAGAACAGCCCAATACAGCGTTCGTTCGCTCTCAGCACGCTATTGGACCACCACCTTTGCCATCAGGGCTTGGCCAGAACTTATCACTTGGAGATGAATCAAGCTCTTTCGGTTTCAGTGGACGCGGTATGAACGCTCAGCAGAATCAGCAACAGCTATTGATGCAGCGATACAAAGACAATCCGAATGCCTCGAATCTTCTCAACAGCTTCCAGAACAATCAGCAAGCTCAGCAGTTAAGCCATGGACTGTCTTCGGGTTCCGCTCCGAGTCATGCGAGACAAACTTCAAAGTTCTCGTTCGCGAACGAATCTGGCACAGCATCGACTGCAGTCAAGCCTGTTCCAAACCAGAAGTTCATGAACCAACAGAACGCTATGTTACCACCACAGAATTCCGGCCCTTTCAGCCACCAGGGTGGTAATGGTCATCTTGGTAATCATTCATATTACACTGGTAGCGTTCAAGGCCCGCCTCCAGGCCTGAAGACGACTGGAACTCCACCAGTCAGTGGCGGAGGTATGTTCGGCCAAGGACACGGGTTTGCAACGGGCGGTCTGGGCTATGGAGCCAATGCGACAGGCAGAAACAACACTAACGAAGAGATGATGCAACGTCTATTGCGCGGACAAAGAGCCGACGGCCACGGAGCTGATGCTGGTAAGCGTGAGTCTATGTTTCCTTCTTTTCTTCAATCCCACTCCTCGACCTCCTCTACACCTGCCCCTGCCCCTGGCCTACACAACTATCCATATGGACCTCAGCCTGGTGCATATCAAGACGCCGGTCCACAGAAGCAAAAGAAAAAGTCGAAGAAACATAGACATGCTAACACTTCCTCTTCTGGGGGAGGTGGTCTAGTCGATGTTTCCGACCCAAGTATTTTGCAGGCAAGATTGCAACATGGTGGTGGGCCCATGGGCGGGCAAGGTATTTATGGAGGTCAAGGCCAAGGTGGGTTCAACGCCGGTTTTCCTGGCGGGTACAACAACAACCGATGGTGAAGACTCTGCACCCAACCCATTTGCACGTATAACTTTGTTTTTTCTTGATGGTCATATTTTCTTTTACACACATGTGGGCAATCGCGGGCGGGCTTTGCTGGCGTTTCTTTTTGCACAATCATCGCGGCAGGATGAAGGGAAGCATCAGCGTTCGCCAAGAACTTGAAATTCTTGGGTCTACGTTTGGAGTTCTCGTGGGGTTCAACTTCATTGAAGATGGTCTTTAAAATACCGGCATTGCGCAGCAACTCATCGAGATTCGGTGTTTCCTCAAATCTTTGTTTCTATACCGATTATTTCGCACTGCGCCCCTGCCTCAACATTACGGAAGTACGCGCCAGTCTCCCTCATCTTCGTCGTCCTGGCCATCATACATGTACGTAAATCCCTTCCTTGCTATCTATTAGAGATGGCATGCTTTTCAAATCGCACAACGATTGATGGCTTTGCAGGTATTGTTCATTTTCTGTGACATAGACCGATTCCAGATGTCTAATTGTGGTGGTGCATGTAGCAACCCGAAAGCCCTCCATTGCGCCCATATATTTGTCAACAATGTATCCTGGATCACCACTCCCGTTTCGTTTTTAGACATTTCACTATTTTACAACACACTGGCTACGATTCTGTAGGCTAAGATTGCTGACCATTTGTACCATAGGGACTAATGTTGACCAACCGATATCACATTCACGAAATATTTCATCCGATGATCCATTCTCGCCAGCAGCAGCGGCAATCAATCCCGATCTTTATGTGTCCCGCAGAGGAACGCCTAGCGTACCACCAGGGTTTGAGGGCTCCGTCAGCTCAAAGCCTGTTTCGAGAATAGGGACGCCTCGCGTCATGACACCTATCAAGCCAGCCTTACCTCTTCAACCCACTCCACATAAAGCTATTGATATCGCAGATTCCGCCAAGCCCCTGTATGATCGCGACTCACTTGAAAAGAAGGAAGAGATTCCTGCTAAGACGCCCATCAACCACCAAACCCCTGAGATAGACGTGAAAACTGCAGTCTCGGCGATTGCAGTGCCTGAAACTGCGGATGTGGAAGCTAAGAAAGCCTCAAAGCCTACGACGAGGAAGAATTCAACAGCCAACGCAAAATCCATCGCTTCAGTAAGTGCGACACCGACAGCTACTCGCGCCGTCCAGCAACCTGCCACGCCAAAGAAGACAGAGATTCCCCAGACAGTGTATGCGTCAAAGAAACCAGATGCTACACCAGACAATGGCAAGGGCGGGAAGCAGCCTACGTCTTCGACCAAACGACAACCGCCGGGCAAACTCGATATTCCTGCTGCGACTGCTACAGCCGAGGCTGAGAAAAAACCTTACAAATTGGTCCCCAATTCTGTACCACATACTCCTGCTACCACAACTGCTTCAACTGGATCTCCTGTAAAGAAGGCCCCCTCAAAAGTCCTTCGAGTTGTGCAGACACCTAGAACAGAGACCCCAGTACCGATATCTGCATCATCATCAGTATCCAATGTCCTTCCGCAGTTACCGACTGGCCGGTTAGCCTCAAGACAGGCCAGTATTGCTTCGATCAACATTCCTGGGACCCCACATAGTTTCGATGTATCAGATGTCGCTTCCTTAGCGTCTACGTCTGTATCTCGCGCCAGCTCTCCGCCGCCTAATGCAAAGTCGAAAGTTGCTACAGTAAGGACGAAGACTAAGAGTCAAGTAAAGAAGGAGAGACAGGAAAGGGGGAAGCAGAAGACTGCCGAGAAGGTTGAAGAGGCCGTCAGTGCGAAGTCGGTCGACGATGTCATGCAAGAGCCTATCATTGGGCGTAAGAAGAAAGCAAAGAAGCCATCGAAGACGCCAGCTGCGGCTGTGGCATCCAAAGAGAGAGAGGCCAGCCGCCCCGCGTCACCTGCCTTAAAAGTTGGGTTCAACAGCAAAGAACAGTCCCGGCCACCTAGCCCACAGGCCAAGGCATTACCGATACTGGAAGAGAGCATGGTGGCTGAGCCTGAGCCTGTAGAGGAGCATGTTCCCTCGCCGGTGGATATCCTTGCGAAGCTGGAAGATATGATGGACACAGCCTTTTTCAAAGGTCCTTCAGCATATCCGAAAGGCGAAGTCACCCCCGCTGATCTAGACAACTTAGAGAAGCCCATTCCATTCACCCCGAATGATCTCGAAAACATTGCTAAAGATGTTCCAGTCCAACTTGGAGGTCATGATGGCCGCGACTCTTCGCGGTGTCTCGTGGTTGATCAAGGCGTGCTTCATGGACTCCCTCCGTCAATGGAAGAATTCTTTCTCGAGTTGGATGCTAGAATTAAAGCGACTCTTGGGCCCGGCAAATACCGTCATCAAAGTACGCGCGATCCCAAGAAAATGTACCCCACAGCACTACCGAGCTTCGCGGCAGGTCTGCAGAACGCTAGGAATGTTGCAGATCACCAAAATAACACCAATGGCGGCAACAATTCTGTGAAGTGTGCTCCCTTCGATGATGCGGCGAGCTATATAAATCAATGGGTGATACCCACGGATCCCACCGCCACTGCAGGGTATATGTCCCGCCAGACACAGAACCCGCCTCAGGTCACCACAGCAGGCATTCCCGGCATTTCACTTCCGCTTGAGGAGGCCAGTGAGCTGCTGGATGGCCACCTTATCCGAAGTATCGCAGCAGGCGACTTCAGGACTGCGTTCATGACTCATGGCATGACATTCGAAGAGGTAGAGAGACAATATCATGAATCACGGAAAGAGTTGGAAAGACACGAAAAACAATTGTCGGCTATGTTGAAGAAAAATCGGAAGATCTTGTCGAATGGTGGGCATTGAGAAGAAGAGGCAAGCCGACATATGAAATGAATGAAAGTAAAAATCTATTCAAGAAGAAGAACGGCGATATCGTTCGTGTATGAAGGAAAAGTAAGACGAAGTGTAAATAAGAGACATGCGGCGGCGCGTGTTCCATTCATTATTATTAGTAAGGCGTTTGTGGATTGGTGGATGTATCATTGTAACACTATGTGGCATAGCAGCGGCCGTCTAAACCACCATCGTTTTTTTGGAAGCATACATAGATTAGCGTGCGGCATGGCGTTTTGGTATACTTCACGTTTTGTATTATTACGATCCGAGTACTAGGTAGAGCCAAGTGTGCTCCAGTAATGCAGTATAAACCGGTCGAACGTACTTGTCTATAATTCGCAGCCGGGTCCAAGTAGTTCCGTTCTGTGATTCCGGTGTTTGCATTGGGTGTGTCGTTCTACGTGGTGTCAATGGGCAGGCATTCTTGTCTATTGAGTATCTATCTCGCTGTGACTTCTAAAATATAAGTCCAAGGGATACTGTTAGTAATATACACATAGGTGTAGAACTCCGCAAATTTACCAAGCTGACTCTCGGTTTATTATTCCACGGCTTACTTTAGAAGAAGATAGCGTAAGTAGTTTAGACTCTAGATATTGAATTTAGCAGAGTATTAAAAATAGGTCAAGAGGTCTAAAAGTATATTAATGAAGCTTTATGCAGAATAGATGCTCAAGGAGAGTAAAGTTCATAAAATGTATTCTAGCTAGTCGCTTTTCAGATCTTGTATGGATTTATATGCCAAGAAGAGAGATTTATGTATGTTAGGATGTTGAAGATATAGTCTTATAATGCAAGTCTTAGTAGGTAATAGATCTATGTTATTGATCTTTTCTAGCCTTGTATTAACCATATATGCTCTTCCAGGACATAGGCTAGATCAAGCTACTATAGATCGCATGTACATGTACGGAAGTCTACGTCTACTACACCAAGTCTGCAAAGAATCTATGAGAAGACATGACAAGAAAAAGACATTAGATTATGTACCCTGTGTCTACTATATATGTACATCTATGGTCATGAAGTTAGATGCATTTCCTCCACTCGCTCAACAATGCAATTCTTATGCAATGCATTCATGCAATTCATACATGCAATTGATCCATACAATCTCCCCTACCTCTCATCTCTGGAGATTCTAGATGTAAATGTAGCAAAACGGTCCTTCAATTGTACTTCCCAGACTCTCAATGGTCGGCTGATCATCAGTTACGTAGCCCAAGTCAATAATATCGTCCAGAGTGGTATCCGCACTCGGAGGCATATTGAAGAAGGTGTTTGTGCCAGCAATGGCGTGCGTACGTGTCTTAGGTGACAACAGTTGCCACATCCAGTATGTGCGGTCAATCATGGCATGGTGGAAGAAGAATGCCGGGTCGCCAGGCGAGACGAAGACGTCGCGGCCAGGGTCACCACCCAAAGAATCTGCAGAGGTTAGCGGGTTCGTAAAGAAAGGACAGAGAAAGATACTTACAATGCCCACCGCCGTGCACGCCAATTTCACCGGTGCCAGGCACGCCCTGCATCTTCAGCTGAAAGCTAGCTATATCGTCGTTCCGCAGAATCAGATTCACCACGCTCGACGCATTCGCATAGCGCTGGTTGATCGCGTCCGTCAGGTCGCGCTTCAGACACCGTGGATTATACGCCTTAGGGTTCTCGACCGCCAACGTCGACCCGTCGCTCAGCGCCAGCGACGCCGGGCCCAGGTTGACCTTGTAGTCCTTGAACGGGCCGGACACACACCCGCCACCATTACCCACGGGCAGGTACAGCGAGGGCAGGCCGGCACCGCTGAGCACGATCGAACCATTGGTCTGGTCGATGTGTGCGCCGTTGCCGGACATGGAGGTTGCGGAGCCGTCGAAAAGGGGGTGCGCGGTGAGGCCTGACTTTGCGCTGCGGCTCCAGTCCCAGTATGGCTGGGTGCCTGTGTAGCCGCATTCTTCGCGGAGGGCGCGCTCGTACACCCAGGTGTAGAAGCGGTGCCAGGTGAGGAAGTTGCCGGTGTAGTGGATGGTGAGGGTTTGGTCTATGTGGGTGGCGACGAAGCTGCAGGACGTTGGTCAGTGGGGGACGGGATGACAAGTTGTGGTTTCGAGTCAAGATTAGAAAGGGGAACTGGGAGGGATGATGGGCTGGCTATACTAAGCCTATAGAAATCGTGGATGGCTATGTTGTGTGAAGATCTTCAAGTGCTGAAGATCGAGGCATGAACGAGCTCTGGCTTATGATGGCCATAGAGAAGACTTGCTCAGACTGCCTCAGAAGGACTAACATTGGGCAGTGGTGATGAAAGGAAGTGAGAATGTGACCGATAGTGCAGGGAGGGATCGTCAGGAGGGGAAACTTTATAACAGGAATGAGTTGACTTTGCCAGTGACAAGTCGAGAAAATGGAGAAAGAAACATACTCATCGTAACGTGTCTTTGCGCCTGGGGCGACAGTGGAAGGCGTGCGGGCAGGCTTTGACTGTAGGCAGCGTACTGCACTGATGTATGACTTCTTCTCCTTAGAAGAAAGGGCGCTCCTGCAGGAGATGTCAGCTGAATTCGGGACAGATTTGCAACGTGGCCGTCGCCGAACTGACCATTCTGTTCGAATCAATAAGTTTTTCAGTGAGCACTTTTGTTGCCCATCGTAGTCCTCCCGCCTCCTTTTTGTTGATGCGTCTGACAATGAGCTTTCCGTAACTTCTTTACTCTGTGCCAGGAGAGCTTCAATCTGTTGACTAGCGGCATCAATGTCAGAAGCTGGGGTAGTGTCTGTTGTGACAGGTTCATCAATTGGTGCGGCTCGGCTGGTTACGGCGCAAGCCAGTAGGATTCCAGCGCCGAGACCGTAGAGTTTCATGATTATCGAATTGACGGGACTAGATGTGAAGGCGAAGGCAGGAATGTGATGCTTGGTAGGCTATATGTATGCGAAACCACAGGAAAAGCTGCTGCTGCTAGATTCCCAAGAAACAGGGATTTGGGATTGCTGATCTGCATCCACGTGGATTATATACGGATTCATGGACAGGACTAGGTAACACTGAGTAAGATATGGTGGCACACATGTGGCAAGCGGCTCGATGTTGATGAATCGTAGCACAGATAGCACTTCAGACTGCTGGGCCCCTGCTTTCAAGGGTACAAAATACAAGGGTAAAGACGCTGTTCGAATCTACCGGTTACCGGCTACAACCCGAATCTGAATGTGGCGTTCAAGGGAATACCGAGGAGCCTTGACGCAGGGCGCTCAAGTGTATTCCAATTGCTTCTAGCGCTTCGACTAGATGCGCTGTAATGCATTCTGTTTAGCGTACCCAAGCCAAGGATTAACACAAAATGGAAGCCCTAGAATGCTTCTCTAACATAGTAGAAGGAGACCTGCCCAATCTCAACTATTGCGAGCTGCATGCAGCAGTGAAGTGCGCAATTCCTCGATCGTTTTCTGTTTGAGACAGTGCCAGGTTTTGAACCGTTCAGCTGCACGTCTTCAGTGAATATGGTGAAGATCTTCCTATTTCGGAAAGGAGACGCTAGCCAAATCAGCACTGGGCTGTCCAAGTTGCCGATTCTAAATACTAGTATATCAATCAGAACCAGTCAACATAGTGGCGTCGCGTGGGCCGTAGGCTCGCCTCCAGCCGCACGGACGGTAAGCCACATAGAATCCAGGAGCCTGGAAAGCATAGAGGTGGTGGCATTTTGAAGATATTGACTCCGCCATCCGGACATCCGTAAAAGTAATATCGTGAGGCATGAATCATCAAATGTTGCACCGAGACTTAAGCCACCACAAAGTGTTGAGATGAAATGTCTTCTGATTCATGTTGAAGGAGGAGAGAAAAAGCCTGGGCAAGTGAAAGAGAAAATGGGCTGCAGCTGCCGTCCGCGCCACATCACTCCATATTACGTGTTACAATATGTTACTCAAGACCGCTCTTGCATAGAAATTCTTCATGGCCATGGAAGTATGTACCATCACGACACCAGCCTCGACTATCATGTCCACGTCTCTGTTTTTTTGACAGAGGCATCAACGATTATAGGAACTGAAGAGGCATTTATACCTGCAAGTCCTTGAAGCCCATGGCAAACATAGTCCGATAGGACGGCACGGCACGGCCACCACATGGTACATACCAAGTTTGAGTGGCGTCAGACGAATGCATGTCTTGACGAAAGGCACACAGCCTGTCCATGTCACTAAGGAACACAAGTCGGTCGTGGCGCATGCGGGAAGGAGCAGGAGCGGGAGCAGGATCTGAAGCAGAAGCAGGTCTGCGCTGCATTTAAAGTTTGGACGGCGCTTCCTTGCACGCCGACGCTAGCATAACTAGTCCCGATCAGGCTCAGTACCCGCGAGCTATGATACCCTGTTCCGGTCTGCTTTTGGCAGCATTTCAACAGCATCTATGTTTATGTTGCCGTAACCCAGCATCGCCAATCGGCGTAACGAGCTGCAAGAAGATAAAAATCTGACAAGTCCACGCAGATCATTGTTAGTCCACGGAATGTCACATTGCGTCTTTTGCGTGGCTTTCGCGTCCCTGCCAGCTATTCTGACTTCCACGTGCGATACGCTTCTACCATCTACCATCTAACATTCAAGATAGTCAGTGCCCGGCTGCCCCAGGACGGCTAAAATCCTCCTGGCTGCGCACCGTGCGGGTGCTTTTGCACTTCCCTCAGGCTTGCTCAATGGAGGGCTCAGTACAACTTGTGCTCATTGATTCCACTTGCAAATCTGCCGTGTAAGTCTACCGTTTTACCTCGTGTTGGTGTCCAGCTTAGTCTCCCATCGGCCAAGCTCGCCGTGCAAGCGATGTTGCATACGTCATACGAACGCTTGAAGGTTAAATGCACATATGGCCTCGCACATCACCGAATCGTGACTCGTGGCTCGTCAGAGTGCCCAACACTCATTCAGTTAGGCAATTGAATCAGAGACGAGGAGAAATTACGCCCTGACATCAGCGTGGTTGGTGTGATTTGGACAGTTTGGTACTTGGTCCCCATCAGTAGTTCACGAATCGCATTGGCTCGGCACAATATTCAGTGCCGCCCGTCTCCCGTAGACTAACAAGCTTTTCGCTCGCACTGTCCTTTGTTTTGCTGCCTGCCTTATGCGTAATTCATATCCGAGCCATCTCCTGTAAAGCGCAACTTCAATCTCGTTCCTGACTCCTACGACCCCTGACGCCGCAAAGCATGTCGTCTTTTAGCTTATTTGCTATTCTACAAGAAGAACCATCGCCTTGATCTACCACCACCCTGTGATGATCTTCCAAATATCTGAAGAACAGGAGGCACGAGCTTGTATGGTATGGACCTGGAGCCGATCCGACACTCCCGAACGGCCACGACAGCTATAATAACCAACAATCACATATTGCCGTTACTACGTCGACCGGAGGGGATTCACGACCTTTGCCCACCATGAATTCCAGACAGGCCAGCATGGTCACAGGCCCGTGTGAGAATGAAGGAGGCCACATTCTTGCGGCCACCTTGGCTGTATCTCTCACAGCTCTTATTACGACACTACTACGGATCTACGTGCGGATGGTGATGACCCGCAACGTAGGACGAGATGTATTTTTGTCCAATTTATCTGCATGGTTTGCAACTGACAAGAACTAGGACTACACGATGTATGCTGCCATGCTACTTGTAAGTCTCTTTTTCATCACAACACATGATTATGCTAACCTAGCGAAGACTCTTGTGTTCCAAGGTCTCATAATAGCCGAAGTAATGTATGGAACTGGCCAACATCAGCATTGCCTCGATCCTGCGGTCATATCAAAGGGGCTCCAATTGAACTTTGTCACCCAACCGCTGTCTCTGTGGACTATTGCCCTCGTCAAGATCTCCGTGGGGCTCTTCCTTCTCCGAATCGCAGTCCAGCCCATTTACCGCAAGATTATATGGGGCTTTACTGGTACCGACCTCCGTTCATCCCTCAATCCACCAGCTAACTAGTCCCAGTCTTCTTGATCATGTATACCATCGTCTGCACCTTTACCGTAATCTTCCAGTGTACCAATCCACGCGTTCTCTGGGACCCCACCGTAAAGACCACCTGTTTCCCCCCTACCACGCTACGAGCACTCGGCTTCATGAACACGACTTTCAACATCTTCACCGACTTTCTCTTCTCCATCATCCTCCCAATCCCCATGCTCGCCACCATACAAGTCAACAAGCGCACCAAGTCGTCTATCATCTGCATTCTCGGCCTTGGCATCTTTGCCGCCGCCGCTGGCATTGTCAAGGCCAGCTACCTTTCAAATTATGGTAAAATGGGCGACTTCCTCTGGGACTCACGCAACATCACCCTCTGGGTCATGGTCGAGACCTGCGTCGGCATCGTCGCCGCAAATCTTCCCTGCTTCAAGCCTCTGTTCCGTCACGCCCTGCAGCTCTCCGGGTACGGCACCGGCAGCCGCGGCTTGCGCGCCAGCGGTTATATTCAGCATAGTCAAAATTATGGACGGGGTAGCCAGAACCAGCGCAGTCAAGGGAACCGCTTTTCAGCTTTTGCACCCGCGATGCCACGGTCGCAAGGGGCAAGTACAACAGAGGAGGAGTTTGGTAAAGGTGTAGGCGACGAAGTGCACATGATGACACGAATAAAGGGGAACGTCTCTGGGAGCGACGGGGACAGTCGTCTGAGTGATGAAAGTCTAAACATGGACGCGGGAAGAAATGGCATCGTGAAGACGGTGGCGACGACAATAAATTATGTGGATGTGGAGAAGGGCGTTAAAGCTGAAGAGAGGGTTTGAGGACTCAGACAGGTATTGTCTCGTATGCACTGCTTTTGATTGTATCAATACATTTATGGATGATACCAAGTATGACATGATCCTGATAAGACCCGCTTCATGGTGGTCGGATCATCGGATATCTTTTCCAGAGCTCGAGGATGGGCTCACGACATAGACTTTTACTTTGTCTTGATGTATGAAATCATGGAGGGCAGTCCCTTAACGATGCATGCGAGATGTATGTCATACAATAGAGCCACTATAAAAGAGGCAATCACAGGACTTGGATCTCGAAGTAAATAAAGGTGAAATACCTAAGTAGCATAAGCTGGTGTTCTTGAAAGAACTCAGATGGTTATCTTGGCCAGCTTGTCTCTGCACTTTGCGTGTTCGATCACCAGGATGTGGCCTTCGAACCTGAACATAAACCCTCCACAGGCCGTGCAGCTTCGACTCTAGGAGTGCTGTTCGTTAGTCGTGTTCACACCATGAATCATTGATCCCGTTGCAATAACATCTCATGTTTTGTAGGGAAACACGCCTTACCCACCTCACCCTTAATGTTAGAGCAGTATTAGCATACACCCCGATTATCGAGTTCTGTGGAGTCAATACTCCAGCAAGGGTGCAAGAAGTACGCCGTACGGCACTGTCAACATCGCGCACCTTCACCACTACGACTAGTTCCGTCTCAAAATTCGTCTCCCGAATCAAGTCCTGTAAGAAGGTTTCTCGACATCTCAACGACTGGTATGCATCGTGACGATTGCTTAAACACAAACCAGTCCGTGTCATCCATGTTTTCCGCGGGATCTGTCTCTACACAATGTGCAAGGGGCGGCCAACCCAGACTCTCCGCCAGATTGCTCGACTCGCTCAGGCTCAGGGATAGCTTTTTTACACTCTCGCCTCCGGCCATGGCTCTGCGCCTCGCACTACAAACGTCAGGAAAAGAGTACTCCATGAGTCGTGAGAGCCCATCTCGGTACGTTATACCATTACGTAGGTAGCAGTAGATCACTCGGCAAGAGATTGCGTTTCTTCTCGAAGTCAGGTAGTATCTTGCGCGATCCCGGTTGCGGCGTACGTAACATCGAAGACCCATGTCCGGTCCTTATCATGGATATCATGCGTATCATGAAGATCAGCGTGCGGCGTGGGCTCAGATGCTGCATGACTTGTCAAATATATATCAATGATCTGGGGAGAGATCTGCAAAGTCGTTTTCAATAATGACGATCGGGTCTGAGTAGCAGAATATTGACGGATGTACAGTACCACACCGCAAAGAATGTACTGGTACTCAAGATAATCCATTACACAATAAAAACAAAAGATCCTGCTGTGTTGTGGTTCATTCGGCGATCCATTGCTTTCTCCTGCTGTCTGTCTCTCTAGTTTCTATTCATGGAGCATTGTGTGTTCGTCTTCGACCAACATTTTCGTCAGTCTTCTCTTCATTCACCTCTAAACAAACTTATTCGCCGGTAGTCACGAAGACAAAATTCTTGCTGGGATCTTTTGATATTGAGCGTCCGACTTTTTCTTAACAAGCGCTTATTTAGCTCAAGCCAAGGCAGCATGCGCTTCTCTCGCCAGTCTTCCAGCATTGGGACAACCTGACGTCGTCTTGACGCCTCTCCACATAGCATGACTCTCTCTTCACAAGCTTTTCCACTCATGGGTAATATTATTTAGATGCATCGCAATGCACAGCGGCTCATTGATGCACCCCGAACCACACATAAACCTTAAGCATGGACATGGGTCATCATCCTTGTCTCCATGACTGAAACGATTACATGGATACCGTCTTGTGCCCCACTGTACTCCGCCTCCATCAACCGCCTCACTATGTGATCATTGGTTAGAGCCCGCTCTCCACACCCGAGTCTAACTTCGAGCTGCCAGACACGCTGCGAGATTGAGAACTAAGAAAAAATTCAAAAAGATAACCGACACGAACGAGATTCGAACTCGCGCTCCCGAAGGAACGGGCTTAGCAGGCCCGCGCGTTAACCACTCTGCCATCGTGCCAAGACTTCCAAATTGTAGTCAAACGAACAAATGAACAATTACTGTATGGATGTCTGTGTCATGTGACCAAACCATCCTCAACTTTTATTCTGCATGGTATGCATTGTACGCACCTTTGAACAGCATGCTGCGCGATGACTGACAACACCTATTCATATTATGGTTTTGATTCATCCTGTAAATACATGGCAAGGTCTGACGGTATCAGCCCGTTCCTGCCTGGTTACTATATCCAATGCGTCTGAAATCATAGAGCGTTGCTCTTGCAATCACATACAAATCATACATACTCGATTTCCTTACTTCTCCAAACAAAATCCAAGATCTTTCAATAGGTCACCAGCCTTGATATCAATCGCTGCTGTCCTCTGGTCCTCGATGCCAAATCCAACAAACAGTACGTCGTCTTGGTATCCGTGGTATTTCTGTCCATGAGTCTTCCAGCTCATGCTCGAGATGTATATCATCTCACTTCCCTCGACAGGATCCATTGGGTCTCCCTCAAAGTCGCGCCCAACATTCGTGCCGCCCTTGCGGCCGAGCAGCCAGAACGGTTTAGTGCTGAGCGCGTGTAGCGCAAATGGAGGGGCGCGGCTGAATAGCGCAACGTGCGGCTCGTATACGGCGTGCATGTAAATATAGGTTTTGTGTTGAAAAATGGCCATTATGAAGGTATTATCGTCTGTCTGCTTGCAGGTCGTATCGGCGCGGTCGCAAAGTGTGATGGAGAGGGAATTTGTGGCCTGATGAATCTTTTCTTTCTCGCCGGTCATTTTGGGCATATATTTTGCCATGCATGCAGCATCGGTTCTGGCGAGTGGTGCGAGGTCTTTGGAGACGCTGCCGTCTGGCTGCAGCATAGCGAAGACGCGCTTTGGCGAAATGTCATTGTGCACGTACATGTTATTGTATTTGTCCCAGAACAGAAAAAAATTCTTCTCCATGTAGCCGTATGGTGGGGGACGTTGCAGTTCTGTTGCAAACTTGAAGCGGTCCGCCCAAATCTGGCTCAAGCCCCAGTCTACGAGGACACGGAAGTCCTGGATGAACATGCCCATACATGTGTACCACGAGTTCGAGCCGAAGATGATGTATGGGTCTTCAGGGCCGTAGAAGACGCGCGCGTCGCGAGGACCAACGTTGAAGCCGAAGTAGGAGAGTTCACCAACACACTTGTCGCCACCTTTTGTGTTTGTGATCGGGAGAATGGTCGGTGGTTCATCGCACACCAACTCGCCATTTTTAAATGCTGCATTGCATACTATTTCTGTAGACCACACCGAATCTTTCGGGCTAGACTCTGGGCGTAAGGCTTGTGCCACTATGTACCATGTGTCCTCCATATACGAGTGTGGTATGATGTTAGGGTTGAGACCCTTGCGATGGGCGAAGTGAATCTCCCAGTATGCGCCATTCTGAGAGGTGAGGGACCGTAGCTCGCGGTGTGTGGAGGGTGTCGGAGGAAATTCGTTGACATTTGGAAGAGCGTTGTGGGCAGCGTACGCGATCTGTTCAACCAAGTCCTGTATTTCTTCGCGTGATAGTGACGGCGTCGTCGTGTTGGGTACTAGCCATGTGCCATCGCCGGTCTCTTCCGTGGGCTCCGCCGATGATGTTGTTGAGCTACGTCTCAGGCCCAGAGAGTTCTCGAAATAAGAGTGAAATAGAAAGGTAAAGATGAAGATTAGACATGCGGCGGCCGGGAGAAGGAGTCTTTTAGAGTTGCGCGTGAACATGGCTGCAGGTGGTGACGCGACGGGGGTCTGGGGTAATACGGTGCCGCCGCGTGCGTGCGTCGGAGCACGCTCAACCTGGCAGGCGTCTGTGCTGTCAAGGAGTCAGAAGTATGTCGTGAGGCTCAATGAGTTAGTTGAAAAGTGTGCTCTGAGAGACGTCCATCGCAATACTGGAAATTAGCCTGATGAGGGCCGAAATGCCAGTTTCGAGAACACTTCACAGGAGAAGGGCCGTGATAAGGGCCCGGCAAGGCAAGGTCTGCAAAGTCAAAGGCCAGAACGAGGTTAGGTTTCGAGGAAGTCTAGACAGTAGCCGCACACCTGGCGTGGAAGATCGCGCACAAACTCCGACCTTGAGTGGTTGCTTTGGGATCTTCACAGGCATTCGTAGCGCTAACGTTCCTCGGCTGATGCACCAGTCCTGAACCACACATATACAGTGCTTCCACAGCTTGTAAGTCAAGAACTTAACTTGGCAACACCTTATGAAAGAGCGCCACTGCGGCATTCCCCTTTTGACTCCGACTATTCCCTATGTTGACGCCTTTGCACATGCTAAATCGATTGTTCATGTCAACCTCTCCGGAATATGCAAAAGACGCTTGAATTTCGCGTTTAATCAAGCTAGAAAGATCAAGCATTCATACCGAGTGGGTCTCTCTCGTGTGCTATATAAGCATAAATAATGTTATGATACATGCGACGCTTGATCGATTGGCTGCGATCGCCAATTTCCTACATGCCATAGAGCCTGTCCTTCCGTGAGTGACAAACCCTTTCCCAGTGATCTGATCTGTCAATGGGCGTAGAACACCGAATGAGACGTATGTGTGTGAATACATCGTCAGCCGCACTGAAAGGGCTGGAATGTACCTTGACTGACTCGAACAGATCCATCGTAGCGCAGCCCGCGGTAGCGCCTAGTCTCATAAGACCCTGCCTGGATCAGAATCATCAGATATTGCCCGGCGACGGCGAACGATCCAGCTGCTCTACACCTTGAAGAGATGTATGAAATCCTTTGCCATTCCCTCTTTTAGCCAAACTGCTGCATTTAAGTCCCTCACATCATCCAGTGTTCGGACAGGTACTCAGACTTCGTGCGATGTCCTCCAAGTTTTGCAAAAGGATGCCGATGGAAGAGCGAATTAGATATGCCACGCTTGATTGTCTTTAGATAGCTGTAAGCCCCTTTGGCTTTTCGATGTCGAGCCTGGTACATAAGCTCTTTCGGTCCGCCATCTGCGATGCCGTAGAGTTTGGAGATGTCGACCTTGTCCTCTTGGACAAACCCAGGGCTCAGTGTAAGAGAGAGGCTGGACACAGTGTATCGAAATCTGTTTTGATCGGTGTATAATTGAATGAGATTGGAGGTAGATGTCATGGAACTGGCGTCGTCGTCGATGGTGCTGGTATGATGGAGCTCTCCATCGTTTGTACAGTCACTTCCACCTTGCTGGTAGTGGGATCCTATCTCAAGCTCATCTTTGCCATTTGCATTGCTATTGTCGTCGCCATCATTCCGGCGTTCAGTATTGCCATTAATGGCGTCTTTCGTGTTATCCACATCCTGTTTTTCTGCTTCAAGTTAGCGGTTCTAGACTCTCGACACTCGTAACCATCTAGCTGAACTGGAGACTGGGAAAGTCACTTGCCCCTCAGGTGTCTGTGGTGGTATCTTGCTTGCTCACTGATCGTAGCAACGATGCTAGTACGCAAGTATGTGCGAGCGGACATGGTCGACGATGAGAATGAAGTCTCTGTCAAATGAGGGAGAAGTTGCAAGGCTAAGACGGAAGTGATGAAGGTTTAGACAAAAGATTCGAAGTGGAGAGGGTATAATTTGCCTTATATGGAAGCAAATACATAGAACACACATATAGCTCTACCGCGTGAAGGAACATGAGCAACTAGGATCGAGAACACTTCGTCCTTCACCCTAGGTTACCAGTGACGAAACATCAGTCTGTGATATTTCCAGCAGTTCATCTGTGCCAAGGCATCGCATTTCGTGCGCCGCATTCCTAAGACACATGATTCAAGGCCGGCGTGACAAGCCAGGGCGTGTGCGACCCTTCCTCAGAACTTGGGAGCATTAATCCATAGCAGCGATCTCGCGTGAATGTACGACGTCGACATTCAGCGGCCTTGCAGTCTCCATCAGTATCTAGGTAAAGAGACAACAATGTTAGCTCTAGGGCCTGCGATCTTTACTCTCATTATTTGCTTAATGGATACTGTTCAACACTCGCTAGCGAACCTATCCTTTCAAATCCTGCGATACAAGTACGCACGCAGTGTTCGACATTGTTACGACATTATGGCCAGGATAAACTCGTATCGATAGACTCCGCAGTGATGCTCAAGCTGTGAGCAATGAAGGCGACATTCTCAAGATGCTCTGTACGTTTGTGGTCGCTGTGATAGAGTGTGAGGAAATTCGACCCAAGACGCTGTTTTGCTGTGTACTAATCTGCTTAGGGTTTAGCGTAGTTCTAATTTAGCCACGCTCATATTCTCTGAAGCCTCCATTCCTCAAACCTGAAACCGCTCCTACGTCTTGAGCAGCCCTGGCGCGTGTCTCAGTGACCCTCGAACGCTTTGTCGAAAACCTCAGCGGCTTGGAGTAAGAAGGCGTTTTTGGCTCTCAGGGCTTCGTGGAGACTAATATCGACACGGGCTACAGGCTTCTGATTCCTGACGAACGTCATGATTTGTGATACTGCTGCTGGTCACGATATCAATCGGAATTATTCATACTAGCGTATGAGGAGGAAAGTAATCGCAAATCGAGGTGAAATGAAAATCATTTAGGTGTTCTTTTCCATGTTATACGATCCTTTTGTTTACTACAAAGCCTCGGGTAACCTGCGATGAAGTCCGCATCTAATTTGTCGAAACCTCGCTTTGTAATTTCAATGTCATGGAAAAATATACAAGCTCCTCCAGCTAAGAATTAGACTCGCCGTAAAGGATGGCCCTTTGAAAGTATTTCAGAATCCAGCATCGGTCTTTGCTTGGCACTAACCAGTAAAACTCGCCACGTAAGTTTGGGCCTTGCTTCTATAATTTCCCTTTCGACATAGTAGCAGTCACCTGCTTCTTCTAATCTCATAAAATCTTTCTTATACGGTATATACCCCCAGCGATGCACTGTTTGATGGTCGAACCGCGAAACTGCGTCTTGTGCAACGCAGAGTTTCAGCCCTGTACGGCTTTCAGTCTGAGAACTATTTGTTATATCATAAATATTCAATCTGATTTCTGCTTCCTCATGTTCTTTTCTTTATGATCTTGAACATAACAATCACCTTGTTGGACAGATACTGCAATTCCTGAATTGGATAACATGACTCCCTATGTATTCTGGCTGGTTCCCTTTCTTTCACTCCTACGAGTGGCCCTGGCAATCTCAAACCCATCTCCATCAGTTTACGCAACATTGACGCAACCTTTCTATCCTCCGAATGCGAATTGTATAGAACTACGGGTACCAGTCACGATAAGCTATGAGCGTTTGACATTCAAATTCCCAGGCTGGAAGGATGACTTCGCGCTTCAGGACTTTCTCACTGCCGTGACTTCACGGGAAGGAGCTAATATTCCAAGTCCAATCACTGGTGCCATAAACGATACATCAAGTTATACCATTGCAGCCTCATTCTGTACTCCTAGACAGGAGGATCGCAAGAAGACCATCATTCTGGCAACGCATGGTATTGGACAAGCAAGAACGCACTGGAACTCTGCGTACGAACCGGATCAGTATAATTTTGTACAGTATGCCATAAGCAAGGGTTATTCAGTCTGGTTCTATGATCGCCTCGGACAAGGAGAGTCAGATACGTAGGAACATTACTCCCCAACCCACCTTCGGCATGCTGACATTGTATAATAGAGACTCTGGCTTTAAAACTCAGCTACGAACCCACAAGGCCATCCTCGTTGAGCTTGCATTGCTTGTGAAATCAGGAACTGTTACTGGCTCGTTTGGTGTGCCAGAAAAGCTGGCAGTCATGGGATTCTCCTTCGGTTCCTTCATCACACACTTTGCGATCGCCGAGAACCCAGGTCTCGCAGACGCTGCCATATTGACTGGCATAAACTACAACACAACCGGGCTCAATGCGAATGGTTTAGTTCGTTCATTTGTGCCGCGTATCGCATCTCTACAAAACCCAAGACGTTTTGGCACATTAGACCCGGGTTACCTAACGTGGGTTGATACGATCGCACAGATCAATACGTGAGTCTCAATAAGGTTATAAGAGGCTGATTTGAGTACTGATTGTGATTTAGATATTTCAAGTTCCCTTTCTACGACTTCCCGACTGCTTCCTACTGCGAGGAATTCAAACAGCCTTTTGCCATTGCCAAATTTCTCACATTAACGGACGGCGAATTCGATGCGAGTCAGTTCACTGGCGCTGCACTGGCGATCACGGCCAAGGACGATGTAAGTTGACGAATCTGATACTGATGTACCCTCCTTTTATATTTATTCATATTATCATAGTACATAATCTGCGATGGTGCATGTGAAGGTATCTTTGAGGAGCCGGCGCGTACACTCTTCAGAAATGCCAAGTTCACGCCGTATCTACATCCCAATAGCAGTCACAACTTCAACTTCCACTTCAATGCGACAGAAGCTTACAGGGTAATCACAGACTTCTTGGATGCAAGTGGACTATAGTTTTTCCACAATTTCATATTTAGCTATGTTATAATCAGCCATAGTTGGATCCATAACATATATTCGCATTACTTCAGCACGCAATGTGCATAGTCTACTGGAGATACCCGTGTGCCTGGAGCGTTAACACAGTCGATACGTACATGATCTGCGGAGTGTACAGAAGTTCAAGAGTTCAACCACAGATCATTGACAATCACCGGAAATACCTACAGACTCCAGTTTTAGATGACGGGGTAACGCGCCAATCATGAATGATATGCGTGTTGTGGTTTGCGAACAGTCAATGCACAATGGACAAACATGAGAACACAGCGCGGAATGCTATCTATGGATGATTTGTGCTTTAGCGCGGTTTAGAAAACGCCGTTTCTGCAGCACATAGCTCTTGAGAGTCATACATATCTGTGATAGTCTGACTCTGAGAACACGCTTAAGGTACTTCAAGTTATATTTCCTTGCAGGACTTCTCCGCTCATATCTACAGGTACTATGTCTCGGATAACCCAGAAGACGAACCTATTTCAGCTACCCGAAGTGACGTTTACGCAGCACTCTCAAGCTCATAGCTGACTTGTCTCTTGAAGCTGACCCAACATTGATTCCTCTATCTCTCAGACACAAACCTTCTATCGAAAGAATAGGCCCGGCAGCAGGTAGCCTAGCCACATCAGTATTGTCCTATTATCAAACATTAACAAGCTTCCTGTCGAATCCTTTACACCTAAAACTCTCCACATCCTCCGATTCGGTCAATAAAACCCTTGTAGAGGCAGATGAGCTCTTGCAACAGGATCCATGGGGCTGGGTCCAGCTCATCGTGGAAGGAGAAGACGAATTCTGCAACAGCACAATAGAATCAGGTATACCAACCTTCGGTGTAGAGATGCCACTCTCCAAAATAAGTTACAACGGACCACTACAAGACGCTTTGTTCTGTCTAGACTTTAGCCAACACCAAGGCACAGAGCATAAGGATGATCCTATATCGAGGGGCGGCAGACTAAATATGGACATTGACGATAGGCCTACGGTCAATGTCATTGAAGATGACTATTGTTTTTCAGAGAAAGGCGACCACTCTCCAGAAGACACAACTAGTAGATCGATTCATCGCCTCGTCCACGTGTGCTTCCTTGAACACATCTTCCGCCTCTACCTCAAAACAATCGACGGCTAAAAGTCTCATAATGACTTGTTTTTGATATGTATCCTAACACTGATCTCGCTTATAAGTATAGGTGAAATTCGTCATATGAGCGTGCGAGCTCTATCGGGTAATTTGGCTGTTATAGAGTGAAACAAGGATACATGATACGTCTGAAATTCTCCGCATTCAGTTACCAATGATTGGGAATCGGCAGATGAGCCTTGCTCCAAGTGCAAGAATTGTATCATGATGTCTGCTGACATGGTTGGTACAAAGCCTGCCAAAACTCGTCTGAAGAACAAATGGGTATTTCGGGAACAAGACAGCAGCTGTGTTGATGGAGAGAAAAAATTGGGGCGATCATGGAGGATACTCCTACGAATTAGCTTTGAACCATACCACTAAGTGCGTATACAGAGCCAGGGACTAGTCAAAATACAACGCTTGTAATGACATGGTAACACGCTACTTACCATATTGTCAAGTCGTGTAGTCTAGCCATCATTATACGCGCCCATAGTTAGGCGCCTAAACCACGTCATAAGTGGAGCGAACTTATATGATTAGCCCTGGATAACTCCATTAAGCATAAACCCCAAGCAGATGGGCCCAGTATAGACCCTTTGTAATCAATAGCGCTATGCACACTGCACACTGCACACTGCACACTGCACACTGCACACTGCACTTCGCCGTATGCAATGTAGAAACGCCTGCTACCCTACCATGGCGTCAGTGTGGAACGCGGACATGCTGCGTGGTATATGCTGTCTGCATGCAGTGAGAGTGCTCGTTCGTACGACATCGTCCTTAACGGTGTAAAGTTTAGTATATGCTGGCTGTACTGGTTGCAGTCTGTGTTGTGGGGATGTGCAAGGATCTAGATAAGGAAGGGTAGGCCAAATACCTGCTAGGGTCCACCTCACTCTATAGTTCTATAGGAAGTCTGGAAGTCCGTTCTCAAGACTCGCTTGATGCCGCTGCATGCGGCTAAGCGATGAGCTTAAGTTAACGAGAACCAAAATGACGAACGCAAAGACTGGCCTGTCCTTGTGACTCCAGACCATGACAGTTGACCAGTTGGGAAATTGTTGAGTCACAGTTTTGTAGATTACAAATAAGATGTTGGAAAGGCAGCGCTAGGTATCCTTAGGCTGCTGCAGGCAACAAAGAAGTTTAATCGGACGAATCTCTCCGGAGTACGTACTGATCGACGTAAAAGCCCATAAGTTCCGCATGGCGAGTAGATTCTGATGAAAAGTATACTTTGTAGCCGTTATTGAATACCTAGACAGGACAGCGATTACGATTAGGACAACAACACCAAAACACACAGTGAGTGGATGTTCATCGCTTGGTATCTACCCTGTCCATGATTCGTCACCCCCGGCCGGATCCGGCATGGCCATGCAAATTCTCCGTCAACTCTATCTCCTGCCCACGACGGAGTGCTATGCACGACAGCGTACTGAAAACCCTATAGACGAATCGAATTCAACTGTACGGCGGCTACGGCGATGTCTGCTATCAAGAACGTGATCTTGCTTGGGGTCTGTCATCTTGGGAATGCCGACAGAACGACAGGAATCATGCAACTGACGACAGCGACAGGCTGCAGGCGATCTTGGCAAATACATCTATGCCGCGCTGGTAGATGCAGATTTTGATGTAACAGTAATTTCGCGTCCAGAGTCCAACAGCATCTATCCTGCCTCTGCACGCGTTATCAAAACCGAATATAGCCTTGAAGGTCTGACCGAAGCCTTTCGAGGCCATGATGCTGTCGTCAGCTCTATTGCTGTACCTGCTGCTTTTGCTCAGTTCGTCATGATTGACGCGGCTATAGCTGCTGGGGTCAAGCGGTTCATCCCGAGCTACTTCGGCTACGCAGTAGACAAAACACCGCTACCGGAAATGGAACCTTTCAGTGCCCCGAAAACAGAAGTGCTAAAATATCTCGAGGACAGGGTTGTTGCTACTGCCGAGCCCGGCCTCACCTACAGTAGTGTCGCATGTGGCGTATTTATCGACTGGGTAAGTCGTGGGGCATCTGCACAACCGGCATTCCATTTCCACGTCGGGATTGACAGATAATGTAGGCGATGAAAAAATTTCCCGTCATCGGTGGCTATCAGAAAGAGCGCCGAATGAACATATTCGACTCCGGGAATGCAACTTTCACGGGTACTACGATGGAGGGGATTGCGACATCTGTCGCCGGTATCCTGAAGAATCCAGGACCAACAGCAAATCGCCATGTCAAGGTCCGCTCTATTCAGACATCCCAAAACGAAATTGTTGCGGCATTCGAGAAGGTCACTGGCCATGAATGGACCAAAACATACCTTGACAGTGAAGAAACTTACGCAGTGGCTAAGGAGAAGTTAAAGGTTAATGATCGGTCCGCTATCCTCGATCTGCTCTCTGTAGTACTCTTTCGAGACGGTGGTGGACAAGGTATCGTAGCATCGAGAGAAGCGTCGGACAATGAGATGGTTGGACTACAGGAAGAAGATATTGAAACAATAGTCAGGCGCGTTCTGAATCCCAACGAGCTCCCGATGTGAAGTCATGGGAATCAAGCTGAAAAGCAACCCAAAGTCGCTCTAGGCTACATCTGCGAGGCTGAATACATCAGGTAGTTTTATGGGTCTATGTGGGTAAGATGTGTGCACCGGCCGCTGTTGGTGTCAGCAGAGCCTGGGAGCTACGGGACGAATGAGAGGGTCCAATATAGCTATACGACATCGTTCTAGAAATCCGATTGCGTCTTTCTGGCGATATGGCAAGATAAGACAAGGTGTGGCGCCTGGCATAGACGAAGTGAGTACGATGCCTGAAATTCATCTTAATAGCTTACGTCGACCGCTGGTCAAGAAGTATGTCTTGGCAATTCCAAAGCCAGGGTAGTACGCCGTTCTCGTATCGGCAGCCTAGGCATCAGACGCCATGACAAGTGCGATTTTGTTGTAGACGCCTGGGCGGGGGAACGCTGTTTAGGGACTACAACACCGGAAAGATCTGAGTATCATGGTGAGTTTGCTTTGTGGAGACCTCACAGATAGGTCACGCAGCCCCGGGTGGACGATTCGCCTAAAGCGCCGATTCCATCGACAGACGCGTGGAGACTGACATGGGAATGCTGGTCCTAGTCTTTCTGAGGCTGGCTGCATTTGATAAGGCAGTGAAGTGTAGCTGACCGCTCAGAATCCTTACAATGCTGCAGTATCCAGGCACGGCAGAAGGTTGGAGAGATGTCACCTGTGGAGGATGATGTTGGTGAGCAAAAGCAACACTATCAATGATTGGTGTTGAATGCCAGGTCGTCTGGTGCATGAAGAGATGATGCTTACACCTACCCCTGAAATCGGAATTGTGAAGCGAGTATATACAGACCAGCCTGCGTACGGTCTAGTGTGTCCATGTCCATGTCGCTCCACGTGCCGCTTCACGCTAGTTTTAAGCAGAGACTCGCCGCTGCCTGGGCCCGTGCACGTCCCGACGTCCCGACGCGCGCCAAGATGGATCGATCCCCTTGCTCTCGCCACCACATCCGACAGGTTCCAATGTTCACCGACAATCAACATGCTAATCAAGCTCGCTTGGGATACACCAACTCTCGATGCCAAATTGCCCATTGCCTTTTCTTCGCCGGTGACCCCTACGCGCGATATGGCTAATTGTCAGCCTCTAAGACTTGTCGCGGTAGTCCGTCCATGACTTCAAATATCCTAGGATGGACTTCTGCATGCATAAGCCAATGGGTGATCTCTTTCGCTTGCATTCCAACAGTCCTAGAGCAAATCAGAAATCCAAGGCTGAGCTATCTTTAGAACCAGACGCCAAATGCCGTTCGGATGTCTATTCGTTCAGCTGCTCCACACGGTAGTGATATGTTTTTTCTTTCCAGATTCCGGACTGCCGTTGTTGGGTCGTGTTGGCAGCGACCCGAAAACTGGCCCCATTCCCCATGGATTTCCTCATATTATCGACCAGGATATGCGGCTGTCAATACTCCATACTGGGCCCTTTAGCTTTTTTAGCTAGCAGTCATTTCCCATTCGTCATTCGACTAGGTCATGCCCCAGGATTCATTGTCTCCGTCCACCCAACAAGCGTTAGTCAGAAGACCAATCCGATCCTAGCAAATACGAATACTCTTTTCTGTACCGGGAATATGGACTTGAAGGCTACTTGGCGGTATTGTCATAATCACGCGCTACAAGTGTTGTACATCCGTTCAGCTGGTCTCTCCTTCCTCATCAACGCGATTATCGTTAAAGGGTTAAGCAAGTTCCTACGTACACGCCAGCTGGTTAGCGTTTTTATCTCTATTACAGGGTGGCTTCGAGCACGAATGACTCGTAGCCGACCGTAGAAATGCGGATCATCTAGGTGTCGAGTCCACCAGTACAGATAAGCTTACTTGAGTATCCACTCTCTACCCTTGGCTGCAAGGTCAACTCAACCTTACGGAAGTGCTAATATCAATTATCACCGTACGATATCCTAGCGTCCAATGCTCCCTGTGGTCAAGAATACTTACTGTGATATTTCTTGGCAATGCCTGATTGGGCTTGTCCTCCTATCACCCAATCAACACTGGCGTTTGAAAGCAAGATCGAAAATCCCAACATCAGCCATAGTTCAATATCTGTATTAACGCTCGACTTTCAACTTAAAGCTCTTGGATGCGTACGCCCTGGTTCATCATGGGTTTTGAATGGTCGAACTGTGACCTAGGGTAGGAACATTTACTGGAGCCACCTTCTATACCCTGCATCAAGCATCCCTGGAATCCATGGATTATTGACCATCTAGAAGACCATCTCACAGGTACAAATATACTCTGTAGGATTGTACAAGACATTAACCAGGGTCCTTCACCTTATTTGACCCAATACGCAGGTACCGCGTAGCCGCTAGACGCCACAAGGATGTTGTCTCTTACTTTCAATAACGCCCTCACGCGACGACTATTCTTAATTGTGGATATGCCCGGCATGTGTTGCATTTGGCTTTTGCTACCATGTGTAGACTTGGATGTTGATGTTGCATTGTCATTGCCATGCTAGCCGTAATAGTCCACCTGTCAGGCTCGAAGGATGCTGTACGTACCCCGATATCTTGCATACTGTCGTCGCATACTGGGCCCCGAGCAAATGCAAGCAACATCACCGATCCAAAAGCAATGCCAGTCTCAAATGAGACTTCACTCCGAAGGACCATGGGTTCTGCTCACAAGACAGCACTACTGAGAAGTATAAGAGCTCGAACAGTTTCGCGTATATTCCAACTTATCATCCAGTCACCCTTCAGTATCACTTTTAATTAATTAATTCACTTCTTTCTCTTATTCTAGCTCCGTAATATTTCTTCCTCGGTACAGTCTTGTTGACTCTGTTGTTTCTCCCATGAAGCACTTCTTCGCATTTGCGGCTTTCGTAGCTGGGGTAGCTGCATTGCCACAAGTCAAAAGAGCAGCCTGTGCTGGCAATGATGCATCCGACCGCTCTGTTTGGTGTGATCTCGACATTAACACGAACTTTTACTCCACTGTTCCAGACACGGGAGTAACTCGCACATACTCTCTCACAATTGCAGAGGCGACAGCGGCACCTGATGGATTTGATATGCCAGTCATGCAGGTCAATGGACAAATACCTGCTCCCCCAATCATTGCGGACTGGGGCGACTTTGTTGGTGCGTTTGCATCCCATTGACAAAATGATAAGCATACTCACTGACGCTTGGTAGAGGTACATTTGGAGAATCAGGTAGAGCTACAAGGTGCCAGCATTCATTTTCACGGTCTTCACCAAAAGGGTACCTTCCAAGATGATGGTGTTCCCGCCATTACTCAATGCCCTCTTGCTGTAAGTACCATCATTATCATACTCCTCATTGCTCAAATTAGACTAATTCACATAGCCGGGTGACAACATGGTCTATAGGTGGCGAGCGACCCAGTACGGAACGAGTTGGTATCATTCCCATTTCTCAATGCAAGCGTGGAATGGCGTTTTTGGTGAGCAGGATGGGATTGTTCCTTCTTTCAGCGATACTAATATTGAAAGGTCCCATCATAATCAACGGCCCTGCGTCGGCTAACTACGACGAAGATCTTGGCAGTATCATCTTGAGTGACTGGAGTCATATCACCGCAGACGAGCAACAAGCGATTGCCAACACCAACCCAGTCATATCCCAGACTAATGGTTTGATCAACGGCACGAATGTGTGGGAAGGACCTGACGGCACAGTCGGTAAACGTTTCGAGACTGTATTTGAAGCTGGGAAGTCCTACCGGATACGCCTCATCAATTCTGCCATTGATTCGTTCTTTACTTTCAGCATTGATAGTCACAAGCTGAAAGTCATTGCCTCGGACTTTGTTCCCATCGAGCCGTATGAAACTGATTCGGTCATGATCACCATGGGCCAAAGATATGATATTATCGTCGAAGCTAACCAGGAGCCGGGCGACTACTGGATGCGATCTCTACCTGGAACATGCTCATTTTCTGACAATCCTCAAAATATCAAAGGCATAGTCCGCTACGACAGTTCCAGCACCGCTGACCCAACAAATTCTACAGCAGCCACTCAGCAAGCTTGTCATGACGAAGACCCGGCACTTCTCACGCCCATTGTAAGCGTTGATGTCGGCGATGCGACGCAAGTCGAAAATCTTGCTGCCACTTTTTACCAAGATCCTGAGAATGGATGGTTCAAATGGCAAATCGGAAACACCACAATGGTTGCACCCTGGGAGCAGCCGTCTATCAAGTCTGCATTCGAATCTGACTTCTCTTTCACGGAGCAGGAGGCTGTTATTCATCTACCAAATGCCAACCAGTGGGTCCAGCTTGTGCTGACCCAGGCCGGGCCTTTCAATCCACCGCATCCTATCCATCTCCACGGCCACGATTTCCATATTCTTGCTCAGGGCGCTGGTACGTTCACAAACGATACGCCATTGAACAAGGTCAATCCACCACGAAGAGATGTTGCAACTCTACTGGGTACTGGATACTTGGTCATAGCCTGGCAGCTTGACAATCCTGGCATTTGGCTAATGCATTGCCATATTGGTTACCACACCTTCGAAGGGTTCGGCTTACAGTTTGTCGAGCGCCAGGATGAAATCGGTGATCTTATTCGCGGAGATGAGATGTCACAAGTGTGCGATAACTGGGACAGTTTTGTGGCGGAACATGGAATTGTTCAAAATGAGTCCGGCATTTGATTTCGGAATTTGTGCACTGTCTCGCTTGTCGTAGCTGAGAACTGAAGAGGTTCCCAAAGTCTCCCATGTCTCGCAGTCGACGAAGTATAATCTCTTGGATGGGTAACGACGTCAATCCTTGTCCAGTTTCCTTGTTTTGTTCCTTTTGTTTGATATTCCTAGGCTGATCAGCAAGCTTTTCATATTTGTATATATGTTCTACGTCATAATTCTGATTCATGAATAACTAAGCTATCTTGCTATCCATGTCATTAATCTGGCGCCGCTTTGGAGGAGAAGAACTTTGGAAGTGTTGCTGGACTACTGTTCTGTCACTGTAGCATGACCGCCAATCTCTGTGTAGTAACGGATAGCCACGGTGAACAATGCTCTATGTATGACCACATAATGCGCTAGAGATCAAGTTGTTATAAAAGTCGTGAATGCCTTGCTAACGCGACACTAGAAGGCAATTCACTTGCTAGTTGTACAGAGCGTTCTACTGCTACGGAGCAGCGGTATTTCCTAATGAAGATCGCCGTCGAAGCTCATGATATTCTGAGGTCCGCTTTTTATGGTACATGACTACGATTTCTTTGGTATCGCAGACATTGAATCTGCAATTGACAGCCCTCAGAGTTGGCGCTGCTTACGAGCTGTTCGTCCAGTGGCTCAATATCAAATTTGCAAACAATAAAAGACTTAAAGGGCACAAATATGCAATCGCTTGGGCGGAGGACACGAACTACGATATATTCGCAACTACAAGAGACAAGCAATCGCTAGGAGCCCATAATACAGAGCCAATTGACGTCAATAGTGCTTCGGGCCCGAGAGCCATGAGTCGCAAGGATGCACCTGGATCCTCCGAGTTCTACAGCGCTCCAAATGCCGCGAATTACCTGGTAGTTTCAATCCCATGCTCATCAGCCAGCTATTCTGGGAGCAGCCAGAACCATGTGAAGGCTTTGCCATGGCACAGGTTGGATGTGTTCCTGAAATTTGCAACGAGTTCATCAATGCTGTTCCCGAACATGTCACCACTGTGGACATTGACTCTAGGCTCTTGGGGTTGCATATTGACAAGATGCTCACTGACCAGCTTGAAGTAGCTCGGAAGGAATTAAGGCTGGTTGTCAAGACAAGGTCAGCCACCCAATTACCCATAACCTTTATTACAACAATACGATTCAGAAAAGGCGCGCAAAAAAGCAAAGAGCAGATCTTATGCATAGCCTCAGGGAGTCGACGGTAGACTCCCCAATACCTGAACCATACCTAGCCTACGTACCCATATGGAAATGCAACTGGAGGCCAAGCCTCTACTTCGTATGTAGATGTCTCGTATTATGGCCAAGGGATGGGCATTTGCGTTAGATAGACCCAGAGAAGCTGCAATTGAACTTGGACAACAGAACCGAGGTAGATATTGACGTCTTTTCTGCTGAAGATGCGCTTGATAGCCAAGCTACATACTACAAGGTGAGCTGGTACCTGGCACCTAATGATATACGTACGTTTGCAAACACTGACATGCTCTAGGACGAGATGCAGTACTTCATCGATGTAGTCACTAAGCAATTCATCGAGAGATATATCATAGCAAGTTGCCGCGGAACTTTTTGTCGCCCAACCATGTAGCTGGTCTCGAGACTATACGCCAACGCAGCAGCTCGGAGAAGAGGAAGGCAATGTTGGAGCACGGCTAGGAGACATTCCGCCTATCGATGGGAGGGAGGAGTACAGTGAGTGAAACATTATGTCAATGCGGCGACGATGGGCGTTGTGTATCATTTAGTTGTGGTATTTGCAGTGCCTTGCTCACATGATCGCGGTTATTGGTCTCATTGTAGCGAACCATGTTGACCGGATTGGCGATATTGCAAGAGCTTCTACTGAAAGAGATATGAAGGAGGAGATAAAGAAAGGGACTTGGGAGACTCGAACGATACGGTCATCGACGTAGGCATGGAATAGCCAATATGCGATATATGGTAAATAATGAAATCGTTGCACCTGAGGTTGGGATGGTTGTTCAATTAATACGTATAACACTGCTCGCTTGGTTAAATACCGGGCTCGGCTGCAAGGCTGCCTGCTCACTGCCCAGGCCAGACGCCTCAACCGTCTTCCTCCGAATCGTCTTCCGGCGTTGCTCCACTATTTCCCAAAGCTCGAGCTAGTCTACACTTGCACTTTACTTCCGTTCGATTTAACACCTCGCAGTTCGTAGTAGAGGAATGGTTTGATACACGGTTACATATCCATCATCTTGCGTACTCAAATCTGTTCACAAGACTTCACAGCACAATTGTGAGACTCGAACAATCATCCATACTTCTATTGTAGCGGCGTACTAATAATTGGCCTCTAGGTCCATCTGTCCTCTTTGGACATCAAAGCTCACTCTACTCCACCATTGGTCCCTTCAGTCACGCAAATTCAAATCTCGAAGCCTCACCTCGTCGGTATAATTGAACATGGCATCATCCCTCTCTCCCGCTGAACAACTCCAAGCTCAGGCCGATGCTGAAAAAGCTCATCGTGTCACTGTCGAAGACGTTCCAGATGAGGATGACAACATCGGGAAGTCATCCACGGATGCATCCTCTTCCTCTTGGGCTGCACCTATGTCCGAGAAGGCTGCTGGTAAGAAAAAGGCTGCCGAAACGTCTCTTAATGTTAAGGACGACAAGGCATTCCCGTCTTTAGGTTCTGCCTCGAAAGGTCCAGCGGTCAATTCCTCCACGAACATGAACTGGGGCAAGCAGAATGGCATCAATGGCGCTGCGGCGAATACTGCTCCTCGTAGCTCCGGTGCACCGACTCTTCAAATGCCTGGACTGCGCCCTGCTGGCCCTGGACTCGTTCTTCCCGGTCGTCATCAGGAAAGCATTGATTTGACTCCAAGTCAAATGCTCCCTCGCCATCAAATGAAGAAGCCTATTAAGGATACTCTGAATGATATCAATAGGACTTCTAAGGCCAAGGTCACTATGAGAGAGGTTGGCGGTAAATACAAGTTCGAAAGCCAAGGACCAACCGTCGACGATGTGCGCAACGCCTTGAGACAAGTTGCCCGAGAGCTGGGCACCAAGGTGTGTCCATTTTATATTCGATTTGAATACTGTATTGACTTTGATTCAGCAATCCCTCAAGATCCCTGTACCAGCTTCGATGAGACAACACATTATCGGAAAAGGAGGCGCTGTCGTTAATGGAATCAAGCAAAAAAGTGGAGCCAATATTCAATTGCCCAAGCAAGACGCTGTCAATACCGAAGACGAGGACGCAGAGGTTGATATCCTCATCGAAGGTGATCCTGTCGGTGCCGAGCTTGCTCGCCGGGAGATACAGAATATCATCAACGAAAGGGAAAAGAATACATCTGTCAACTATCGCCTGAAGGATATTCCCGCAGAATTCTACCCATTCCTGTCTGGTCTGTCTCATCCTCATGGACCCGCTGGACCCGGTGAAAACATCATCCAAGTCAAAATCCCTGACTACTACCACTACCACGCTACTCCTCCGCCACAACAGTCGGCCGATGGAAGGTTTGCGTTTGCAGCTCAGCCAAACCACCCGATCCAGATCAGTGGGCGTCGTCCAGCTGCGCTCCAGCTCCGTGGGGAGCTTGAACGTGAAGTAGAGAGACTTAGGCAAGAGCTGGCAGTCAAAGAAGTTACTATTGAGAAAGCAAAGCACCGCTTCATCGTCGGCGAACATGGTGTGCCACACCATGACTTCCTTGAAGAGACTGGCTGCACCGTTATCCTACCACCACACCACGAAGACTTGGACGTAGTCTACGTCATAGGCCCTAGCAACCGCTTGGAGGGCGCTGAAGAGAAGGCGTGGGATCTCGTGGACTCGATGAGCATGACTGCGGTTGATGTGGCCAAGCAACATCGTCAGGCAAACCCGACCGCTGAGCATGCACGTGGTCTCTTCCAATACCTCCGCCAACGACAAATCATCGAGGAGCTGGAGAGGCAACATGAAGTTTCAATTGTCCACCCCTCGACTCAGCCGACAGCATGGAATATATATGCCAGATCTGGAGCAAAGTCTGCACGACTGGTAAACCAAGACTTGGTGTCTTTGATAGCAAGTCACCCTCCGTCCCGCATCAAGAGTATACCTGTAGATCCGTTCTATCTGCCACATCTTCGTAGCCGGGTGGCTCCTCGTATCAGAGAAGATCATGGTGTTTTCCTTGCCTTACCCGAAGAATTCCAAGAACAGCCAGAACTTGTTTTGGTGTACGAAGCATCCGAGCCACCTTCTGATTACAATGTCCCTCGTGGTCAGCCAGGTACTGAAGTTGCCGCGAAGTTCGCACAGGCGCTTCAGCAAGCACAACAAGAAATCGAGAGCATCATTGGTGGCCACAAAGCAGTACAATCGCAGGAAGTAGATGCTCCATCCAAGTTCCATGACAAGATACGCCGTTACGTGGCGAAAGAGCAACAGAGCCTACCTGCCACGCAGGTTCCGATCCAGGTACTCCTAGCCAATCAACGGGCCCAGAGAGCTGCGGCTCAACAGAACACGTTTAGTGGTCTCTCCATGCGTGGTCCACAAGATACACTACCCGCAATGTACGCTAAAGTTCTAGAATTCATCAAGCAGGAGGAGAAAGACGAGCTTGCTCGGGGCTATGTCACGAGCTGCGACTTTCCCCAGCAGTATGTGAAGATGCTTGTTGGACAAGGTGGACGTAACATCATCAAGTTGCGTGAGGACTTTGATGTCGAGATCAATGCCCAGCAAGAGGGCAAAGTGGAATTCAAGGGTCCTCAGGCCAAAGCCGAAGCAGCCAAGGCTCATGTTCTGTCTGAGCTGAAGAGATGGAAGGACCAGGCTACTCACGAGATGACCGTAGCGCCAGAGTTTCACGCCTTGTTGATTGGAGCTGGTGGTCAAAATGTCAACAGATTGGCCGATCGCTATGGCGTTCGCATCAACTTTCCCAAATCAAAAGATAGCAAGATGGACGATGCAGCGTCTGTGTCTGAGGCCGGTGACAGGAAGCGTTCACAGGCACCGCAGGCGGCAAACAAGGTGATAATTACCGGGCCTCTAGCTGGTGCTGATGCGGCTAGAAAAGAGTTCGAGGACCTCTTGAAGTTTGAGGTGGATCACTCTCACACAGCCACGATACCAGTGCCCAGAAGCCGAGTTGGCATGCTTCTCGGTCAAGGGGGACGCGAAGTAGAGGAAATCCGACGGGAGACTGGAGCACGAATTGATGTGCCGAAGCCGGATCCCGAGGCCGACCCGAACAGCAAAGTCGAAATCACTGTGAAGGGCACGAAAACTGCAGTTGAGGCCGCCAAGAAGCTTCTCACAAGCCGAGTTAAGGTTTTGGAGAATACGGTTACTAGGACTATTAACGTGGATAGTGCCCATCATAAAGCTCTCATTGGGAGCGGAGGTGAGTTGATGGACAAGGTTGCGGTCAAGATGAAATCTAACAAGCATGCAGGTGCAAACATCCGTGACATTGTCATCAAGGCGGGTGGGCCTGAAGACCGGCGAGGGATCACCCGTATGGTCCGCTTCCCAAACGCCAACACGGACGGCACCGAGATCCGGGTCGAGGGCAGAAAAGAAGTTGTTGACAAGATCGTTGCTGCCATCCAGGAGATTGCAGCGTCTCGTGACAGCCAGGTAGAGGAAGTTCTTGAGGTGGATAAGGACAAGCATCGTCTTCTCATTGGCCGTGGCGGTGAGAAACGTCGCAGCCTTGAGTCTCAATTCGAAGTCTCACTTGATATTCCCAAGGTAGATGTGGAGGGCCCAGCGCGGAACCGGGTCAGGATTACTGGACAGCCCGATGCAGTGAGCAAGGCCAAGGAGCATATCCTTGAGCTTGTGAAAGGTCAAGAAGGGGAGACAATCCAGGTACCGCACCACCTACACCATGTTCTTGCCGACAACAACAACTTTTTCCGTGTACTTCGCAACAATCACAAAGTGCGTGTTGATCACGGTGGTCAGAAGCCGCCGCAGCGACCAGCAGTAAGCACGCCTGCAACGGCGAATGGAGGCAACTTGCCACTAATCACAGACGACGTGAACGGGTCGGGAGAAATGCCTTATCGGTGGTCAATATCGGAGCCAGCAGTTATCGAGACGTCGGACGAGACGATCCCGTGGATCTTGATAGGGCCATCAGCGGAGGAAGTCGCCAAGGCCAAGCAGTTGATTGAGAGCAAGCTGGCCAACGCTCCAAGTGGTGGCAGTGTTACAGGACATTTGGCGCTACCCGACTCACGATCGTATGGAAGCATTGTCGGACCAGGCGGAAGCAAGATTAACAGCCTGAGGAAGCAGACGGGGACGCAGATCCAGGTCCCACGCAATGGGTCGGATGCGCCAATTGAGATTACAGGGAGCAAAGAGGGAGTGGAGAAGGCGAAGAGTCTTATAGTGGAGCTTGTTGGACAAGGCCAGAGGCGTGAGTAGAAGGGAAGCTCGGGGTGTAGATGAAAAAGAAGAAGATGAAGATGATGAGTACAAAGCGACGAGTTGCGGAAATCTTACGGCCTGGATATGACAGTGACGCGCGTGTTGCTCAATCCCAAGCATACATATATGTAGACAGCATATACCCACCTAGGAGAGATCAGAAAGCGATCAAAAGTTGTTTGCAGATATATATTATACAAGTATATCATTATTTAGCCCTATACCTACCTGTATGGGGATGGAAAAGATTAATGTCATCATCAACTGTTAATAATACTACTCCATTGCTATTCATGACGGGCATAGATAATAGTGGTGTTGGCTAGGCGGCACAGTAGGACGAACGTAAGCACCAGCCAGCCCGTGCAGAGGCCGCGGTAGTGCCAGCGAAAGGCCGGTACTGGTACACACTACAGGGACAAGGACAGGGACAGGGACAGACCAGTTATTTTCATTCACGTTAGCGCACAGTTCTGTCGTAAGAGATCCTCATCCTCTCTCAGGTGTATTAGTAGCTTGAAGGGTTGTCGTTGATATTATTGTCGTGGTCCATGGTCAACAGTGGTTGATTTCGTGGGTGGTTATGCGCGTGTACAGATCAGCAATCAGTGATCAGCGATTCCGATGAGATGCGATGCATGCGGGACGGGACGACTGAGACACAATGGTCATCCAACAATTAATTACAGTGACATTGTCTATGACACAAAGGAGCGGGGCACATGGGAAAGTTGGCGGTTTTACCCTCTTTGCTGTAGTGGTATTTCTAGTAATTAGATCTGTGCCATACCGCTTTTTCTGTCATTATCCATGCGTCTGTCTGCCCCCTGCCCTTGGCCTGCCCTGGCCGTACAGCAGTAGGTAGGGTCTGTCAGGTTCAGGCTGTGCCCTGTGACAAAGCGAAGATACGTATTGCATATATATGCAAATAGAGATATAGGTATATGAGTGTTCGAAGAGTAGGCTGATGGCCAACGATGCTGCTGATGCTGACCTACATAGGTGGCCTGTCCAACTAGCTATCTTGCCGGGGCTTTTGGGTGCTCGTTCACCTTCTGTTGTTATTTCGCACTCCGAGCCCCGTAAGTTGATTGATAATTAGTGACACGATTGGAATTGTTATGGATTGTGTTGGGAGTAGAATATCATTGCAGCTGGATCACCATATTTTCGTTCTTCTTGTCTTTCTTTGCTTGTAAACCTGTAGTACCGCAACGCCAATTTTCTTACCGCGTGCTCACTCACTCACTCACCACTCACCTACCACTGACCATTCACCAAACTCCACTCACCACTCACCAGCTTACCAGCTCATAGCTAACCCCCTCCTTTGACAGTATCCATAATCTTCTTCCTGCTGTTTCTCTTCCTCTTCGTCAATATCATCATCTCTCGTTGCGTCTTGCTCGAGATTTGTGCGCCTCCTGGTGCCAACAAGCTGTGTGGTCTCTGTCTTTTGCGGGCACTGACCCTGGTCCTTCTCCCGGTCGCTCATCCTATCCTTCGATCCATCCTGCACATCCCGCTACGAATCGCCACTAAGTCACTACTGCATTTACGCCACGAACCTCGCCTCGTACTGCATTCTCCTCTATTGCTCTACGTGCACCGCTCTCGCATCTCCACAACCTTCACCGGAGCGCTTCCTTCGACCTTCTCGAGCTGTTCGTGCTGTCTCGACTCTCACACTCCCTTGGATTATCGCTAATCAATCGCGTCCTACCTTACGATCCACTCTGGTAAACTTCCGCTCGTCGTCCGAGACCGCAACCCTCCACATCACAAAGCAGTTCACCAGCTCATGGTGACCACGCCCTAGGTCCGAGTGTCCCAACGTGGGCCTGCCTTGTACTGTTTGCTTCCTTGGGCGTTTCGGTTCATGTTGACTATTTGCGGATTGAGCACCACTACCGCCAATCTCCATCATCTGTAACATTCTATTCGATCCCTTCCATACATGTCTTCGACGGAGAGCTCAGGCGACAGCAAGCCACCACAACTCTCCAACGCTACCGATGACACCCCGACCGATCCTTCTACGGAGCAACCTACGCCCGCGGATGATATGACAGGAGAAGAACAAAGGAGGAGGGCTGGCTCGGTGGCCTACTCGCCAGGGGGCCGAGGTGCAGAGCCACTGAACATATTGAGTCCAGGTGCCACAGATCGCGTCTTTCCAATACGCAGTGTTGTCTCCATGGACCCGACCCCAACGCCCACACAACGGCCAGACAGAGGAGAATACTTTCCGTCGGCAAGTGCAGCCCGAGCAAGAGGACATTCAGAGAGCTCTGGATCGACGAGATCGCGCAAGCCAAGCGGGGATCTGAGCGGGCCCGGGAGTGTACTGGCAAAAGGTGGCATTCCAGATCTACCCAGTCCAGTAGGGGAGAACCCAAAAGTTATGAGACCGAGAGATGCTACCGCATTGAGAGCACCACCGCAGGTCTTCAGCGATTTCAATTCGACACGCTCGAATGATAGTGGCAGTGTTGGAGATCCGGGCGATTTTTCGCTGATTTCTGGAGGTGCGTCAACCAGGAGCAACAGGAGTACAAGAAGCGCTGCAAATGATGAACTTGGAGGACTAGTCACGGCAAGATTCAAGCACGTTGTGACCGATGGCGGCCATGCCATTGTCACTGGTCGCGATGGCGAAACGCTGCAAAGATGCGAGGACGAGCCTATCCAGATTCCCGGTGCCATCCAGGGATTTGGTCTGTTGATTGCATTGCAGGAAGATCCAGGCACCGGCAATCTTCTCGTGCGCATTGTGAGCGAGAATTCGAAGCGAATACTAGGCTGGACTCCCAAACAACTGTTCGCACTCGAGAACTTCTGCGACATCTTATCTGAAGAGCAAACGGATAACCTCTTGGATCATATAGACTTCATTCGTGATGAAGATACCGATGTAGAGACGAACGGCCCCGAGGTCTTCACCATGGCCATCAAAGCCCCTGAAGGTCGTGCGCGGAAGCTTTGGTGTGCAATGCATTCCAACGACAGAAATCCAGGGTACATAATATGCGAATTTGAGCTGGAAGACGACGTCAGTAACCCCTTGGTCCCTAACAACAATCAAACCCCAGATCTCCCCGAGGATACGTTATCAAGTAATCCCACGGAAGAAGAATACTTGGAAAGCACGCAAGTCTGGAGTCGGCCGTTACGTGTGCTAAGAAGCGCTAGAAAACGCAAGGGAGAGGCCGCAGCTATGGAGGTTTTCAATATCATGTCACAGGTACAGGAGCAGCTGGCCACCGCGCCAAACCTAGAGAAATTTCTGAAAGTCTTGGTTGGTGTGGTCAAGGAGTTGACTGGCTTTCACCGAGTCATGGTCTACCAGTTCGATGCTGCCTTCAACGGCAGAGTAGTCACTGAATTGGTCGATCCGCGCGCAACTAAGGACTTGTACAAGGGTCTCAATTTCCCCGCGAGCGATATACCCAAACAAGCTAGAGATATGTACAAGATTAACAGGGTCCGACTCTTGTACGACCGCGATCAAGAGACAGCAAGGCTTGTTTGTCGTACGCTCGAGGACCTGGAGAATCCTCTCGACCTTACGCATTCATATCTTCGCGCCATGTCTCCAATTCACATCAAATATCTCGCTAACATGGCTGTTCGGTCCTCAATGTCCATATCAATCAATGCATTCAACGAGCTCTGGGGCCTGATTGCTTGCCATTCTTATGGGCCGAGGGGCATGCGTGTGTCTTTCCCAATACGCAAAATGTGTCGTCTAGTCGGTGATTCGGCGTCGAGAAACATCGAACGACTTTCGTATGCATCGAGGTTACAAGCCCGCAAACTCATCAACACTGTGCCTACGCAGCACAACCCATCTGGCTACATTATTGCTTCGTCAGACGACCTCTTGAAACTATTCGATGCTGACTATGGATTATTATCCATACGGGACGAAACGAAGATCCTGGGTCATCTTGAACAGACACAGGAATGCTTGGCCATGCTGGAATATCTGCGCATGAGAAAAGTAACGTCTGTAACTACCTCGACAGACGTGAAATTTGACTTTCCAGACTTGCGATATCCGCCTGGATTCTCTGTCATCGCTGGTATGCTGGTAGTACCACTTTCTGCGAGTGGTCATGACTTCATCGTCTTTTTCAGAAAAGGTCAGCTCAAGGAGGTCAAATGGGCCGGGAACCCATATGAAAAATTCGTTCGTGAAGGTACAGAAGGGTACCTCGAGCCGCGGAAGAGCTTCAAGACTTGGAGTGAGATGGTTGTTGGTAAATCAAGAGAGTGGACCGAGGAAGAAATCGAGACGGCAGCTGTGCTCTGTCTTGTGTACGGCAAATTCATCGAGGTCTGGCGACAAAAAGAAGCAGCACTGCAGAACAGCCAGCTGACAAGGCTCTTGCTCGCCAATTCGGCACACGAAGTCCGCACGCCGCTCAATGCTATCATAAATTACCTCGAAATCGCTCTCGAGGGCTCCCTCGACACAGAAACGCGTGAGAATCTCGCGAAATCTCATTCGGCATCAAAGTCTCTGATCTACGTCATCAACGACCTGTTAGATCTCACCAAAACGGTCGAGGGCGGCGAGCTTGTCAAAGGTGATGTATTCGACCTGAAAGCTACACTACAAGAGGCTACAGATCTGTTCAAGGGCGACGCACGCAGGAAAAACATCGAGTACGAAATCACAGAATATCCTGGTATTCCCCAGAAAGTTATCGGAGACCAACGTCGGATCCGTCAAGCTATATCTAATATCACTGCCAATGCCATCCAGCATACGACTGAGGGTAGTGTCAAGGTCGACATGTACGTGACGTCCTGGGTGGACGCTCATGTCGAGGTTGAAGTGGTCGTGCAAGACACTGGTACCGGTATGAGCACTGCTAAGCTAGATGCACTGTTTCAGGAGCTTGAACAAGTTCAGGGCGAGGGCGATGCTATGCCTCTGGAGGATGCGCTTCCGAAAACAATCACAGATGGCAAGGAGAAGGGCGACAAACGAGCACTTGGTCTTGGTCTGGCTGTTGTCGCGCGCATAATCAAGAACATGAATGGACAACTGCGCCTGAAGTCTGAAGAGGGCAAGGGCTCCCGCTTCGTTGTCAACTTTCCGTTCGACCTACCGGACTCCGAAGTCAAGCCCGATAACGCCAGCTCCATAACAGAGACACCCAGTACTGTTGTCACACCACAATTTGACCAACCGAATGAAGTCACTCTCATACAACGAGACGCAAATGCGCCGCAACGACCGAGCTCATCGGCAAGAGGAGTTGAAGGGGTTGTACAACGAAGAAATAGCGCAGACAGCCTGGGCAGCCGCAAAAGCTTGAAGAGTCTAACCAGCGTCTCAAGTACTGCAAGTGGCAAGAGTGATGTTGATCGCTTGATTGAAGCCATCCAAGAACCACACGGGGTCAACAATCGGCCAGCCCTGAAAAGGGTAGGTAGTGCTATGTCTACGCGTTCACGCATCGAAAGCAATCGATCCGGGAGCTTTGGCAGCTCGTCGGTGTCGCCTGTAGATCGTCCTCGTGCTCGTAGTATCGAAGCCGTCGAAGGCCTTGCTGCCGACAGGGCGAGCGGTCCTCGGCATCTCAGGTCACCCATGAAGAGCGAACCGGGGACGCATCACCTACCGTTCTCACTACGACCAGTCAAGGCTGTCAGGATGCCAGAGGAATTTGAAGCATCATCTCCCGTCGATCGACTGTCGAATAGCGCTACCTCCGGCAGTATCGTTGGTGAATTAAGCAGTTCTGAAAAGTATGTTCAGTCGACCGAGAAGCAGCTCACTGCGGATAATATGCACGTTCTTGTCGCAGAGGACGACCCGGTCAACAGCAAGATTGTCAAGAAGAGGCTGGAGAAGGCAGGGCACAACATACATCTGACGGTAAATGGTGAGGAATGCGCGTCTGCATACGGCGATGGGCTTGAGAAGTTTGATGTTGTCCTGATGGATATGCAGGTATGTTGTCTCGGACCGCAAAACAAGATGTGATACTAATGCTTCACAAGATGCCTATCGTCGACGGCCTCTCCTCTACCAAAATGATCCGTGCCCATGAGAAAACTCACGGTGCCGAATCCGGCTTGTCCGAGCGTGCGAGTCGTAATGGACGCGTCCCGATCATCGCGGTTTCGGCGAGTCTGATCGAAAAGGAACGGCAAACGTACATCGACGCCGGATTTGACGCCTGGATCCTCAAGCCTATCGCTTTTGCTCGCCTTTCGGAGCTCTTGGAAGGAATCGTGAATGACACGGTGCGCGAAGGCTGTCTATATAAGCCCGGAGGTTGGGAGAAGGGCGGGTGGTTCCATATGGGAAGCAAGAGCGCGTGGGATGTCAATACTGCAGCTTCGGGCGAGAAACCGAGCATGGATGGCGCGACTGAAATCGCTGAGGCGGAGAATCCGGATATTAGTACCGTGGCGCCCGTGGAAGACGGGACGGATCAAGAGAGGGAGAGACTGAAAGGCGAGCAGGACAAAGGGAAAGAGGCGACGGTCGGCGAGGATGACCAGGTACCTACTGAATGACAACCTTCGAGGCTGTCGTTGATGTAGAAGATCAACTCAACTCATTGGCGCCCAATCACGACAATACCACTTGCACCTCCTGGGTACCCTTCCCTCATACTCTTAACCACGAAGCACCCAACACTCGTCTTGCGACCAGGCGAACAAGCGCTGGGAGTTACACTCACCACTCGATATTCACTGTCCCGATGTATTTGGAATGAAACACACGAACTGGTTTCTGCGGCATGTGTGATGCATTTTATTAGGAGTTATGACCAGATGTGTATCCGTCACGTCAGGCGGAGGAACCGTATCATTTTTATCACTGTATAGGCGCACTAGGCGCAAACTCTTAGACACATGTCCCGATCCGACATAGCGAGCAGGCAGAGGGAGATGTGGGTAATGCAGAAAGACGTGACGAGCGCGAGGGGCAAGACGTGTATATTTTAGTGGTGAGATGGGATGGATGTATGGCAGGATGGACATGTACGGGGACGAAATGAGAGGAGGGCCATGGATGAGCACGAGATTCGAAATGCTGATGCAAGTCAGAGGCTTTTTTTCCAGATTGCGCGTGAGGCGTGACTTATGATAGTCTTGATACGATCTACAATGCACTTGTAGCTTGAACCATGTTAGCTCAGAGGTTGGTAGGGAACATGACCGACATAAATCACTCGCCATCACAACAAACCACAGCACGCCCAAGAAAGCCAAGGAGCGAACAAGGTCTCGGACCGGTAACCGACAAGGCGACAGCCAATGAGCGCGAGGCTAAAGCTGATTCCCAACAACGTCCTGATCAAGACCGGGGTAGACATGTATGTATGTATGTATGTACCGTGTAGTAATATGTGGTGATGGATGGAAACCCGAGGCCGAATACCGTGACCTGATCGAATGAATGCCCTCTCGTGATCGGACTATCTTTCATCACAACAGCGCGCTATAGTACTCCCGAGAAGATCATCATACATAGTTCAGTTTAAACAGACAAACGCCAACTTACGACTTCTTGCTAATCCAATCAGCTCGTCCTGATCTGTAGGTTGGTTGTAGGTATCAGATCATTTTTTTGCGAGAGTAGTAGCCGAACCGAGCGAGAGAGACGCACCACCCACACGCTACCTATTACTTACTTACCCACCTTTCTGCCCCCCCGTACTAGGGAGGGAGACTCTTTTGCTCGAACACCGACCGAGCTTCCATCATTTTCCCGTCTGTTCTCTCTCTCTTGCTCTCTCTCTTCCATCCATCCATCCATCCATCCATCCAACAACACCGCATCACATCACATCACCTACACGGACCTCGCGCTCGTACATCGACGTCCTCACTACCTACCACCAACCTCCCACCCACGAATTACACACGCACACACCCATACACGTACACAATGGCCGACAAGGAATACACCTACTCGGACGTGAGCGAGCATGCCTCTAAGAAGGACCTGTTCATCGTCGTGCACGACAAGGTCTACAATGCCAGCGGCTTCGTCGACGAGCACCCGTACGTTTTGTCTTTCTTTCTCCAAATTCCCTTCCTCGGCTGTTCGCACGGGTCATGTCATGGCAGTGGCCTCGTCGGGGTTTTGCCTGATTGAGGGTCGGTTTACCCCCGTGGATGCATTGCCATAGATCTCTCCCGACCCGGCGTACGCAATTCGGCCGCACACAGCACACCGCACACAGTCTCTTAAATGTATACATATCGGGCAACATCAGCCATATATTTTCTGGGAAATTTTTGGGGATCAAAAGTGTAGAATCACATGCTAATCCACCACAACACAGCGGCGGCGAAGAAGTCCTCCTCGATGTCGGCGGTCAAGACGCAACCGAAGCTTTTGAAGATGTAGGCCACAGCGATGAAGCGCGTGAGATTCTCGATGGCATGCTCGTCGGCACGCTGAAGCGCCAGGTGCGTTTCCATCCCTCATTCCCCATTTCTCTCCACAAGTTCCAATTACCATGCCCAAACCCCATATCCCATATTCCCCACCTCTCTCACATCAACATCAATATTATCAAATCACAAACACAATAAACTAACATCCCCCTCCAGCCCGGCGACCCCGCGCCCAAGACCCAAGACCAAGGCGCACAGTACAGCAGCAACAAGCAAAGCGGCGACGCCGTCAGTTTCGGACTCACAACATACGGCCTGATCATCGCCGTTGCCGCGGCGGCGTATTTTGCGTATACCTACCTCGAGGCCAACAAGGATAAATAGAGAAGAGCATTTTGCATATAATAAATACTATACAATACAACGCATTGTATGAATGAAGGACACACACACATGCAGAGAATTCACAGTACAATTTGGTGGTGGTGGTGGTGATGGATTGATGGCGGTGGGATTGATAGATGGAGGTGGAGCATTGGAGGGAGCGTGGTGAGATGCCAGAGAGGGGATTGGAGGGAGCGCTATATAAGGGTGACTTTTTTTTATTATATGTCATGGTGGAGGGATACGGAGAGGTGTGGCATGGGGGACACATGGGACCGCCCGTAGTGACTGACATGGGGCCACAGTATCGTTCTTATTTAGTCTAATAGACAAAAGGGGATTTCCTCTTTTTACCATTCTTCTCTTCTCTCTCTTCCCTCCTCTTCTCTCTCTTTTTCACGCTTCTTCGTCGGTCCCTCTCTCTCTCGTCCTCAGGTTGCGTGGTTCGTGATGCTATCAAGGAGACGGAGGAGCAATTCTGTGCGCATATTTGCACGTGCCAAATCACGAACCCCTAGAACAAATATCACATGCTGTGCTGTGTGCAGGCAGGGTGTTAGGGTGAGGTATGGAGTAGACAGGGTACGGCACGTGCTCTAAACTTTCAACAAGAGCATTAAACCGTAGTATGATGAAAACACTGTCAATGATGATAATGTTGATACTTCATTCCAATTCAATTGATCTCATTCATCCCAAGTCATTACTTCGCACTCATGCATGGTGCTTTTATACAAAAGGCACCCAGTGCAAGCAGCCAGCCAGCCAAGTCAGGCAACCAGTCAGCCCCATCATCATACCGACCGAGACAGCCCCTTTCCATCACTCTTCATATCTCTATGGAAAAACCCAAACAAGCGCCCCCAAGTCCTGCTGCTCTGATTCAAAATAGTAACCGAACCCCTCAAAACCCCCTAAAAACCCCCTAAAAACGCCCGTTTGAAATATGCTATTCATGCTATCATGACGATGCACACACACACAACAGCCCGTTTTGAATCGCTGTCGTCGTTTGATGTTGGTCGTGTTTTTGTGGTATATATATGTGTATTTAGGTCTATGCGTGTCGCATGCCTGTTGTGGCCTCTCCTGTGCCTTGTAGAGCGCTGATGTTGCTTTCTGCGTCGAGGGGCGCGTACTAAGGGGGGTTTTTTGTTGTTTAGTATGCGCTGTGCTTTGCGGGTGGGGTTGTGTGGTGCGTGGTGTTTTGTGTGTGGTGTGGTGGTGTGTGTGTATGCATATATACGTAGTGTTTGTAAATGCAGCCGCGCCGGGTGTATATATATGCATAAAAAGATATAAACCATGTAGACGAGGTAAATATGTTCGAAATGGTAAGGGCTTTTGAGAGTCGTGAGAGAGGAGTGAAAGAAGACATGCAGGCAATCACACGTCCTCCGTCATCTCACTCACGCTCGAAGACGTCCCGTTTGCGACTGACATGCGGGTTTGCAGGTAGTAGAGGGCGTATGCGATCGCGCCGATGAGGATGAAGAGGATCAGGATGATGAGGAAGATGACGATGTTGCGCTTCATGGTGAAGGTGGGGGAGAATGGGTTTGGTTGTGGTGGTGGGGCTGTGAGTGTTGTTAGAGCTGGAGGTAATGAGTAGAGGAGACAAGGCCAGGACGTACGTTATGCGACGATTGTGGCTGGGTGTCGTTGTAATATGGATACTGATACTGATGATGGTGTTCGAGGAAGAGTTTCAGCTCGTTTGTTTCTGAGGGGAATATATACAGCGACAGCAGAGCCGAGTGATGTTTCCAATCGCAACTACCCGTTCGAGTAATGTGTGTTGGCAAGGTGGAGGGAGCTAGGCCGCAGGTGGGTAGTAGTAGGTAGGGCTGAGATGAATGGGGACAATCTTCGACCGGAAGCTCGTGCTATATTTGGTGTATCGTTACGAGACCAGACTCGAGGATCGGAATGTTAAGCAGTGTATGTGTTGTATTGGAGAGTAGATTATTTTCCAGCAGAAAGCCTGCATGCAGCCGTCTTTAAGGGAGAATGTTGCGGTTGCTGGGGGTTGGGAGAGGCTGGGGCGTGGTTGGTAGAGGCTCCACTCTGCTGGCACTCTCGGACCGCACCGCGCTTGGTGTCCTGGACGGTGCGATGGGAAACTGGGAATGACAGGGCCGCAACTCCACGATGACAGTGCCCAATGGTGGTGGTGTGTTATCGTCGTGCACTGTTTTTGTTTTGTTTCAGCCCTTTGAGTGATCTCATGGCCATTGTGGAGCCCGTCACGCTCGTCCGATGGGTTTGCGCTAGTGTTCTGCACGGTGCTCACAGTTGGTAAATTCAAGAATCGCATTTGCATTTCTCGTTCTCATTGCCAATTACAATATTCTCTCCAACGTCTGCCTCTCCTTCTTGTTCTATATGTAAACGGGCTTTTGACTCGATATGATTTAGACACGCCGTGATGGGCTGTTCCCCCTGAATGCCTCTGTCTAGACCTTCGACTCGCCGTTCGCCTCCTTCTTCTCGTCGCCAAAGTTGATGCTGACACTGTTTACGCAGTGCCTCTCATCCGTCGGCGTCGCGTATCCCTCGCCCTTGAACACATGTCCAAGATGTCCACCGCAGTTCGAGCATACGATCTCTGTCCTCTCCATACCCAGCGTCCGATCAGTGTGTCTTGTCACCGCGCCTGGAACGGCGTCGAAGAAGGCAGGCCATCCACAGCCGGACTTGAACTTGTGACTGGCCTTGTATAGCTCTGCATTACAACCCGCACATGTGTACGCACCGCTGGTGGGCTGATGCTTATCGTATTTGCCAGTGAACGGGGCTTCAGTGCCTTGTTTGCGCAGCACCCGGAACTGTTCTGAGCGCTGGGAGTTAGCATTCTCGGCCAGATGGAGGAGATGGAGATGGGCAATCGCGTACCTGGACTCAGCACGGCGCGCCACTCGTCGTCGGTCTTCTGGAGTGGATAGGACATGTTTTTGCGCGAAGAGCTGCTACTGAAGAGACTGCCGAGGAAAGGGATGCCGGACATGGACCGCAGTGGCGTAAGTCTTGTTGCTGGAAGTGCTCGCTCAAGGTACTGCGGGCTGCGGAAGATGCGACTGGTAGCGTTGAAGAATGTGAAGCCTTGGACGAAAGAAGAGAAGAATCGCATGAAGATGGATGAAGACTTGTCGGAGAAGCGTGATGGGGTTATGTGTTGATTGTGGCGGCGACGAGATGGTGGCACGATTTGTCAAACAACCACAAGTGAATAATGACGATGACGCTATCAACACGACGCAGTAGAGTCTCTCCGCGGGGCACATCTCAGTCTGCTGGGACGAAGACTCTGCCATCGTCTTCAGCCAATCAGCGGACGTCTGACAGCCCCAGCCACAGTGCCACACTTCACCATACTCTACACTGCTTCCGTAATCAACAAATAGCCGTTACCGGATACACCGGAGGGCAGTGCCGGCATCCTCCAACAATATACAACGCTCATTCGTTCGCTTTTGCTATTCACTCTCCACTCTACCACCACAGCGGGCTGTTGACAAGTCACTAGACGCCGACCCAAGCCTGTAGCCGTCTGGTCGGGAAAAGCGTTGGTACTTATGACTGTACATGGATGAAGAAATCCTCTGCCGCCATGAATACTTTTCCCTCATCTGCTCTTTCGTGCGTTTTATCGACACACAGGATACATGATCCTTCATTCTCTCATACTAGCGATTACACAACACGCCTATCATAAGACTGAGTCTCCCGGCATCTACCATAATTGACCATACTTGGTGTCTCACACGTAAGTAGCAGCCACTATCGTGAAGAAAGAGCTTGGCCTAGCATTCGCCTCTGCAAGACTGCATATATTCATGGTCGAGAGTCGGAATGATGACTGTATCAAGGCGAAAGAACAAGAGGTAACATGGCGGTCGCTGCCCAAGAAGGGCCAACTTGCCTTGCTCACGGCGTCACGTCTGTCTGAGCCTCTATTCCTCACGTCCACGCAGTCATACATGTTCTACATGCTCAAGTCGTTCGACCCTTCGCTGTCAGACTCCCAGATTGCTCAGCAGACCGGGATCATCGTTGGGGCGTTTCTGTTTGCTCAGTTCCTCACGAGCTTTCTGTGGGGCACCGTCTCCGACTCAAGGCACGTTGGGCGGAAATATGTGGTCTTGCTCAGCCTCTCTAGCACCGCAGTGACTGCTATCGGTGTTGGTTTCTCTAGATCGTACGCATCAGTGGTTGCGTTTCGTGTACTTGGAGGGGTCATGAATGGGAATGTGGGCGTCATGCGGACTATGATATCGGAGATCATCAAGGAGAAACGCTTTCAGTCTCGCGCCTTTCTTCTCTTGCCCCTGACGTTCAATGTGGGTGTCATCATAGGACCACTGTTAGGAGGAGTCTTGTCCGATCCCATCGGTCAGTATCCGTCTCTGTTCGGACCGCACTCTACCTTTGGTGGCGATCAGGGGGTGTATTGGATGAAGCAATGGCCGTATGCCCTGCCGAACATAGTCTGCGCCATCTTCTTAATCACATCGTCCACGGCTGTCTTCCTCGGCCTCGACGAGACTCATGAGGACCTCCAAGAACGACCGGACATTGGAAGACGCTTCGGCCGCTGGCTTGCCACACTCCTCACCCGCAGGTCCCACCCTCCGGACTACACCATGCTCGCGACCTCCGAAGACGACGACAACAACGACAATGCCATACCGGACACACCAACAAGCGTCCAACTCCACACGACAGCACTCGATCGAGCCCTCCCGCTCCCCCCCAAACCACCCCGCCAACGTCTCCCCTTCCGCCGCCTCTTCACCCGCCGTGTCACAATCACCCTCCTCGCCCACGCCTTCACAACAATGCACATCGGCACCTTCTCCAGCCTCTGGTTCGTCTTCCTCTCCACCCCACGCTTCGACCCATCCCACCCACACCCGCCCTCCCTCCCCGCCCAATCCCCACCCTTCCACTTCTCAGGCGGCCTCGGCCTCCCCCCACCGCAAATCGGCCTCTCCCTCGCCATCGTCGGCACCATCGGCATCGCAGCCCAATTCCTCATCTACCCGCGCGTCACCGCCCGTCTCGGCACCGTCCGCAGCTACCAGTCCTCCCTCCTCCTCTTCCCGCTCGCATACGCCCTCGTGCCCTTCCTCGCCGTCGTCAAGAGCACCGCCCCCGCCCCGCACCATGCCTCGGGCCTGCGCGTCTGGGCCGCTATCATCGCCGTGCTCGCCGTGCAGGTGTGCGGCCGCACGTTTGCCCTGCCGGCCGCGCAGATCTTGATTAATAATAACTGTCCGCACCCTAGTCGGCTGGGCAGCATGCATGGTATTGGGCAGAGCGTGAGTGCGGGGACGCGTACTGTGGGGCCCGTGGTGTTTGGCTGGTTGCTGGGCCGGGGGCTGGAGGTTGGGATTGTGGGGTTGGCGTTTTGGGTGTTGAGTGCGGTGAGTGTGCTTGGGGCGTGGGTGGCGACGGTGGTGCGGGAGGGGGATGGGCATGAGATTTGGCTGGAGGGCGAGAAGGAGGAGGAGGAGGAGGGGGTTGTTTCTGTTGCTGTGTCGGCGTAGAGTTGGACGGTTTTGGGCTGTAAGTCGTATGTCCCGGTAGGGCGCGATAGACGTGACAGTAGTCTGAATATAGATCTCAAATGATGAGCAAACAAAGCATCCAAGGTGTGCTTCACGGAGTAGCACCATACGATCATACAAAGCCTACAATGATAGGCGATAGATAGCAGACCAAAGATCTCACACACTGGAAGCCCAAGTACTCGATCCATAGTCTCCCCTCTGAAAGCCTAAAGAAATCCCTCTCCAACCTATATTTCCATATATTCTAATATAAACATGTCATACGAGTAGAGTATAGATCGATCCAATACCATTATAAGAATAGTTAAGAATGATTGTTGGTCTATTCATCATTATATCAAGAGTAGTAGTAGTAGTAGTAGTAGTAGTAGTAGTAGTAGTAGTAGTAGTAGTAGTAGTAGTAGTAGTAGTAGTAGTAGTAGTAGTAGTAGTAGTAG